ACAATGTCCACGCTACGTGTTGCCAGATCAGTCTTGAGCTTCTCCGCCTCATGGCCTGCCTCAGCACCCAGCTTCCTGAGCTGTGCGCTGAGTGTCTCCTGCAACGATAGTCAGCCGCATAGGTCGATCGGCGTATAAGACTGAGTACATACGATGGAGAGGTCTTTCGACCGGAGTTTCTCCTCGAGCCCGCCAATGGTCTCGCGGTACTGCCCAATCTTCCGACCGATCCGCTGCTGTAGCGCTTTCGTCTTGTCCTTCAGTCGAGTCTCCCGACGATCCAGTGCTCTCCAGTCCTTGTCCGAAGGCCGTTCCTGTCGTACCTTCTGCTTACCTTTCTCTTCGGAACTGTAGCCAATCGTTTTCACCGCCGCGGTCTCGACCATCAAGGGAGACTCGCTAAGCAGACCAAACCGATGGACCGTCAGCTTCCACTTCCTGGCCTGTACCGGGTCTTTCTTAGCATGTGTGCGGCTGACCACGATGAGCGACATACCACGAGAATTAATTCCCATCGTTTGTATGCCAGTAGTTCCGAGTCGTATTGGCGACCGAGTAAGGTGGATAGGAGAGTGCCAGTGAGTCTGCCGGCGACGGCAATGGCCAGAGCCCAGCTCAGCCACCAGGACTGAGCGGTCTCTGACCCGCCGCCGACCGACGTTGCGTAGGAGGACCAGACAGAACATAGGATGCCATCGAGCATTGCTGCCAGGAGGATGACATCGAGGTTGACAGACACCAGGTAGTGTTGTTGACCAGCACGAGAACACATACCGAGAGCAAGAACGGAGAAGCCGCGCCAGGCAGCGAGCGCGAACATCGCATAGGAAAGTATATGTAAAAACGTAACCGGTCTAAGAACTAGAGTAATCATGGCTTGCATAAGGTGAGAGCAAAGCATTGGCGTTTCATTTAATACGCCCCACCTACCGTCAGCCAGCCCGAGGCTGACCTCCGCAGTTGATTCCCTGGTTACAATTAAAACCACTTCAAGTGAAGTTAGAGTATTACGGCAGTTTGACATTGCCGGCGCAGCGCTAAGGCGTTCATGGTAGATGAAATACTACCGGTGTGCACACTCATAATACGGATCTCCAATTGCAGGTCGCCCAGTTACAATCATCCGGAAGTTGTGGGTGCGCGTGAGGGTCGAATGTCGAGAGTGAGGAAACGCTCAAAACCACTAAACGCGTCGCGACGCGATCACGTGTGCATATTTCTCCCTGCCTCCAGTCAATTTCGAGAGACTGTGCCGCTGAACAGGACGCACATGCTTCTTGTTATTTCATTTCCGTTGTAACTGCGCACATTCAAATCATTCTAAAGGTTGAAGCCATGACAAATTCCACAATGAACGTCGAAATCCAAAATCTCTCGACATGCAATTGCCAATTAGTAGAATTGCGAAGCATAACGCCTAGGGTAATGTGCATCCACAAAGCCACTCACTATATAACGATAAACAACTGGAAGCAAGAGGCATCTACGCAGGGCATCATAGGCATCAGCAGGTCCCTCAAAGCACGTATCGGAAATCCCTATTCTGGATATCCGTGAGGTCGAGGAAAGCCTGTGGGGAAATTCACATCAGGCGCGGTGGCTGATTTATTCACAAGTTACATACCTTGTCGACCTTCTTCTCCGATTGTGTCGCCTCGTCAGTGATGTAGACGTCATCATACGTCGGGTCGTGAGCCTCTCGGTCACGCTTCGCGTTCTCGCGCGCAAGGTACCACCGCGTGACGAGCAGCAACATGCCGGAGACGAACCAGCACGCGGTAAGAATCGCCCACGGGATGTGGTTGCTGTTGAACATAGCCTGTCAGTAGGCTAGATCAGTCTGTTTAAAATAATGATGTACCGCGGTTGATACTCGGCCTTCCAGTATTGTGGGCCAACGGCATTGCCAACTGCGTAGCCGACCATGACGACTGCATTGGTTGTCACGCCTACATAACGAAAGTCAGCACTTCATGCAAAGTAGGTCAGTGCATCGATGCCCACGTTTGGTGTGCCCGGCCGTGGTCGAGCCAACCCATGCCAGCATGACAACGAACGGAGCAATCTCAGAAACTGGAAACCCAGTTGTTAGTGAATGTATATAAGGTTGCAGGACTGGCACATACTAGATATCCAGTAGCAGAACAGCAAACCAACTCGATCCTTGGACGGAAGCGCATTAACGAGGATCGAGCCGAGAATGGCGACACAATACGCAAGCGCCCCGGAGTATGCTCGCCCGTTTGGCCAATACGCCGCGGACGTCGTCGTGCAGTAGATCACGATGACTGTAAGGAAGCTCTTCAGTACAACCGAACTGGATAAGTAACCGTACCAATACGTACTCTCAACGACACCGTCGACACAACCTAGCAACGTTGTCTGTATATCGGTGAAGCCGAACTCTGCGACGATGATTTGTCGCTGGTTACTGAGCTGTAAAAGGCACGTGTCAGGCAACATTGCCGGGATAACTGCCTGGGGAATCGGATGCATACCGAGTTTGTGACGTTCCTAAAATGCAAAAGTAAGAAATAAGGAGGTAGCTGAGACGATATACCGAGACTCACGAGATAGCGGCAAAGAAGAAGAAAAGCCATGTCTTCGGGTCCTTGAAGCACTCGACGAATCTGAGGACGCGCCTTTCAACTACAGTCGATCAGAATGAAGGAGTCAACTGACTGGTCCATCTTAAAGTGCTTGTTCTCGACACCGGCCTGGTTTACTTTGATACGCTCGATAGCGATCACTTTCTCTTCGGGGGTCAGGAACGATGCAGTCGCCGGCGAGTCAGGGAAAAAGAACCTGGAGAACATGAGCAACCGTCAGTTTCGGCTCATTGGAACAAACGAGTTATTGTGCTGTCGAATTGAACCCTTACCAGAAAAGTATGGAGACCACAAAAGTGATGATACCGAAGATAATCATCAACCTGTGTGGAAGTGGCGATCAGCCGCTACCTTAGTATGCAACGAAATAAACTATACCATTGCCATGGCATCAATACGCTCGAATGAATATGTAGTGTCCCATATGCGATGAGACCGAGCATGATTATGGCGGCGCCATTCATCAGGACTGGTCAAACGTGCGTGTCAAATTCCGGACTTCGGAACCGCGTGTAATGACACTCACACCAATAACCTACTCTCTGGGTCTGTTCTTGGCGAGTGTAAAACATGGATGTGACGATCATGAACCCGGGGGTGATTGCACCCTCGCAGATGCCGAGGAAGACCCGGCAGGCAAACAGCTGGCCAAAGGTCTTCGCTGCCGCATGACAGAGCAACGCAACAGCCCAAATGAATATATTGATACTATGCGAAGCACACAGCAGATAGTTAGTCTCGTCATGCCGGCCGGCAATCTAAGAATAGCGAGCCGTACCTGACCCATTTCCCGACCGGGAACCGCTGCAGCGCGTAATTCTGCGGGAACTCAAAGCCGAGATAGAAGAGATAAAAGATCGTTCCGAGCCAGTTGAATTGGTTTTGCGTCAGATGGTCACCGGTCCTATTGCCCACGTTGGCAACCTAGTGTCAGAGGCGCCACATGAAATGTGGGAATAGGTTAGAGGCTCACAGGAGGCCCAGGACCGCAGACTGTCCTAATGTCGTCTTGTCGGCGAACTGCATACTACGGGACGTTCAACACCGCGGTTCCGCGCGCATTCATTACAAACTTACAGATACATAACTGGAACAGAACAGAACGTGTCAGCGCCACACGAGGAGCTCAACGCTGGGGACCGGACACGCACCACACATGAGAGGCATCAAATGCATGTCGATCTTTCTTCGGACTCTGGCAGACTCTGCGGGGTCGATGGCGACCTCCGTTCCTGAGGTGAGCTGGGCCGCGACGTCGACATCGTACGCGTTGACCACGTCGTGTTCGCCATGTTTCTCGACGGACGAGCCAGAGCTGCTGAGATTGACGTCAAGGGGACTGACAGATGGACGCTTCTCGGGGTCGCTCATGGCGGGCCGTCTAGGAGACTAGGAGAGGGAGGGAGCAGGCCGCTTGGGGAAAGCAGTGCCATGGTGTCGTTATGATATAGGAAAGCATAGATGCGCGTCCAAATTGCGGGGACCCTGTCATTTCCGAGCGCGCGGAGATGCCATCGGTGGTGTTGATCATCTACAGGCGCCCACAACAAATGCCTCCACAGCCGAGTATCAGAACTCCCACTCGCCACTTGTCCATTACCTGTACTTTTCCATTATCTAAGCATCCGAGAAATCGGAGGAGACACAACCCTATTCTCTCCCTGCAGATCCCAAACGTTCGCGCGGAGAAGCATCGCAACCGACGGTGACCTCTTGTCTTCACGCTGAGGCAGTGCCCGACGCAGAGGTTTCACACTCGCATCACCATATGGGAATCCCCTTGCTGCCCGGTGCCTGGAGAATCACCATTGTGTCGTCGCGATCAAATCTGATCCCGTTTCTCTGCAGATGTCGCCGTGATCGAGGTCCTCATTCAAGCTCCCCGCAGGTTTAAATTTATATTTCATCACACCGGCCAAGACACCAGTAGGCGTATTATCGTGTCCTATGTGCTCCAGAAACGCCGTCGTCCACTGACCAGGAGCGAGATGAGAATGCGGGCAACCGCATTCTTAGGTACTATAGGATATCGCTAATTCAGCTCTATTCAGCTTCGTCAACGCACGGATATATATGTGGCCATTATTCTTCCTTGCTTCATCGGCTCTTCACAGAAACCAGGCTGTCACCTCGGAGAAAATGCTAGCCGCACCTACACAATGTTGCTTGCTATGTCATTTTACAAGGAGTTACCTCCCTCCTAGGCCACCAGGTTGCTGCGTTGATGCATACTTTTCAAGTGTCGGACAGAGTGAGTTCCGCTGCAATTGCAACACTCCTCGCTTCACGCAAACGATCGTCAAACATCTCGGCATCCCAGCATCTGCACAACATCTGTCGTTGTACCGATAAGTGGCGATGTCTAAATCTGCTCGCCCTCGGTCTCCGAATGCCGTTGAAGGCTGATGTGAGTATGCGATGATCACGGAATATACATCGTAATCTGCAAAAGAATCATAATACTCATCTACAGATCTATCATATAATAAGAATTCGGACCACCGAGCAGGGATGTATGACCTTCTCTGGTCCCCTGTTCCTGCTTGCCCCCTAAAACACGGGCAAATGCCTCTTGATCTCATTTGAGCTGTCGGCGAATCAGTGTTCCTGTCTGGACATTGCTTCATTGAATCTCGCGGTCTTCTTTCAAATATAGCCTCCACCTTTAAGGAACCTAAGCTCAAGTCTCTTCAGGACACAGGCGCTCCGTATGATGACTTTTGTGGTAGCGCTGTCTGAGCGGCGCTGGTATCCTCAGGCCCAGAACATTTGTGAGCCTACGTTCTGTGTCCGACGTAAACCTCATCCTCGATAGGAATGGAAGCACGTTGCACTACAATAAGCTGCGTGCGCATGGATTGCTCTGGTTAGATCTGCCTGACCATTGATTTTATGACTTGATATGACTTAATTAGGCTCATGAATGCACAGGACATGACCTGCCACTCCTATAGGCAATGCAACTGCATGCCGTTCGCCTACTCGCTGATATATCGCAAGAACTGCAGTACTTCCTGCGCGGAAATGCTGGCGCTGTGTGGTTTGTTGTGCAACATCGCTATGTCTTGACTTCCATCTGCAGCAGCAGTGCCCAAGATGGTAGCAATTCATTTGCTCGCTTCTCGGAGCTTCCGACCGAGTTCACACTTCTTATCCGTCCATTATAAGCACAGGCTGTAAGAACACGCACAGCATACGGCAGTGCTGCATCTGATCGTATATGTGGGTCCTTGGTAGCCGGTTCAGATTGGCTGACTGACCAACCCGGTTAAGTACTACGTCAATTGTCTCCCTTGGATGTCGTGTAGGATGGGAACAGAGGAACCCTTACACGGACCAGCACCGTCCGAGCGCCCAGTCGGCACCACTCCGACCAAGTTGACATGTTTCATATGTGGGAGGATCCCTTGGGAAGACGCGAAGATTTAGCACAGCCCACATAAACCTTCTCGGTATGGGAAAGTTTAATGCAATGCGATATGTACGCCCCGCACGTAGAGCATCGAATCAAAGGCAGTCACCTCAATTATTATGAGAGGTTTATTGAAAACAATACCGCCCATGGACGCACGGCTTTGATCATGCCGCATAACCCTAAGGGGCGTTATACACAGAAAACTAGTGTGTATGCGCCGTTATTTGCGTAGCGCGTAGCTGTGGATGCGGCCAGTGACTGTAGCGGTGCAGGTAGAATGTAGCGTATGCCGCTGTGAGTCGTGGCCGTTCTGATCGAGGACAAGCAAGGACAAGCGCCCAAGGCCTGCTTTCAGCTACATTGTCGGTCCCATATACTAGGTTGCCTCAGCCTTCATGGACGCTATCAAGGTCGCAAAGGTTGATCGCACTTCACATATACCATGAACACATGTATCTTATGCCAAAGTCCTGCAGGTCGAAGGCGTGCTATGCAGCAAGGCAGGGAGTATCGCGTCCGGCACGGTGCACTTGACTGCCCACCATCTCATATTCCACTATGACGACCCAGCAAAGGAGGAGATGTGGGTCAGTCATCCTCTGGTGTCTCTTCGGGTATCTGACGAACACAATTATCAGATTCCTTATCCGCTGATATCCCTAGTGACGCGTCTACCGCTCACTCTACAAGGGTCGTGTCCCCTTACGATCAGGACGCGCACATTTGAGGCAGCATCTCTTCTATTTGGCTCAGAGAGGGAGGCGATAGATGTATTCGACAGTGTGAAGGAGCTCACTGTCGCCAGTACGTCTCTAGACTTCGTACTGCGCACGAACTCACGCGATGATTGTAGCGTCTGTGACGCAGCTGTATGCGTTCTACTATGTGCCGAACCCACCGTATACTGCCAACAACGGCTGGTCCTTATATTCTGTCCGGGAAGAATTTGGCCGAATGGGCGTTGGATCGCGCACGAAAGCATGGAGGTTCACGGATATTAACAAAGACTATTCTGTATGTTGCTCTAGTTCACGATGTCTAATTGGTTCATTCATGACCTACAGTCCTTATAGTTCTCCCCGACATATCCCGCGAGGCTCGTGGTACCAACTCGAATAAGCGATACGACGCTGCAATATGCTGTCAAGTACCGCAGCAAGGCGCGCTTGCCGGTACTGACTTACCTCCACTGGGCGAACTACGTCAGCGATTTTCTTTTCCTTCCTGAAGTGAATGATCTTCAACATCCTGATAGGGAAGTATAACCCGTTCTAGTCAGCCTATGGTCGGGCTGACAAGCAATCGTTCGATTCAAGACGAGAAGCTCATCGAGGCCATCTTCCAAACACACTGGTCTCCAGAATCTCGTGCTGCGAATATCCCCGTCTACGGCGCGACGTGCACTAATCTCATCATCGATGCGAGACCAACGACTAACGCGATGGCTAACACCGCAAAGGGCGCCGGCACGGAGAACATGGACCACTATAAAGATGCCAAGAAGGCCTACTTGGGAATTGATCACATCCATGTCATGCGAGAATCTCTCGCGAGGGTAGTCGAAGCGTTACGGGAAGCAGAGGTCACTCCCGCTACCCCTGGCGCTGGTGATGACTACACACTCGATTCTATGGTCGCACCGGTGCTGGATAAACAAGCGTTGCGAAGATCTGGCTGGTTGAAGCACATATCTGCCATTATGGAAGGCTCGCTGCTTATTGTGCGAAACGTCCATGTCAACTCTTCCCACGTCCTCATCCACTGCTCTGATGGGTGGGACCGGACGGCTCAGCTCTCCTCTCTGTCCCTGCTCTGCCTGGACCCCTTCTATCGCACATTACGTGGCTTCCAGATACTGGTCGAGAAAGAATGGGTGTCATTCGGTCACAAGTTCCTCGATCGCTGTGGGCACCTGTCCTCGGAGAAGTTCTTTTCAGCTCCCGTCGAGAATATCGGCACTGGGGGCGGTGCGGAAGCCGCCCAAGCATTCCTGGCCTCTGTACAGAACAGGTTCGCGTCGCAGAACCATCTCAAGGAGACGAGTCCTGTCTTCCATCAATGGCTCGAGTGCGTGCGGCAGGTGCAACGCCAATTCCCTGAACGCTTCGAGTTCAACGAGCGCTTCCTACGCCAACTGCACTACCATCTCTATTCTTGTCAGTTTGGCACATTCCTGTTCAATACCGAGCGGGAACGTCGGGTGGGTGACAGTGGTCTGCCTCCGTGTGAACGGACAGTAAGCGTGTGGGATCACTTCAATTCGGCCCCAGAAGCGTCGCTGAACCTGAATCCCGACTACGACCCATCACTGGATGATCCCTCGAATCGTGTACCCAAGACCGATATGGGCGTGCTCATGCCTGACCCGAAGGACGTCCGCTTCTGGAATGAGCTCTACGGCCGCACGGACGAAGAGATGAATGGCAAGTTCCTTGAACGCAGACCTCCTCAGGACCCAGAGTTCGTCGCGCCCGTGGAGGGGGCGGGAGATGATCCTGTCAATATGGCGCCTTCTGCTATCCCACTTCCTCCGTCTCCCGCAATCAGTCCGTCTCCCAGCCTGTCCGCACCACAGTCGTTTGCTCGGTGGACAACTGAAAAAGGTGACTCGCCGGCAGCACAGACGTCATCAGTAGACGCGCTAGGTCTGTCGCTTGACGCACCGAGGACAAGGCACGAAAGCGTACGGGGGCACGAGCCTGTGGCGCTCAATGCACGTAGCCTGCGCGTACCTATTCCATCTCGCTCGCCTTCGCCTGCCGCGCACGCATCATCATCTCGGCAATCCACCGTGCCGCAAGTAACAGACATCTTCTCGAGCAACAATATGCGTTCGATGTGGGGTCGGTTCTCCTCTAACGCAACGGCAGCATTGTCAGCGGTGCAAGACGCAGCGAAAGACTTCAAGGGGCTGTCTCTTAGCGCAGGCGGTACTGGTGACGGACAAGGTGGGGAGCTGAAGAGTCGTGACGAGATAGGCGTTTGGGGGGAGGAGCCCCAGGACCAACACGAGCAGCGGCCGTCGTCCCCTCGTGGTACAGGAAATGCGTACACTCTTGGGTCTTCCTCTACGAATCCGTGGTCGACTACGAAGGCGCGTCCGAATATTCCATCCATGTTCTTGGACAATCCGTGGAATACGACGCGCTCTCCTGGACCAGAGCCACCGCGTTCGCTGCCCGCCATGGAGACATCCGATTTATCGAGTACGCTTCCTATCGACCCCACAATCGCATTACCTGCGGCCGGTCGACCACCAATCGGCATTAGCGCGACTCGTTCAACCTCGACCTCGCCAGGTACAGGAACCTTGACCAGCTCGCGACCTCTCTTGACACCTCCCGCCGTTGCAGAAACGCCTCCAGAGCAGCCTGCGCCCTCGTCCGACCCCCTCGGGGTAGGTTTGTGGTAGAGCATGGTTGTCCATCGCGCTTCCTGCTATATCATACGTCGTAGAGATTAGAAGTGCGCGTCATTCCCTTTTTTGTGTATTCTTTCAGTCCGGTGTGTACGTGCAATGATCCCTTCTCATGGCAAAACCAATTTACCTAAACTCTGAGAACGAAAGAAGGTGTTAAGAGGGCGCAAAGGCTACTCGGTAGGCTAGAAAATGGCATATCGGACGAGGGAAACCTGGTGGGGAATGGCGTGCTGAGCGGTCTTCGGGGTCCATATCGGTTGCAACATAAACCTGCAGTAAATTCTCCCAGCCCTCACCTGTCTGGTCCCCATCCTTCTCTCCCCATCCCCATCCTCCTCCTCACCATGCCCGCTAACGGTACTGCTCGCGCTTCCGCCCTCGCGCCAGGTCATTTCCTCTTTACTTCCGAGTCTGTCGGCGAGGGTCATCCCGGTACGTCCACGGCCAGCGTGAAGTTATGAGACGTGATCATTGAACGGTAGTGCAGATAAGATTTGCGACCAGGTCTCTGATGCTATCGTCAGTATTGTACTCAGTCACTACATAGAGTGGACCTAATGAGGAAGTGCACAGCTCGATGCCTGTCTGGCACAGGACCCCTTCTCGAAGGTCGCTTGCGAGACTGCCTCCAAAACCGGCATGATCATGGTCTTCGGTGAAATTACCACGAAGGGGCAGATCGACTACCAGAAGGTTATCCGTGAAACCATCAAGCAAATCGGGTATGACGACTCCTCGAAGGGATTCGACTACAAGACCTGTAACATTCTTGTCGCGATCGAGCAGCAGTCGCCGGATATCGCCCAGGGACTTGACCACGGCGCGCTCGAGCACATCGGTGCCGGTGACCAGGGTATCATGTTCGGCTATGCAACGGACGAGACGCCTGAGTACATGCCTCTCACGCTCGTTCTCGCCCACCGCCTGAACGAAGCGATGGCTGTTGCTCGCCGCGCGGGCGTCCTCCCTTGGCTCCGTCCCGACTCTAAGACTCAAGTCACCGTTGAGTACAAGAAAGATGGCGGTGCTACAATCCCTCTCCGTGTCGACACGGTTGTCGTGTCCACTCAGCACGCTGAGGAGATCTCCACCGAGGAGCTCCGCAAGGAGATCCTGGAGAAGATCGTCAAGCAGGTTATTCCCGCAAACCTGCTTGATGAGCGCACCGTTTACCACGTATGTATCGCGTGGAGTGATTATTGTCTCCCGCAAACTTACAGTTTCGCGATCAGATTCAACCTTCTGGGCGTTTCGTCATCGGCGGTCCCCAGGGTGATGCCGGTCTCACTGGCCGTAAGATTATTGTCGACACCTACGGTGGTTGGGGTGCTCATGGAGGAGGAGCCTTCTCTGGCAAGGACTGGTCCAAGGTTGACCGGTCCGCTGCGTACACCGCTCGTTGGATTGGTGCGTACTACTTGTTTGACGCCGGCCGCACTATTAGACTGATATCCTCTACAGCTAAGTCCTTAATCGCGGGTGGCCTTGCTCGCCGCGCTCTTGTCCAGCTCTCCTATGCCATTGGTGTTGCTGAGCCGTTGTCCATCTACGTTGACACGTACGGTACGGGCAAGAAGTCCGACGAGGACCTCGTCGATGTTATTCGTAACAACTTCGACCTCCGACCTGGTGTCATTGGTTCGTAGTATCCTCGATGTCACGGCTGGCAGCGGGTTGCTTATTAGTCCTTTGCCCACAGTCCAACAGCTTGGTCTCCAAAAGCCGCAGTACCGCAAGACGGCGTCATACGGTCACTTTGGTAAGTTTGTCTGATCTACCTACCTGACATTACACTGATGATTTGCACAGGTAACCCGGAGTACTCGTGGGAGCAGCCTAAGAAGCTCCAGCTCTAAGCTGGCCGGGCTATATGCTATGTTCGCCCTGTAGTCGCGCCATGTCGCATTGCATCTGCACCTGAAGCTCATCCTTCTCCGCACCGGAAGTTCATCCTTCCGCCTATTTATCCTCACGTCGCATTGTTGTCTAGATGATGATACCACCCGCCCCCGCACCCCTTCCCCGGTTTGGCTGCGTCGCCGCCTCATCCCCGTCCCATCCACACCATCCGCCATTACCATGTCACGTCACGACATTGATGGTCCTACACACCCTCGCGCACACACGGCCCCCAGCAGGTCGTGTGTTGTTTGCTATGCATCTTAAAGTACATGCTGGTTACATCTGGTCGATAATGCTGTATGTAATAGTCGGAGCAGAATACATCCGCGTTCAACCGCGCTATAACTAGTCTGACCTCGCTGTGAAGCTAACGCAAGTGGACTCAGTAAGCAATGATACTGTAGGTCTTTCTATGGGCCTTCCTCTTAGCAATATTGACTTCGGCGTTCTTATCTCCGTTCTCATGCTTCTGCCTGTTTCCTAGTCTTTGAGCCTCCTTAGTTATTAATGTTCTATGCACGCTTCACCGTTATCACCGTCTGTAAAGTGTTTGCTTATACATTCCCAAGGCATCCATTTAGGCCTATAGCTAGGTATGTCAACGTTACGTTTCGCTTGAAGCCCGTCAGCTAGGGCGTACAATTTAAACGCGTAGGTTTTACATGTAGATGTACGGCTTCGATCGTATTAGACAGCATTTTTGTCGACAACGATGCGCATTTCTCGGACTGCCGTCAAGAGACAAATAGCCTCGCTGGGGTAGAGATAGTGATATGATAACTAGGCAGAGACTTGGAGGAACTGCAGCTCCATAGCGTCTACTTCAGAGTTCTCTGAGTATTGTTCGTGAGCTCAGGAGAACATGGCAGTAGATCATTCTAACCAACACTCATTATTCAAATACTGCGAGCCTCGGATAGGACGCGTTGGTCGACGACACGACACTACGACTCTCCTCGAGACCACATGTCAAATTGTCGATGCAAGTACTACGCCATCAAAGCAACCTCCACATCTCTCCTACCTCTGGAATGATGTTAGTCACGGTAGCACTGTACGAACATCATCAGGTGTGTTCATACTGTAAGATAATTTTACGCTATGCCCTGCGGATCAGGTCGATCCTACTCGTCACTTACGATCTATAGGTGCTCACATGCTCATTATGACGGGCTTTTAGGACAGCCCATCTTAGCAGGAACTCAGACACGACTCACGCAAAGTACCTGGCATGATGTAAATCATCCATGACGCTGCTTTGTCAGTTGGAAGAGATCAAGCAGACCGAATTTGAAGTTACCGATATAAATTAGCGTACCTGAGTATAACGCTTCGTCCTCGGCACAAACACCAGATTGTTAGACTGTGGGGCCCCATATTTATATTTCCAAACATGAATACTGTCAACTCAGTACACGGCGGATTGCCGTGCAACAAGTGAGTCAAATCTGCGAATCTTTCGACCATGAGCATGAGCGGCACACTAAGAGCATTCAGGACTCAGGGACACACCATCAAAAACCAAATCAAACTCAAACTCCGCACTGTCGATATGCGCCAGCGCACGGAACCACACCTCCGACGAGATCGGTCTTAGGCAGCGCCTGCCGTCTTCGTCGAACACTTTCCACCAAACAATCCTGCCCATGAAGTTAGGTTCCGCAGGATCTGCATCGCTGTCCCAGGCTATTCCAGGACCCGCTCCGAGGCACAAATAACGGAGAGTAGGAATGGCATTTGCGATTGGAACTGCCAACCGCTCGAGGACGTCATCCTCCGATTCCGCCATTTGTCTCGGGAAATGTCCTACAATGTAGATTCGAATCATGACGAGTGCTGAGGAATACAGAATGGGAGGGAGGGATGCCTGTTACACCAATCAACATGGCATCGCGTAGCAAGGGCACGAACTTACCATCCACCCAGATAGGTTTGTTATGCCATTATGATCGTCAAAACCAGTGGTTGAAAGGAGGGTGAGCTGAAGGCACCTCAGACGGGAATTCACGTTCATTAAGCTCATCCAGGAGATGAGCATGGTTTGGGTGACCGTCATGGTCAGAATGACAGGCAGTGTACCGCCCACCATTTCAACTAGCGATGCATCTGAGACACCCCCCTTATTCGTGAATATCAACCAGCGCACGAGACAGGATGCCTTCCACAACGTGAAGTCGGCAGGCTCTTGAATGTAAAGGCGTTCTAAGTGTTTCCAAGAGGCTGGTCCCCAGCCAGGACGGTCGACGGTAACAATTGCATGGGGCAGTGGTCGAATTGCGCGCAATGTCTGAATGTTAGGGAACGTGCGCGAGACAATGTTGCTCAGGTACAGACAATCATAGACCTCCAAGGACTGGAGTGCCGAGTGGACCATTGAGGGGTCCTCCATCACATCGGGATAAAAGAACACAGCACTGGCCTTCAGGGATCGCAGATCTTGCTGCCGGGTGAGTGCTGGGATGAGTGAAGGAATGAGCGCAGTTCGAATGTTTTCGGCACTGCTGACAGAAAGATTCACAAGTCCACGTCCTAGATTGTGCACTAGAGAGACAGCGAGAGGGCCAGCATCACGTAAATGCAGCTCGATGAGGTTAGACAACCCAGTTATGGCATTCCAAATTTGAGGGTTGTTTTGTAACACAGTCTCAATGTCCGGGAGAGAGAGGCATCGCAAACCGTGTGCAGACGCAAGGACAGCGACAAGGTGAGGTACGGCCGAGTAGTCCTTACGCAGATTGACGTCTCGGAAGGCCCATGCAGATAGTGTCAATGCGCGTATGCATGCCGGCCGGTATTCTGCATCCGCGAGAATATATGAGTTAAAGGCCTTCACTTGTGCAGGCGTCTCGAGACTTGCTGAGGATAGTGCACGGCGAATAGCGATGTAGTGGACTCTCTTAGCAGTGGCTGCGACAGCAAAGGCGTCACTGGGTGAAACGAAGGACAATATGGACGACAGGACATCATCATTTAGCAATAGAAAGGGCATTTTGATGATCGCACTACCGATCTTCTAGTAAAGGGTGCAGCCGGTCAGGACTCCAGCGGGACTTACAGCGTTATACGTACGTGTGCTTACCAGTTCCTGTATATAGAGAGAATCTGAAGCAACCAGCGAAATGGCGTACTCCTTGTCTAATGCTTGCTATGCTGCAGCACCGTCTTTGAACATTGACTAGGGACTAATAAGTAGAGGGTCGACCGCAGGATGACAGAGCCTCACTGGGGCGATAGCTGAGACAACGGTTGTGTGATGCGACGAGCGCAGGGGCGACACAGACTTCAGCCCGAGTGAGCGCTTTACGACCACATCCGCAGTACTTGCATTGTCGACACTCTCGTGCTGATGCATCTAATGTCCATAGCTATTTTGTCGATGACGGTCGCTACTTTGTGACTGCGGCGCAATTATGCACCCTGGGGCCTAGCATTTTTAACAAGAGGGATCCAGAAGTACTTCTGGCTGCGCCTTTTCCAACACAGCCCATATCCAGTGGTTCGAAAGGATCAGCCCCGACGATCTAGCTACTAATAGAATCGAGGCCAGGGTTACCGTGAGTGCAATTTCTAGCCTGCCGATAGCAGAGCCTTCATGGTCGACAATCTTCCGTGAAGTCTATATCTTGTGAGAGGAAGTGCGTGATATCCTACTTGGTCCCGCAGCTTGAGAGTCTGAATTCATTGGCCGTGCAATCAGCAACACGCCTACACGTGATGACGAGGCTATTGCAGAGTGTTACACATTTGTTGACAGATAACATCATATCCTAATGATATAAATGGGTGCCGAAGTCTTTCAGGCCCGATTTCGTGACGAGGCAGTATCGTTCGGCACTACACTACTTGTCAATGAGTATGGTACGTGTCTCACCTCGGCCATCATCTAGTAGACAGACGTTCTCGATCCTGTCGGTTTTGCTAGGCAACCGAGCCGCAGTGCGTGGGCAACTGAGGATCAACAAACATCGTTGATCCTTGTGGCTACTATATCTCAGGTGTAATACTCCTGCTTTAGCGGGCACTACACGACTATTGAGCTGATGCGAGATAGGAGGACGTGCATTGATAGCTTCCAAATCCCCCAGATCGATGCCAAAAGTCACGACACTGCGCGGACTATAGCCATGCTTGAACATCACGGCAGCCTTGTGTTCATCATAACCGCCTCCGCACGAAATTGGATGGTGCAACTATCAGGCACAGGCGAAATGACGTTCTCTGCATGTTGAAGGAAGCATTCAGCCATCCTTCGCAAGAAAGCGTTCAACTACGGCTCGTTCCTGACATGTCAAAACAGTTTGTCGAGCACCCAACACTGCTATTACTTGCTCACATCCCGAGCCGCCAGGGCAACTGCTGCATCAAGCTCTGTTTGTATCCAACCTGTCTGCGAGATGGTCGACTCATTTCCGTCCGCTGTACCATCGCGCGTGGTCGGCGTGCCGTGGCAGCTCAATCCCCCAGAAGTCCTGATCCAAGAACCACTGCTTCAGCTATAAGAATGCAAGTCAACTAAAGAGCTCTGTACCTTCTGCTCGCTCAGCAAACCAGCAGTATATCCCTCCTTCACAATCTCGCTCATTCCCTGTCAACACTTTCCTTCAAACATGTTTATCAAGACTGCTCTCCTCACCGTTGCCCTCGGACTCCTCGCCTCCGCGTCACCCTTGGCTAGGGACACCGGTATCCGGATTCCCATACAGAAGCGCGGCTCCCTTACCAACGTCGACGGCACCATCAACATGGAAGCGGTCACGCATGAAACCGCCAGGATGCAAGCGTATGTCTTCCTCTTGGTGCCAGGTTGCAACACTAACGCCTCGCTGCTTTAGCAAATATCGCGCCACTCGCGGGGCAGTGAACCGCCACAAAATGAAGGGGACTTCCACTAGTAGTGTCGACATCGTACTCCCAGTCCCCACATCCCCAATCTCCACATCCCAAACCAGTAGCCCGATAACGAAGCCCACCCAGCCCACAAGCCTCCAGTCGGAGCCGCTCATTGACAATGACAGCGGGCTGCTGTGGACAGGCTCAATTGAGATTGGGACACCTCCGCAGAGTTTCATTGTTTGCTTCGACACAGGCTCGGCCGACCTGTGGGTTGCGTCGTCTCAGTGCAACGGGTGCGATGCTCAAGACACTTACGATGCGTCGTCCTCGTCGACAAGCCAGGAACAGCAAGGCACTTTCCAAATTTCATATGAAGGTGGCCAGGATGTCACCGGGCCGATCTATACGGACACTGGTGCGTCGACTGCTGCGAGTGCCAAGTTCTACCGCTGATGTGCGTGGGTAGTGAGCGTCGCAGGCGTGAATGTCAGTGGGCAGTATTTCAGCCCTGTAACGCAAGCATCAGACATGAGCAATGAATTCCCGCTGGATGGCATCTTGGGCATGGGGTGGCCTCAGTTGTCCAATCTCCAGCAGGTACAAGGCTACCAATCACTCTCGTTGTAGATGCTCACATGGTCCCACCGCAGGACCCATATTTCTTCAGCGCAATCTCGCAGAATGCTGTGCAGCAAGGCGTATTTGGGTTCTACCTCGCGGCGAACAACTCAGAACTGTACCTTGGTGGAACGGACTCCACGCTTTACACGGGCTCGATCGAGTATCATGCTCTCGCCTCTGATTCTGAAGGCTGGTGGCAGATTGCCAACGCGAGTTTCCTTGTGAACGGACAGTCAGCCGCATCCGGCTTTGAGACCGTATGTGACATCTTTTGACTGTGCAAAGCACACTCGAGCACTGAACACATGTTGTCTACCTGGGATATAGATCATTGATTCTGGCTCTACATTTATGTACGCCCCGGTGGAAGCCGCCGCACAGGTGTACGGGACCATCGAGGGCGCGCAGCAAACTGAGGAAGGATTCTACATGTTCCCGTGTAGTTCGGCTCCCACGGTCGCTTTCAGCTGGGGTGGCAATAACTGGGAGATCCCTGCGGACAGGTGAGCATATCCGATGTTCATGAATCTTGATGTGGTGCTCATGCGAACAGCTTCAACTTGGGCGAGGTCGAAGAAGACTATTGTTTGGGCGCGCTCATATCTGCTGATATGGGTACCAATGCGTGGACGGTCGGTGATGTGTGAGTAGGATTCTCTGCGCCGTCCAGACATTGAACCTGACATTGTGCATCGCTCTCGCTCAGATTCTTGACGAACGTCTACAGCGCGTTTTCGGTAAACCAAAGTGCCGTGGGCTTCGCTACCCTGGCTTGAGGACTAAGAGCAGGCGGACGTGGGAACGAATGGACGTAATCTTCGAGGACTCTTTCGTCTTGGTATTGTGATCGAATTCCACTAGTATTCCGGTCTAACTTATTCTCCCGGGGGCTCGACGTACTTGTCTTTTGAAACCGTCCAATTCAATGTCAGTAATGTGATCATACCCAATACATTCAGCGAAGGTATCGAGACTGAATTTGACGAGTATGGTGTGTGCGACGCTAGATAAGATAATGAATCTGTAAGTACGTGACCTGGTTACACACAGCACCAAGGAAATAGTACGGAGACCTCCGGCGGACAACATCGGTTTGTATATCAAGGTCATCCAGTCTCCACTGTCTAGCGCTCGCAATCGGCGGCCTCGAATATGATCCCTGAAACCTTGACTTTCAACAGCCAGATCACTGAAGGTGGATGATTGATAGTTCAAACAGCGAACGGATCCTGGCACCTATCGAGAGAGCTGTGCGGCATATGGTAGCCTCGTACATACATTCCACGACGTCCCTCATGCTTAATGGTATGTCCTCAATTGCTGTTACGAACCCGCTCTGATAATATAAATGGCACAATGATGACGTTCAATTGTGTCAAACTCGGGAGGACCTGCTCATGCAATTGACTGTATGTTGCGTTAACTGGTATATGGAAGACCTATGTGGAAGACCTACGATCCATTTAGGTAGCCAAGATGGCCAATAATTGCGCTCCTCATAAATTGAGACGTGGATAAGCATGGATCACGTCTTACCGGATTGTGAGATATGTAGTGACGAATCTCGCTGCCCAGATGATGGGTTCCGTTCTGCGTAAGATATTGTACATCCGATTGATTGTTCCCCCTTCCACGAGGATTTCACGAGTCCCGCCAGCGAAAACCAGATGGCGGACGGGGCAGATAACCGGCTATTGCAAGGGATCTTCCAAAGTATCGACAGCCACCTTGTCGAGACGTGGTCAGCATACCTCAGTGTCTTACCCTGCTCTCGCAAGTCAGCGAGCAGGCTACACCAAGTCAGGGTTGAAATGATAGAACTGAGCGACAAAGGACCAAAGTTTGGAAAAGCGCTCATGGAGGAGGCCATGGCAAGAGTACATACTGCAGGAAGCTGTGGGTATAGAGTGTGTATGCGAGGAGATTGCGAGGATCCATCTCATGTTCTACAATGCTGGTCATTGAAATGCATTGCAAATTGTTGAGATGGGCGTTGCAGGACAACAGAGTGCCGGATCTGAGGCGCCAGGGAGATTATATGGAATGTCGTGAGCTCTCTTAGGGATGTGAGGACTCTGATGACTGATTCGGAGCTCACCTACTAGGAGTTCTTTCAAAAACAACACCCGCAGGCTTTGGAGCATGAGCGCGTGCTCGAGAATATCTGCGAGGAGAGATACTAGTGTGGCGGCCTGGACGACTGAGAGATGACACAACGATGGACAGAACATTGTGATTGACTCGGAGGGGCTGCGTGTTCATTGTGAACAATCTACGTTGCATAACTGGTATGTCAACAGGAGGAACTGACTCAGATAATATCAGGGTGGCTCTCAGAACTCGCCAAGGTGGCGGTTGTACTCAGCGGATGTTAGCCTACAGACGGGCGCTTCAGATGCACTTTGTGGCCTGGCTTCCAAATCGGGATACGAACGTCGGTCCGCGGCCCACACCAGTTTTCTTGACCAGACATTGACCAAGACCGTATCAGGGCCGCAGCGTACCGAACCTTCGTCCACTGCTAGTCCGCGGGTTGGAAGTCTGAGAAAAGTTTGCGACCACTCGCCGAACTTCGCAAAAACCTCATACGCACCGAAGTGCTTAGTTTCTACTGGTGACCTGCTGCCTGTGAGATTCCGGGCTTACCGACGAGACACAGCTTTGGACCGCGACCACTGCAGCCTAGACCCACAAACGCATACGTTTGTCTTGTGCGGGTGTGATAGGCCTCATACCGTTGGACGCTTGCGTGTCATTTGGAAGAAACTAGAGGAGCATAGCCCTACCTATGTCGGGACTAGGTCTGCTAAATAGTGATAGCAAGCCCCTTCCAGCCGACGATGAGGCAGCTGCGAATACGCGGCAATGGCATCTTGCCTCCGAGACTGAGTACAGATTTGAACTCGATCCGAATAGCTCTTTAGCGATCAAGGTGCGTTTCAGATGCTGCACAACGCAGCACATTTATTTCTTCCGCATGGTCCTTCCACGACAATACCGAATCAACCATTTCTTTCCAGCTCGTACATGGTCAAGCAGAAATTTTTGGTGCCGAACTTGCCGAAGGCAACACCTATGTATTTGGCCTCGAATGCAAGGCAGCCGTGTATACATGGCAAGGTTGCACAATAGAGATGAGTCCCCCTCCATCTCTTGCCATAAATCACGAAGAAACTTACCTTTATGCCCTCTTTCCGTGGTCTTATTACGTCACAGGCCAGCCATCCACGGAGTATGTCTCTGAGGAGACTCCCATGCAGGTTTACGCCAACCTTGTCCTTGCACTCGAACAGATGCGCGTAAGAGCCCTGCGAGCCTTCCACGGCTCTCCCCCATCTTCAGAGGAAGGACCTGACCCAGACCCGGATCCGCAACCACCACGCGTTCTCGTTTTAGGACCGGGGAATTCTGGCAAGACCACGCTATCAAAAATGCTCATCAACTATGCTGTCCGCATGGGTCAGAGCTGGAATCCAGTCCTGGTCAACGTCGATCCCGGTGAGGTATGTCAACATTCGCGTACATACTTCGCGCCACTCTTCTTACCTTCTGAGCACTCAGGGTGGCTGGGCAGCACCGGGTGCGATCTCTGCCGCAACCATCACGTCACCCATACAGACATCGACACCGGCATCAACATTTGGCTCGGCCGCCACATCCGCTCCTGCACATCTCACCTCCAATGCCCTCCTTCCCCTAGCATATTGGTATGGCCATGCGGAAACACGGCGCAACCCACTCCTGATGGACCGGCTGATACGTAACCTCGGTGAGAACATCTGGGAGCGGTGGGACAATGACCTCGGAGGTAGTGCCTGAGGGTTCCCCTCACATTTCGTGTCCACGTTCTGATGCTCTCGACGTCTGTGCAGGACGTGTAGCGGGACTCATCGTCGACACACCCTCATCATTCGCGGCAAGCTCGGGTCCCAATGGGGACCATCGACATGCCCTTATCAAAGCCTGCGTGGATGCATTCCGAAGTGAGTCGCAATATATTCACGAAGCCAGGCGATACTGAATGATTTTCACCCATCCCAGTCAACGTCATCCTCATCGTCGGGCACGAGAAGCTGAACGTCGAGATGCAGCGAGCATACGGCAACCGCATCGCCGTCGTCAAAATCCCCAAATCGGGCGGGGTGAGTGCCACACCAGCACACCCCCATCCTATCCCGCAGCTGACTGACCGCCTCGTCCGTCATCTCCTCCCTTCCTCACATAGGTCGTCGAGCTCGACCCGAGCTACCGCGAGCGCGCGCGCAAGCACCAGCTCCACAACTACATGTACGGCAGGATCATCCCGCCCCCGCCCGGCCTCCCGCCCACGAACGTCCTCCAGGGCGGCGAGCAGACGCCCGACCTCACGCTCAACCTCGCGCCGTCCTCGTCCATCGTCGCCTTCGGCGACCTCACGCTCTACCGCATCGGCGAAGGTGCGGGCTTTATGTCTTTCTTTTGTTTTTGCCCGCTGCGAGCGCCATGCTGATATTGCCATACCTATGCACCCCCGGCACTCCACAGAGACGATGGCGCCCACGTCCGCGCTCCCCATCGGCGCGACGCGCGTCGTGTCCGAGATGCAGCCGCTCCTCGTGGACCCCGCGCAGCCGGGCTCGGGCCTCTACAACGCGGTCCTGGCGCTGCTCGCGCCGCCGAACCCGGACGAGTCGGAGCGCTACGACGAAGAGATGCTCGACCTCCCCGTCGTCGGGTTTCTGGTGATGTGCGTCCGCTTACTTCTTACTTCGCCGCGTGCTCACGATGTCGGCCGCTGACTCCACTGACTCCGCTGTGCAGCACGACGCTGGACATTCCCAACAAGCGCATGACCGTGCTCGCGCCGACGCAGGGCTCTCTGGTCGGTCGGACCGCCATTGTCGGCTCGATCGAGTGGCAAGAATGAACAACTCTGGTCCTAGTATCTAGTACATATACCTGCCCCATAACTATCTGTCGCGTCTCCCTTACATTCAGCCAGCTTAGTTTTCTTCAAAACAAAAGTGACCGCCGACGGCTGCTGCTGAGGATATAATATACGCGTATGCAACAGCTTTTCAACACATTTATAATAAGACATTTGTCTACAACAATTTTCCTGAGTGCAAAAGTCTACCGGGATATGTGGCCGTATACCGGGCTGCGCCGTAGAAATACACACGGGCAGCTCTACAGCCGTGAGAGGTCTCTGCCCCAGACACCGCTGTGATGCCAGCCAACATGGGTAAGAACCGGCAGAAACAAACAGGGAATTCGCGACCACGCACCGGACGATCCAGTCGATCATGAGCAGCGCACGCGTGCGCGAGCTCACCTGCTCGCTCCAATACACGCTGCGCCACGCGTACATCGCCGCCAGCCCGCCCATGAAGCTCGTCTTGCCGAGGTCGAACACCGCCGCATTGCCGATGTACCTGAAAACCAGACGCGGTGCCGAACACACAACACACATCAGCACCAGGTGAGAGGAAGCGATCATGCATGCGTACGCGAGCGAGCCGAGGTGGAGGTACTTGAAGGCCCCCGAGACCGCCTCGTCCGCGCCGGGCCCGAACGCGAGTCCGTTCTGGATGAGCACGTCGCGCTGCTTCGCGAGCTTCGTGAGTTTCCGCCCGAGGTACTTGCCCTGCTGCGACGCCACCTGCGCCGTCTGCAAAGCGACACCCACATGAGACAAGATCCGCGCACACGCGCACACAAGAGAGACTAAACGCGCACCGCGGGCAGCGCCGTGATCTTGTTCCCGATCTCCTGCAGGAGCACCGCGAGCTCGTTCAGCGTGATGGTGTTGTCCGAGTCCTCGTCGTACAGGTCGAACAGCTCCCGGACCTGCGCGCCGTGCACCGTGCAATATCATCAGCCTCAGCCTCTGACCACGTATTCGCGGGGCGCACCTTCTGGAGCTGCGACTCCGCCATCGGGATGCGCGCCTTGATACGGTTAACTGTTCACGGCGTCAACGACGGGCTCCCTCCGCGCACCGTGTGTCCCAACGGCACCACTGCACACGCACCCATAACGCGCCATTCGTCGTAGTCGATCTTGCCGTCCTTGTTCTTGTCCGCCTCGTCGACGAGTTCCAACAGGTAGCTCACGACCGACGTCTCAATCTGCGCACAGGGCAAAGGACGGCCGTGAGCCAGTGTTGTTCATGAGGAGCAAGGTCACACACCGTGCTGGCGTCGCCAATCGCGTACACCTCGCCCACCGGCGCGCCCTTTACGCGCAGGTGTGCGTCGACCTCGATCGCCTTCTTATGCACCTGGTTCGGCCTAAAAACGTCCCGCAGCATCAGCATTCTCAGTGACCAAGCCCCCCCTCGCACATCCCCCCCAAGGACTCGCGAAGAGCAAAGAGCAGCACATCAACGCCCAAAGCACACGAACACGGACACTCACAGCAAGTTGGACACGCGCTCCGTGAACGGGTTCATCGCGATGCCCGTGCTCCACAGCACAAAGTTCGTCGGGATCTCGTGCCGCACCGCCTGGCCGTCCGGCCCGCGCGTCGTGTACTCGACGTGGTCCGCGTGCACCGCCGCGACGCGCGCGGACGTGATCAACCCGATGTCATCGTGCAGGAACTTGTTCTGTGCGCCATCAACGGGAAATCAGTAAAGAGCAAAAAGAAAATAGGGAACGATGACGGTCGTGTTACCTCTGCATAGCGCGAAATGGCCTCCGAGTACTGTGGAGGGTCTGCGCTTAGCGCACACCCCCGGGCTCCAGAAAATCATCGCGCCTACCGTGTTGAGGATGTGCTCCCGGCTTTGAATGACGTGTATCGAGACCTCCTCACGGCACAGCTTCGGGTACTGTCCGTGCAAAGCATATAACACATTAGTCGCGCGAGACGTGAGCACGCCGCCGCAGAGACACAGCCGGCACGCACGTAGTTGATGATATCCTCCTGGCACAGGTCGTATATCTCCGCCGCGGCCTCGACACCCGTCGGACCGCCGCCGCACACGACAAAGCTGAGCAGCCGCCGACGCTCTTCCGGTGTTGTCGTGGGGAGCGACGCCGCCTCGAAGTTGTCTGCAGCACATGTGGGTGGTGAGCGAACGGACATCGCGGGAGGGAGGGCATCACGAGGGCACGCAGCGAGACGCACCCAGTATCCGTTGTCGAATCTTCCGCGCGTCGCGCACCGTCTTGAGCTGGAAGCAGTGCTCGAGGCCGGGGACGCCGTGTGTACTGCTCGTCGAGCCGACGGCTATGACCAGCTTGTCGTACCTGCAGCGGTATACCCCCAGTTAGTTGGTCTGTCCGTGCGTGTGTGCACGGCATGGCCCTCTGAGGAGTGGGTGCACTCACGGGACGTATATGCGCTCCTTGGTGCCGTCGGAGCGCACGGTCTCGACCTCGAGGAGGCGCTCGGACATGACGAGGTCGACGGCGCTGGCGTTGAGGAGGTGGCCGCGGAGACGTGCGAGAAGCTTGCGGAGCGGCTCGACAAGGGAACGTACCTGGACGGTGCCGACGGCGGCGGCTGGAAGTTGTGAGTATGGGCCGGGGTCACGCACGGGGAAGACACGCACATGGGAGAAGCGGGGTGAATGTGGTGTACGTGTCGGGGGAGACAAGGGTGACGTGATAGTCAGAGGGGCGGAGGGTATTTAGGATGGCGACGGCCTGTAATGGGGCGAGGTCAGTGGGATGGAGGGTAAGGGAAAAGAAGAGCACGCACACCCCAACCACCACCGACGATGACAAGGTGGGGTTTGTCGACGAGGCCCTCATTCTCTTCGTCCTGATAGTCGCTGAGGAGTCTACGGAGGACGGGGAGGTTCTTGGGGCCGCCGCGCTCGGGGTGGAGGGCGAGGGGCGAGACGGGGACGCCGTCGATGTGCTGTTGGACGAGGGTGAGCGGGGGACGGGTAAGCACAATCGGGACGGGTCGCAGACCTGGGTGTTGTAGGTAAAGGCATCGTGGAGGAAGATGGCGGAGGTGAGGATGGCGACGCCGACGACGGTGGAGCCTGCGAGGTAGCCGGACCAGCGGACGAAGGTGCGGACGCGCACGAAGCGCGGGCGTGGGGGCGGAGGCGTGAGGGCAGAGGAGGAGAAGGGTCGTGTGCGCAGGAGAGACGGGGGGCGGCCGAGACGGGCTATGGGCGGGGGTCGTGCAGCCGCGCGGAGGAGCATGCCGGGGATGGGGACTGCCCTGGTGAGCAGGACGAGCACAGACGCGTCGCGTGCAGGAATAAAAGAGCACACAGGACCGCGGTGCGCCTGACGTCACCACCACCGCCAGGAACACGCCCGTCCCACGGCCGACTCCGCCTAAGCGCACCCCGGCGCTTACACAACGTTCTGAGGAGCGCTTTCCAAGACAGACGTGCACAGAAAGAACAGTGCTCCAGACATCCTCTATTATCGTCGCACTACGCTACAGATTGTGTATACAGATACACCTAATAGTACAAGTCACGATGTCTCTACACGACTCGTACATAGTCTTACAGCCGTGCATCCCGCTCACAGAAACGCAGCCACCTTTACCGGCTTCCGCACAGCCGCAGAGTTGCCCTCGTTGAACCGGTACGCCACCCGGTACGCCGCCGTCTTCTTCGCCTCCGCCTCCTTGACCTTCTCCTGGCTAGTCTTGTCCGCGTCTGCCTTCGGTACAATCGGTCGCCCGAAAAAGTCCACCGCGACCTGTTATTGCGCATTCAGCTTCGCCCACACAAACCGAGAGAATAAGCACGCTCGCACCTTCACCGCGGGCACACCCCCGTCCCCCCGCGCCCGCTTCGCCTGCGGCTCGCCATCTTCGCCCGGATGCTTTGCAGCGGCCTTCGCACCGCGCGAACTAGCCCTGCGTCCACACATCAACGCGAGCTCGAGCACGCAAACACACAGTCTGCCACTTACCCTTGGCGGAAAAAGCCCTCCTTCCCCGGCCGGCCCTTGTCCCCCGTCTCCGTCTGCACAGACACCAGCCGTGCGTCGATCTGCGCGAATCTGTCAGTCGCTCTCTCCGCACACAGCACCCATCGCGCAACGACCCACCTCAGTCGCCACCAGCTGCCTCACAGCATACTTCGACACCGCAATGTCCACCGCACGCTTCCCGTCGTACGTCACAAACACGTCGATCGGCCTGCACGCGCGCGCACGCACACACACCGTCAGCGCACCGAAAACACAAAACACAAAAGAAAAGACACGCACGGATCGAGCCGGTACGTCAACTGCCCGTCCTCCATCTTCTCCTGCACGAACCGCAGCTCCAGCGCGACCATAATATCCACCACCCGCCCCAGCACCGCGCGCTCCCCCGGCCGGATGATCTGCCGGTTCACCGGCTTCAGCGGCGGCGACACGATGCGCATCAGCAGCGGCGCCACCTCCAGCCGCAGCACCGCGTCCCCCGCCAGGTGCCGGTACCCGCCCCCCGCCCCCCGCAGCCCCCGCGCGAGCGCCGCGTAGATCTCCTCGTTCGCCCTCGTCACCAGGTAGTTCTGCGTGCATCCGCGTCAGCCCGGCCCGCCTGGCCTCTCCCCAGGGGAGTACCAACGTGACGCGCACCTCGTAGTCCGCCTTGGCGCGCTCGACGCGCCCCCCGCCGCGCTCCTGGAACAGCGGGAAGAACGCCGCGAGCAGGTGCGGCAGGTACGCCAGCAGCGCGTACTCGCGCTCCGCGCGCATCTCCCCCGCGAGCACGTCGTACGCCCCGAGCCACTCGTGCGCCTTGAGGTACCGCCCAAAGTTCGCGTCGTGCCGGTGGCAGCTCGCGTAGTGCTCGAAGCATCCTGGCAGCACGCTCCCGTCAGCAGAATACACGCGCGCGAGCGCACCCCCGACGCACCCTGCGCGACCTTGTCCATCGCCCCGCTCGCCTCGATCTCGCGGCTCAGACGCGCGGCGTACCGCCCCTCCTCGTCCTCCGTCAGCCCGAGGTCCTTCACGCGCTTGCGCGACAGCGGCGCGAACAGGTCGTTCAGCACCGCCGTCTGCGACGTGTCCGCCTCCTTCATCCCCGCCGTCGCCGCGCGCACGACGGGCTCCGTCACCTCCTTCCCCCGCGCTTTGATCAGCTGCACGCCCCGCGATACCATTAGCTTGGCACAGGTCGCACACGGCGAGAGAACAAGAGGGGGCCCGCACCTGCAGCATGTTGAGGCACCCGCGGAGGTCGCCCTGCGCGGCACCGACGAGCGCGGTCAGCGCGCGCGAGTCCGCGCGGAGGCTCTCGCGCTCGCAGATGTCGCGCAGCCGCCGCACGAGGAGGACGTCGTTCGGGCGCGAGAAGCGCACGATGCGCGCGTGCGCGCGGAGCTTTGCGAGCGAGCCCGCGTAGAGGTCGTTGCAGATGCAGATGATCGGGCGGAGCAGCGGGCGCGACGCCTTCGGGTCCGCTTTACGACCTGTGCGAAGAGGTGGGCTCTAGACGTCAGTCGGCAACGGCCATGGCGGCGGGGGACGGCGGACCTTTTTTCTTTGGTCTGTCGTATGTTAGTTGTATGAGCTTCTGGATAAACCCGGCAGACTGTCGATGTCCATTATTACTGTTGTTGCTTCTGAAAAAGAGGAAAGCCGACTCACGCTGTCTGTGCCACCTGTGGCACCGTCTATCTCGTCGATGACTGCCAATATAGGCCTTGCACTGCCAATAGCGGAGCCTGTTTCCAATGCAGGGCGGAGCCTCTCGTCAATTACCTGTGCAGAGCGCGCATCGCTGGAGATGCTCGTGAGCACATAAGCTCCCAAACATCGTGCTCAGAGACATACCTCGCGTTGATCTCGAAGACACTGTATCCTGCATGCTGGGCTACCACATGTGCCAGGGTCGTCTTCCCCATCCCCGGTGGCCCGGACAAAAGCAGGATCTGCAACGTCGTCGGCGCATCAGCAAGCTATCGCGCCCCGATGCAGCCTCATACTCGCCTTTTCCCTTGGCCGCCGCCATTCGTCGAGGTTCTCCGTGTCCTCCTCGCGCCGCCGCTTCTGGCCGCGCCCCTGCCGCCGGCCGAAGACACAGTAGTCCCACTCCTTCACCCACGCCATGACCTCCCGGTGCACGCGGTCGTCGCCCAGGAGATCCGTGAAGCGGCGCGGGCGGTAGCGGTCCACCCATAGGCTCGCATCGCCGCTCGGCACAGGTCGCGACGGCCCGGGAGTGGCGTGTTCGGCATCCCTGTCAAAGCCCTCGCTCGTCAGTGAGGGAGAACATATCATGTGGTGGGCCGCGAACGCACGCGCGCGACAGCTGTCTTGCTGTGTCGGTAGATAGTTGGTCGAGCAGACGGTGCATCGGTACATCCAGCAGTTTCGAGTACTGGCTCCCGCCGCTCGAGCTCGCCGCAGCGCAGGTGGTTCCTTCAGTAGGCTGTGACCGACGTCGTTCAGTATAGATCAAGGCACCCTTCGGACCAGTGTGGCGACAGACCTTCTGACGCGCTTCACGGCGAGGTTTCCGCCTGAGGACGACCGGCTTGCCATCGAATGTCGATGTGCGCAGTGGGGGGAGATATGTTGAAGAGGACTCGGACGAGACGGCATCAGATGCGTATGGTCTCAGCAGCTCCGAGACATCCGGGAATTCTGGATCTATATCGCTGCGAATGAGCCATCTGTCGAATTAGACCGCGATGAAGGAGCTACCCTGAGACTCAGGTACACTGGACGCTGCCGGAGGACTTGCTTCAGGATGTTCTGTGGCCTCGTAGAGTCGAGCAGATTCGAGGAACAAATAGCCGCGCCCTTACCTGCAGTGTTGCCGTTGCTTACATTGAGAAGACCTGTAGGCACAAAGGTGCTGTCTATAGTACATCCGTCCCGTTCAGACACAGACATCCACGCGCAGAGCAATGACGTACCCTCGAGTGCTGCTGCTTCCCCGAATTCGTCACCACGCCACTCACTCTCTTCATTGAGGTCGTCGGGGGAATGAGTCTCGTCTGAGTCTGTCCCAAGCAGTAGACTTGTGAGATCAAAAGCGGCTTGGAGATTTATGTCCGACTCCTGCGACAGGGGAAAGGGCGCTGCCGCGGGCCCGCCCAAGAGGTTGCTCGGTTGCCCGAACGTCAATGAACTCATCGAGCCAAGAAACAAAGGGCCTGTTCGCGACTAGTCGTAAGAGAGAAGCCTGAGCCTTGTTTGTGCGGATGGTAATACTTGCTCGCATTCCTTTACGGTCGTGTACGTGACAATGTCGCGTAGTGTCACAGGACATGTGCCTGTGATACAATGCGCTCAAAGTGATTGCCCACTTTTCAAGGCGAAATCTCTGACTGCCACTGTCATCTCCCAAGAATCTTTCGCGTAGTCGCAACGCCCCAAATTGTTTAGCAGACTCATGGGAGTGTTCCAATCGACATGCATATATACAGCGTGTATCGTGAGGCGAATGTGACCGCGTAACGAGATTGCAGCTTGAATGAGAGGATCGAAGTACCGTAATGATGCTCGTCTAGTTGAGATTCATCGTGCCATGTCACTACTGTAGCGCAACTGGTCGATCGCCACCTTGCACGCTGCGCGTTTCCCGACAACCTTCACAATGTCGGGAGGGTTCATCATATGGGTAAGGTTCTCGGGGGTACCAACAGTATTGTAAAGACGGTAGGTAGGGAATAACACCTGTGTGCCAGTGCGTTCCTGTAATGCTTTGACGCGTATCCCATGCTTGCCGATAATGGCTGGGTGTTGAGCGGCAGGTATGCTCACGGCAAGCACCACCTTGAATGCATGCTGGAGGACCTCGACGACTGAAAGCATAGAGGGCCTGTTTCCCCAGTGCTGATCCCAGCAGCGTTCGATGAGCTTCCACACTTCATCAGAAAGCCCAATATCTGTGGCGTTAGGCCGCGAGGGACGATCACCATTAACGATCTTGGCCCTAACATTGGTAGGGCGTAAAATGTCGAAATAGGGAATTTCCCCGGAGAAGATCTATAAATCCATTAGATCTCCAGATAGTTGAGAAAGAGGTCTTGTACCTCCAGCATTACCATCCCAAACGAATGTATATCGCTCTCGAAGATGACACCGGGCACTCCAAATTTATCTGGCTCCAAAACCTCGGGCGCCGCCCATCTTTCGGCCTGCCCCGCCGGTGTTGTAGTCCTGGTGTTCAATGTATCCTCACTGTACATTACGCAGGCAAGGCCGAAGTCTGCGAGTCTCGCTCTCCCGTTGGAATCAATGAGAATGTTGTCCTTCAATCACTCAGTCGGTCTCTTATAATGAACTCGAGATGGACTTACGCCCTTTAAATCACCGTGTACCACCCGATAGCAGTGCAAATATTCGAGCCCGAGAGCTACGTTCATTATCTCGAAAAGCTCTATATGGTAACTGTGCTCGTGCAAGAAGAGACATACATACCAAGGATTGACGATTTGAGTTCGGATTTCCTTTGATATATTCTCGCACACAACCACCAGGCATCCATGCGCTGACTAGGCGAAGTCGAGGATCTGGTCTGTTTTCCACACCCAGAAATGGAACAATGTTAGGATGCCTGAGATACCGGCAGACAACAGCCTCTTTGTAGAAAACCTAGCAGTCATCCGACAGTTAGCGATGCCAACAAAACATGGAAGACTATACATTTGTGTTATCAGACTTGCGTATGAGTTGCTTCAGAGCGACATCGTGCTCTTCATATTTCCCTTTATACACAATTCCATATCCGCCGTTTCCCTCTATGTTGTCGCCGATTCGGCTAAGCTTGCTTGATAGTATATAGAATGATGCCGGCAAGCATGCACTCCGTGCTGAAAGTTTTCTGAGGGAATGAAATGCTCTTTCATGTATCTGTCTGTCCGATACATCAAAGAAATACATGACCTGCGTGACAACACCATGTCAAAGTGACAAATGTAGAAGTCGAGATACGCACGCCATCCAAGAGGTCAGCCATACACTGTGCGTCATCGCCATTTAAATTGGGTATCGATTGTACATCGACTTCCGATGTCAGGAACAATCTCATTGCTTGCATGACCTTTTCCAGAGAGAATTTGTCGGTATCCTTGATACTGGGTAATCTCGCTAACAATGTCGGTGTAATGAAAGATCGGTTGTTTAGCTTTGCGCGCAGAATCTCATGATGATGCTCAGTTTCAAGCGAGAGGATTAAGTAGTCCAAAGTACCTCCAGCGAGTCCCAATACATCCTGTCAACCAGCTCTTCTGTAGGTTCAGTCTGTCCCAAACATTGGACGACGGAAGGTCGATTTGTTGTCTCCATGTCGAGCTAGTCACAGTCAAGCCTCATGAGCACTCGCGCATGTCCTCTGAGAACTGTATTACTTTGATCAGTTGTGACCCAGTGAAACAGCAGGTTTGCCGGTCAAACAATTGATCAAAATCAGACAGAGTGGAGGATCGAGGGGATTGAACATGTGACAATGAAGGAAGACATCGTCGCGGGGTGTCATATTCACGTGTGTGTGACATGCGCAGCTCCGATCACAGCGGTTTATTCGAATTGTTATGATGATCCAGGTATCGGGAGAAGTCTAATGAACGTAGACAAAACATTGTGAGTACTTTACAACAAACAGTGGTTGAGGTAGCACGTAGTTCAGAGCGAGCAGAGCATGATGAAAGGAAACAGAAGTCAACGTAAGACCAATTCAACAACGCGAAGGAAAAAGTCTGAACCGCTCATGCAAGTTCAGCGCACAGGATCGCACAATAGCTGTATGGTATTTGCATTGTCAGGACCCCCCGCCACTTGAGCCGTTCCAGGATTCGAAAACATTTTTTTTACATTTCCGCGCATGCCGCATATACGAAGTGTTTTCTTTGACGCACGTTCATGGAGCGTGTTGCGCTAGAAGCGCATGAAGATGATGTTACTATGATCACATTGTCCACGTAAGGATGGGCATAGCACTCACCGAGCGCGCGCTGCAGCTCCTTGATGACCGTCGTCATATTAGGCCTTTTATGTCGATCTTCATCCCAGCATTGTTTCATCAACTCCCATAAACTGTCAGAAATCCCGCGTGCTGTCGCGGCTGGTGTCCGTGGGGGACGCTTTCCGCTAAGTATCCTGAAGGTGACTGCAGCACTGGTCCGAGCATCCGCAAACGGCCGGTGGCCAGTGAAGATCTGCGAGACCATCGGATGATGGGCAGGCAAAAAAGAACAAGACACCCACCTCCCACATTAACATTGCCAGTGAATATATATCGCTCTCTGGCATAGGATCTTCTTTCTCATTGATTCCATACTGTTCAGGGTCAAGAACCTCGGGAGCCATCCAGTAGACGGTACCTTGCCCTGGGGTTACAGCAGTCATAGCGTTGACGGAATCAGTAGCATATACAATGCGCGAAATGCCGAAATCTGCAAGGCGTGCGTGCCCTTCAACGTCGACTAGGACATTGATCTGTGATGCGACAGAGATGATGTCAATCGATCACAGAAAAGTCCGAGACCATACGTACACCCTTCAAATCGCCATGCACAATTCCAAAGCTGTGTAAATATTGCAAGCCATATGCCACGTCCATGATCTGAAGAGGGTTTCAGCTAAGTGCTTCGCTTATAAGGCGTCACTCACCAGAGGAAGACGTTCCGCGTCCGGATGCGCCTGGATGTGATTATGTAGATGTCCCCTGGGCATCCATTCACTAATCAAACCCAGGTAGAGCCCCCTATCTTCTACTCCCAAAAATGGAACGATGTTCGGATGCGATAGATATTTCCAGACGACGGCTTCCTTGTATAATCCCTTGCAAATGAATGGGTATCCATCTGTCTGAAGTCACAGTGATTGAGCCTCGTTACCTTCGCAACTGTGGATTTTTGCAAGAGCTTTATGGCGACATCCTGGCTTCCATAAAGCCCACGGTACACGATCCCAAAACTCCCATGACCCACGGGTTCCTCGCCGACCCTTTGCATCTGGCTGGATGGGATATAAAACGAGGCGGGAAGGCATTCACTTTCTGCACAGAGCCTCCTGAGTACGTGGAATGCCGTCTTCCGTAGCTTGTCATCTAATTCTATGTCAACATCGAGCAAAGACATAGCCTACGTTCAATCGCATGAGGTCACGGCAAAACCAGATGCTGAGCTTCGAAAACGCACGCAATCTAAGAGGTTGGCTATAGAAATGGCGTCGCTTCCCCGGAGACTATACAGGGATCTGACAGTGCCTTCGGTTGCAAGCATCTTCCTGATCCCGGTCATTATTTCTTCTGGAGAGACCTTCGTGGGATCGGCTATCCCAGGCACATTCGCTGCAACCGCCGGCGATTTTGCAGCTAGTTCTGCAAACTCACGATGTAGGAGCTGCTTCTGCTGATTTAAACATGTCATGCTGACCGTTAACGGTCCCCATGTGAATTTACCTTGCTCAAATCGATTTCTGTGCTCATCGGTCGTGATTGAGCTCACCAGCGCCGTCAAGATTGTCGACGATAGGGAGATGTGTGCGCTCCGATCGAGCGGCATGGGCTGCGTACTTTTACACGCCCAACTATCGCCTTCTGGTCGAGCTGTACACTCCTAGTTGGCTGATCGCACACGCTATGGATAGCCTGTTTCAATTTGAGGGCTCTGATTAGACGGAGCGACACGCTTCTAACAGCAGCGGTATCTAATTTATCCGATGCTGGGTATACTGTCACTACGAGCTAGCTTTCAAGTATACAAGGAGACCTATGCTTTATTGTCGGAACAAGCGGCAAACTTCACACATGATACAACGGCATCTCACAAACCAAATGCGATCGTACGCGGGATGTAGTCAACACAGTGTATTCGTATATAGTTGAAATGAGCAATTGAGCGACATAGCAAGATGAGAACGAGTAAGCAGGGATCAAAGCACAAGGAGCAATACAGAGCATGACGAGAGCGAAAAAGCAAGATACAAAGCAGCGACAATCGGTGCGACTCAACGTTAGTGGAACTACGGTCGGCTCATGGAAGTCCGATTTGAAGTAAATGCATGACAATCGTTCGATGCCCTCCAAACACCTGCAGTCTGGCGCGGCTACAGTAAGACCACCAGAAACAGCAGCTGGCACGCCGGGAGCCCTGTATACTCTGGACTTCAAATTCATTCGTCTTGCCTAGATCACGCGTTGGAAGAATGTGGATTGGTGGTGGGGTATCTGAGGTGCCGCGGCGAATATTACTCTGGATAAGTTGGGTAAGATTGTGGTGACTCCACTGGTTGCGATAATGTAGTTTACTCACCGATAGCACGCCGCAACTCCTCCACGACTATCTCCATTGTGGGCCTATTGTGCCTGTCTTGATCCCAGCATCGTTCCATCAGGTGCCATATGCTGTCCGAAAGCCCAAGTTCCGTCGCATCTGCGGGCCGCGGAGGACGTATGCCATTCAAAATCGAATATGCAGCCATAACATCTCCACTGTACGGATATACGCCAGTGAAGATCTGCAAGACAGTTGAATTTCGGTTGTACAATGGAAGATCGACATTGTACCTCCCAAATGACCATTGCGAACGCATAGACATCGCTCTCTTGGCTAGGATCTTGATCTTCCAATCCGAAGCGTCCAGGAGCCAGGAGTTCTGGAGCAGACCAGACGAGGGCGCCTTGCTTGGGGATCGCATTGCTTTCATGGTTGAAACTTTCATTATTGTATACAACGCGTGCTAGGCCAAAGTCCGCTAGTCGCGCCCTGCCATCGATGTCCACCAAGATGTTGGTCTGTGACGACGGTGTTCGCAATGTTCAAGATCAGAACCACAAATAAGCACGACCGTACGTACACTCTTCAAGTCACCGTGCACAATTCCAGTCTCGTGCAAATAAAGCAAACCTTGGGCAGCATCCATGATCTGGAGATGTGGAGCGTCATTCTATGTCCCTTCCTTTATTTGCTGAGATGTGCTTACTAAAGACAGACGATTCGAGTCCGGGTGAGTCTTGATATATTTCCGTGTGTCTTCACCGGGCATCCATTCACTGATCAAGGACAGCGAATCGCCATCCTCTTCCACTCCTAGAAACGGCACAATGTTGGTATGCTTTATAAAACGCCACACAACTGCTTCCTTGAACCACATATGCTACACGCAGTCATCAGAAAACTAGCACATGGTGAGCGAGATGTTTAATCCTTACGTTCACAATGTCACACTTCATTAGAAGCTTCATCGCAACCACTTTTCCGTCGTAGCTACCTTGAAACACGATGCCGTAGGCCCCGCGTCCCTTCGGCTTTCCATCTGTCTCTTCTATTTTACTTCTTGATATATAACACGACGTTGGAAGGCGTCCGGTCCGTCCACAGAGCTTTCTTAGGATATGGAATATGCGTGCCCTGAAACCCGCTTCGCTGCCCAAGATGGGCTCAGCCTATGGGTAGACGGCAAAACCCTGATTAGCGGCATACACGGAAACGTAGAGCGCTCGGCGCGAACGGCATACGCAGTCCAGGACATCGATCATCCATCTCGCGTCCACGCCCTCCAGATGTTCGGTTATCTCGCGAACGGCGTCTTGGGAAGCAAGCATCGCCCTGAGCCCGTTACCGAGCTCTTCTGGCGAAGGGTTCGCGGGATGAGCTATCCCAGACCCCAGCAAGTTCGCTACCGCCTGCGAAGTTGTATACGCTTGCAGGAGAACCTGCGGTTCGTAACTATCAGTCGATGCGTCAGACAGTTTCGTTAGATTGGTACTACCTTGTCCATCCGAGCCTGTACGTCCATCTGAGCCTGTGCGTCCATCTGAGCCTACGCGTTCGACAGCTATATGGAGGATAAAATTCGCTTTTGAGAGCCGTCTAAGCCGTAGACTGGTACGCAACTCACGTAGTGAAGTATGGGTCTCTCTGGTCGCTGTATGCCCACAAACGAGACGGCGAGATGAGAGATCGTTCACTGTTCACCCATCGATAAGTCATATACCATCCAAGTCTATAGTCCGAGTCTGTTTGACATTTCCCCACGCATCGTTCACTTCTCAGAGTGGAAGGCTGTTATAGAACACCGCGATCTTACACGTGTCATCTCGCACCGGTTAGCCGACTCGTGGTTAGCCAAATCGAACACCTACATGCTTTCTTTGTCTGCTCGCAATCACCTCTAACGCACGACGCGAGTTCACCTGTTCTTAACCCTCAGGATCCATTGTGAAAGTCGGCAGAGAAGCAGCAATACAAATGAAGCCAGGCGCGACAGCGCAAATGACGAGCAAAAGAAAGTAGCAGAGTTCGGTCCAACCGAGTCCAATAATCGATCAAAAGCCACTAAGGCCCGCTCATAGAAGCAGCCCGGCGACCATACCAGCCGCGCCCAACAACGTCACGACATTGCGAACCTCCAGCGCGGCAGCGCCATTGGCTTTGGTCGATGTCGACGTAGACGTCGAAGCAGAGTCGGTGGCTGTACCCGAGCCCGACGAGCCCGATGAGCCCGACGTCCCGCTCGAAGTCGTGTTCGTAGTCGTCTTCATCGCGGCAGCCTGGAAAGCCTCGAAGCTCTTCGAGGCTGTGGGGTTAACAGCGAAAACCATGCCCTTCTCACAATGACTAGAAAGGCGCAAAGGGACATGAGTACATGCCCGTGTGAGCAAGATATAGAGGTGGGACTCACCCAGTCTGACGGCAGTAGAACCAAAGGGGTGCACTCGTGTTCATGACAGTCATAGTGAACGTGGGAAAGTCGGTCGCATTCTTTGCGACGAACTGGAAGCCAGAGTCAACACCAGTAGTGCCATTAGGGAACGTGAAGTTGGAACACGGGGCGGCAAAGGTCGATTGAGTGATGGTGTGGTTCAGCGCGACGCTACAGTGAACATAGTTAGTCGATGATTATAGCATACTAAGTCTAATTACATACAACTGGAACACCAGCTGATCCCCAACGGTGGCGTTCACTCTGCATATCATATATTAGCTCCCAGCTACGAAGCTTATGAGAAGTTGGAACTTACGAGGGCGGGTCGTACGTCAGCGTGTCGTTCTCGCCGACCTTAATCGTGTGAATAGTCGCGAGAACGGAGCCGATGGGCAGAAGAGCAGCGACCAGGGTAGCGAAACGCATCTTGACGTTGAATTTGGTCTTGGGAAACAACAAAGAAAGTGCAGGAGAGAGAACGCGAAAGTGCTACTTCAAGAGCTGTCGACTGGGATCAATGACCGAAAGTCGAGACTGTAAAAATCGTTCATGAGTAACAATCCTTCAACACTACAAACAGGAGGTTCGGGTAGCAGAAGGGAACTCACCCTGCTCGGGGCTGCTGGCAACCTGACCGACTGGATGCGGGGAAAAGAGGTAGAGGTGGAATGAGAGCGATCACAGAAATGGCGCGCTCTTATAACGTCAAAAGAAGGCATTGCGTTGGCTTGGCGACAACCGGAGCGTCGCCCTGAAAATGGAATGTTCGCAGGAAGATCACACAGGGGGTCGCACAACAGCGATTGCATCGCGTTGCCAACACGCCCACCATGCCTGTATTCCATGAGTCCTTGGCATCTCTACAGGCACAATTGACTGTCTTGTCCAAAATGGTTGGCAGATGCGGTTCGCATGCGGACTAACCTGTGCATAAGGTAGACAGAGGAGACATTGTCCAGTCAGCGACAGGCAGATAGATGGTCGTGGTGCTCGCCGATGATAGGTCCGGGAAACCCCGCCAAAAGACTGAGATGAGAAGTTGACGTCGTCTAGTGTTGTGGGCAGATTTCCCAGAGGCCGACTTCTGCCATGTGGTGACACTGGTTGGCAGCAAAGTCTCGCAGTTTCACAGCAATAATGGGCGGAATGTTACCAAATGGCTGAATTGTCCCCATAATAGGGTCTAGAATAGGGGTCAAGGAATACATACCGTGTTAGGAAGTACATCTACCGCGTTCGTTGCAATGCCTCAACGTCTAAGCGCGGAGCTCTCGAATTCTCATATGGGAAGCTCGGGGTATCACGTCTTCGTCCGGTGTTCCTAGTCAAAGTCTGAGGTCATTGATTTTACGGTACCATGCTGGGCGTTGAGTAATCGTGCTCAATATTATGTACCACAATGATGGAAAGGTCGTGACCTTATAACGCATTGTCATATTACCCAATGCCCCAATGTGATTGGCCAATTCCACGCCATTGGAATGATCCTGCGTGACAAGATTGTCAAGACTGGGAAATATCCGACAAAGTATAATCCACGCGGTCACGTGCATAATAGATACCGTCGCGGTTGTGGTGCTCATCTCTTGTTCTCTCCCCACCACGACTACGTCCTGCCGTCTAGTCCTTTTGATAGCGCAACCTTCCATAATCCACGATGCCTCCAAGAATAAAGATGAGAGAAGCCTCTAACGGTACATCAGATTCGAAGACTCCAATAGTACGCAAGCAGGTGCTTCGGTGTCAGCGTGGCGTTTTGGCGGAAATGCTAAATATGCCCTTGGATATCGTGCAAGAGGTATCTGACTTGTGTAATGCAGTGCTGTTACTGTCATTCATAGCTCAAACTTCTAGATCTTCATTTATCTCGAGCCCCTGGACTTGTTGCATCTCGCGAGAACGACTAAATCTCTCAGACAATTTATGATGAGCCGGTCCTCCGCATTTCTCTGGAGGAATTCTCGGAGAAATATTCCAGGGCTTCCTGACTGTCCAACTCAAATGAGCGAACCGGCGTACGCCACTCTCATGTTCACAAGCTATTGTTACGTGGGTTTCTCCACATATAGGCAGAAGGCGTGATCACCGAGACTCTATTCCGTAGAAATGCCTAAAACCCGTAAAGGATACAATGTGGAATCTTCAGGCTCGCTATTGTATATACAACTGCCCCGGGTAAGTCTTCTTTGCTCATAGATCGCGATGCACATTCACGTAGACAATTTCAGGTACACGTTTTCAAAATATATCTCCAATTTCATTCCTAAATCTCTCTTGGATGCATGCGATATAGAATTGCTCTTGCACGTACGTTAGCGCGTGTGTTTATGCCATTACTTCGCTCATTCGCAATCATTCAGGGAGACCGCATTCACCTAGAATCGCACGCAACAGATCTCGCACAGCGGTGGAATCGACTCGAAGGGGATCCGGATGCACGGCTCCGATTCATCGAGACACAGAAAGCCAAAGTTGAAGAAATCAACCGAGTGCGAGATCGTGCTTGCTAGTTGGGCGTCTGCTAATATCATCCCTAGTTCGCCCCTTTGTGGAAGGAGTGGGCCAGTGCTAGAGCCAAAGCCAGAAAAAATGAATTGAAGCGAATGCGAGAGAAAACATTGCAATCGTACGTTCCATTCGATATGTGGCGCACAATCCTCCTGACGCGCCACCAGGGCTGTTGAAAGACTGCGCTTAATGGGTTGGAAGGACGAACTCAACCGCCTGGCGCAAACGGATTACGCACCCCTTCGTCAGCACAACGCATTGCGAAACCGGTTCAAAATGACTGATTGTAGTATGTATTCTTACCATCTTACGCGCCGACAACACTCACCGCATTCTTGACAGTTTGGGATAATATCAGTGACAAGCTTGTCGAACTCCTCCAGGACATTCAAGATACCCGCCTCCGCGACGACCGCAGGAGGGTCCTGCGCGTACGACTGGCGGCGCTAAACGGCCTCATCTCCAGCTACTACGCGAATCCCCTCAGAACGGCCGAAACAGAGTACAAGCCGCACTTCTGCGACTTCATATTTATGCCAGAGATCAGGGAAGTCATTGAGTCGTCCAACGAGGCCGAACTTGGGCCGCACTGTGAAAACGCGCTACGCGTACTACTCCCCACTTTGATCGCGCGCTGGGAAGCGCAGACAAGGAGGAAGCTGACGAGGCTGCTGCAGCCCTCAGCCCGGAGCTCCAAAGGCACTGACGTCCTCGAGCTGGCCGTCACGCACTTCACCTGTACCGAATGCCAGTGTCTGCTGCCCTATCCGGAGGTCCTCGCGCACCCCTGCCTGCGCCAACTCCGACCCCAACCTCGACCCCGGGACAAATCTCGGTGTAGCCACCCTTTTCCTAAGGAGGACATGGTCTATGAGATCTCTACCTGGGAGATCGGTGTAATGAGGGAGCCCTGGAACAGCAGCGCGCTCTGCGTACCGGACGCTCCATTCGAGGAGCACTTGCGCAATGTCATCGCCCTCAGCGGCCGTGATCCCGCCTCGGTCACGCGCAGAGAGCTGGACGCTCTGGACGTCCACCTTGTGCATCGAAACAAGAAGCAGTCTCGGCTCATTCCCCTACGTGCGGTGGTAAGTGTTCAGTGGACTGTCCCTGTTGCATGGACACTGACGTTCGATGAGCAGATAAACTTTGAATGGGAACGCTTCAAGGCCCTGGCGTGGCTTGCCGCATTTCATGCCATTAATTCGATCACGGTGGATCACGGTGCAGGATATTCAAACCCTAGGCTCTCGATGAGCATCTCCCTTTATGTCTGTCATTCCACGCATGCGACATGTAAGATTTCCTTCGCTTGTCTGCGTAGGTCGACAGGGACAGCAGACAATACCCGACGATAGTCCATCGTGAGATAGAGCAGGGTAGTACGATGTACCTTATGTATGTACACGCGTACTGCCTGAAGTCTTTCCTCATCGATAACAACACATACTTCCCGTTGAGCTGTAAGTGGACGTCCAATCCACAAGTCTGACATTGGTTTCAGATAATACACATAGCGGAATATAGCCACCAAGGACCTAAGGAGTCAAAGGGGGCCAAGATCGTGCAGGGTTGCGCCCACACAATCCGCAGTGTTGAACTGCATAAACGGCGATCACAGCATGAATGTCCGCCCATGGCCCCCCTGACAGCAGGCGCAATGCCCGATGTAACGACGACGCAGATCGGATCCACAATGCACGCATTCGAATCATAACCTACTGTACGGAACCAAACTCCACTCTTGAGATTCTTATAAATGCTTTGACGGCTGTGACAACTAGTGGCCCAAAAGTCAGCAACTACCGCACACTAGAAGTTATGATCACCTGCGGTTTATGTCTAACGGTTCAAACGGTGCACAAGATCTCGCCGTGCATCAGCGCATACCAGCCATCTTCGTTGGCGGCCCACTTGCGGAGGGCGTCCGCGATCTGTTCGAGCCTCTCTTGAGTAGCTAAGCCCATCTCGAGCGCGCTTGTAGCTAGTCCCGACTTGACTGTCCGTTCAGCCCACATGTCGCCCCACCAGGCGCGTTCTTTGGGCGAGCTGTAGCACCACGCACTTGCCGTCGCCTTGATGTTCTCGCGGGGGAAGCCAGCCTTCATGGCCCACGAGACGATGCGGCGTCCTGCATTCGGCTCGCCGCCTAGCGAGCGCGCAATAGTGGCGTGCAGATTCAGCAACTCCTCCAAACATGAGTCCTCAGGATAATACACCTGGTTTGCGAAGTCGCCCTCGCGCACGGCGACGAACCCGCCGGGTTTGGTCACACGACGCATCTCGCTGAGCGCCTTGACGGGGTCCCCAACATGCTGGAGGACCTGATGTGCGTGCACGAGGTCGAACGCATTGTCCGGAAAGTCAAGCTTGTGGATGTCGCCGACGGAAAACTTGATGTTGGTGAGGCCACGCTCAGCAGCATTCTCACGAGCCTTGTCGAGCACCTCGGCCGAGTGCTCCAGGCCAACGACTTGACCCTGCGGAGCGAGGCGGGCGAAGTCGGCGGTGATAGTACCGGGACCGCAGCCGACGTCAAGGATATGCATGTCTGGACGGAGGTACGGGATAAGGTACGCGGCGGAGTTCTCGACAGTGCGCCAGTTGTGCGAGCGCAGGACTGACGGATGGTAGCCGTTGATGTATTTTGCTTCCTTGCTGGCCATGCTGACTCTTGCGCTGTGTGACTCTTGTGAGCAACAAATACGACAAGACGACCACATACGAGGGTTCGGGTAAGGATTCGGGAGTGACTTGGGAGAATGGCGGCAGGGATCAAGATGCAGCTGTGGGGAAGAGAGGGGGCAGAGGGTTTATATATGCACGACCGGCTGCGATCGATCTGTCGTTGAGATTGTGAAATCGACGCGATGATGTCACATGCAACGCGTCCTCCGCCGGCACACGGTCTCTAGTATTGTCACAGCCTGATCTACGTTCAACAAACAAATGGCACCTGCTACTAGGCTTACGCTTGGTGCTCTCAGAGCTGCCTTACGCCCTCAGGCCATCGCAGTCCGCTCCTTCCACTCGTCAATTCGCCGCCATGAACAGTTCCTGAACGCAGACTCTGCGGTAAGCCATAGATCTCGTCCCTGACCGCGGCTACGCAGGCTCGGAATCTCACATGCATGTTACAGACGTTCCAAAAAGCTGTCGCGAACAAGGACAAGGTCGTCCTCGTGGACTTTTACGCCACGTGAGTCTCAGGTACATCGTCGCAGCGCAGACAGCTACATTCCTCGCAGCTGGTGCCAGCCGTGTAAAATGCTCTCGCCCATCCTAGAGAAGATTGCAGCGGACCCCTCGACCAATACTGACCTTGTCACCGTGGACACAGACGAGCACTCAGACCTTGCCATGGAGTATGAGGTATGTCCCTGAACATCATGTCAGCCCGCCTTCTTGTCCATGAACTAATATACCATTTGGGGTGTAGGTGGCTGCCCTACCGACCGTCGTTGCATTCAAAGGTGGCAAGCCCGTCAGCCGCTTTGTCGGCGCGCTGCACGAGCACGATGTCCGTAAATTCCTGGGACGTGTATGACGGCCTTCAGCCGGTGCCAAACTACTCACGCCATTCATTTTGTGGCTAAGCGTGATTTTTGAAGCCGCACAAGGCTTCCATTGTAAGTCCAGAGCGAGGCAAATAGATGGTAAAAATATGAAGTTGTTCCCGGATTAATGACTATTTTGATCGCTGAAGCTCCCAAGAGCTACCGCTCTCCCTGCCCCTATGCGTATGCATAAGATTGACGGAAGGATTCGGCGCTTGGCCAATCAAGAGATAGTGCTCTCCATTGCGTGATATGTCGAAAACCCCGTCTTGATATCCGCGAGTCATTTATCTTAAGGGAGCGATTCTATATTATATTTGAGCAGTGATCGCGCAAACTTGATACCTGCCGCATTCTGCTACCCACGCCTTGTCCGTATATTTCCTATTTTACTTCGACTACGACTGTTTAGGGTGTCCATCTCCCTAAGAGGCCAACCTTTCATATAGGCATAGTGACATTACGGCAGTAATGACATCGTCTGAAGCATGAGTATTGCTATTGTGCGAATATGTTATATCAACAGCATCCATCATATGTAGTGTCTAGATGTACCTTCCCTAAAGAAGTAGCGGCTGATTACCGTTCTAGCTTCTAGGTTTTAGTCCTGAGTATATCAAAGAACGCCTCCTGCGGTAGTTCCACGCTTCCGATCCGCTTCATCCGCTTCTTGCCCTCCTTCTGGTTCACGAGGTGCTTTAACTTCCGCTCGTAATGTCCTGGCCACACAAGTGCACACCACACGGGGGCCGTTAAATCAGTAAAAAAATCGACGGCGGCAGGAGCATACGCACCCCCGTAAAGCCCTGCCGTCACGTCAGCGCGGAGCGCCGACAGCGTCTCGCGCGCAACAATCCGTCTCCCGACGGCCGCCTGGATAGGCACCTCGAACAATTGCCGCGGTATCACCTTGTCTGAATACATGAATGCTCAGCCCCGCCATTCACATGCAATCTGGATTCGGGAGAGCGGAACCGCACGCACGCAATTTTTTCACCCACGCTCTCCCAACTTCTTGTTCCACGGTGCGGTGTACGATCAGGGCTAGGGCATCAACGGGCTTGTTGTTCAACAGGAACACCATCTGCGCCCACGGTCAGCCTCATCAGTCGGAAACACCTCACTAGCGTGGCAAACCTTGACCATATTACTCCGCTGGTACCCCGCATCCTCGTAGCTACAATCAAAGAAATCATCAGCGCGGCACTCGCGCCGGTCTCACGTTCGGGTCTCACTCAAAGCTGGCAAATCCCGAGCTACGGCTCTTGAGCCTGTCAAAGAAGTCCGACACAATCTCTGTAAGCGGGATCGTACACGTCAGTATCGCGCGCGACGATGCCATCCCGGACACATCCAGGTATTTCACGTCGAGGTTCTCCGCGCGGTGCTGGTAGCAGAGGTCCATCATGTCCCCGAGATATTCTGTGGACGGCGCGGCTCATCAACGGTCAAACGCAATTTGAACGTGCAGAGAGGAGAACGCACCTTGCGGGGAGATGATGGACGCTTTGACGATGGGTTCCTGGATCTCCCTTACTCTGGCGGCGACATCGGTAACGTCCGGAAAATCAGTCGGGTTACTGACTGTTACGGTTCGGTCCCAGTAGACAACTGCAAACGCCGACAGGAAATCAGCATCCATGCGTTAGCAACGACCGACGAAACGTATAATACCTTTGTATGGGACGGTGGGCGCCGTGATGATGATATTTGCATCATACTCGTCCTCGAGCCGCTGACGGAAAACATCCATATGTAGCGTGCCGAGGAATCCCAGCCGGCAGCCTTGGCCGAGCGCCGTCGACGATTCCCGAGTTACCTCCACACTACGGTCTGTAAGCGTTAGCTGTAGGGACCTGTCAGCCGCCGTCCGGAAGGAGCGAACCATCAACAAGCGCACCCTCTTGATTGATTCCTCCAGCTTCGGGAAGTCGTTGCTGTCTATCGGGTATATGCCCGCGTACACCATGGCCTTCGCGGGCTTGAACCCAGGCATCGGCTCCACGGGCTCTCCCACACGGTGCAAGGTGTCCCCGATGTGTGCTGTTTCAACTCGGGTGGTCAGCATGTGTACCACGCGCCTGCGGGAGCGGGCCGCCCAACAGACCTTCAGAGGATTCCTTCATGTTGCAAGCGACGTAACCAACCTGGCCTGGGCGCAAACTCGCTGTCGGGATTTCCTCCGGATGCATAATACCCAAATCTACAACTTCGTACTTTTTACGCGTATGGCAAGACGCGATTTTATCCCCTGGAAACGCAAGGTTTGGCGCTGAGTCCCAAGTAAGGCTAGCTCGGGCTTACCTTTGCGCAATATGCCGCTCTGTATGTTAACCAACGAGATGACGCCACGATAGCGGTCATATCTGAAAAATGTCAGCGGTTCAATTGAGTTGAACGGCCACAGACATAGAACATACGAGGAATCAAATAGGAAGGCCTTCAGTGGGGCAGAAAATTCTCCTGTGGGCGGCGGTATTCGGTCTATGATCGCTTGCAGTACAGCTTCCACACCCTTTCCTGTCTTAGCAGATATGGGGATACATTCAGCAGGATCTATGCCAAAGGTTGACTCCATCTGGGCAGCAATGATCTCCGGCTGTGCTGCAGGAAGGTCAATCTATTCAGTGCTTGGTCAGGAGGGACAATGACTTTTATCCAAAGCATATAGCTCATTACCTTATTGAGAACAGGGATAATTTTGAGACCCCGGTCTCGTGCGACATGAAAAACAGATATGGACTGCGCCTGGATGCCTTGTGTTGCGTCTACGAGCAGCAAAGCACCCTGACAGGCGGCTAGAGAGCGAGATACCTCCCACGCAAAGTCGACATGTCCCTAGTCGTCGGCATTAGTGGAGAATCTTGGCCTATGTGACCGAGGTACACACGGGAGTGTCAATCAGGTTAAGCAGGTATTGGTGCCCGGCATTTTTTAGCGTCATGCTGAGGGAGAGTCAGTATGGTAGATGGCAGCGTCAATGTATATTTACCTAGCGGTCTGGGCCTTCACTGGCTCCTCAGATTAGTACATCGTGCTGCTTTCAACGGTGAGGCAGCAGACCTGTGATGCCTCGTTCTCGCTCCACCTTCAGCTTGTCGAGAACCTGCTGATTTGCACCCTTCTGCTTCTTTTCAATTGTACCTGTGAGCTAGAGCAGGCGTTACAAATTGCTAGCTCTGACACTAAGTGCGGCCAAACCTCAAGTAGCCTTCGTCGTGTGAAATGTCATCGACTGTAAAGTCCTTTAGGGAGATGACGCACCTGTCCGCCAGAGTGGATTTACCATGGTCTTATTTTCAGGTTATGTTGTCAGCAAAATCAGTACGACTGTGTGCGCCTGGCGAATGCGTACCGATGTGGGCAATTATCGAGAAATTACTGCATCTCTTTCAGTTTTAATAGAGACAGAATTATTGCGCCCGCCCATACCGTATCATGTCACAAGGGAAGTCTTCCATTTTGATATGCTTTCGAGAGGGGCCATGGCAGGTCAGCGTGGTTGTGAACTCTCTCGTAGCGTGAGGTAGACCATTCCGGGATCGGAGTACATGTTTCGAGTGTCGCTCGAACAGCCCCAGGCACGAGACGCGCCACGTTTGAAGCATCACCCACTTGCTACGCGTCTCCCCGGCGTAGTACAAGTGAATGTGAATGCAACAACTATGAATGTAGCATAAAGTCAACCCAGCGAGCTGGACGCAGAGAGTGAAGGCGACCGGACCCGACAGCTTGGAATGTCATTCTGCTTAGTCAGCAATATAGTCCGCGGCCCTGTTGCCGCATCTTCGATTGCGGAGTGCAGTTGCACCTGCACCAAACCTGCACCCACACGTTCCTCTCAACGCGGAGACCACCTTCAGACTCGTCATGTCCCTCGCAGATGCATCAGAGGCCCGCAAATCGCGTCTTATTGCCCTTAGAAAGCGGAAAGCCGGCGAAGATGTTGATGGGGACAAGTGAGTGAACTCATAGCCGTCACGGCACAAGCCAACCGTTCACATGCAGTGAGGCCACCCAGCCGGTCATCAAGCATCGACTTTTTGATCCAGAGAGCCGTACTCTGAAGAAACGGACTCAAGATGACGATGTCACAATGGAGGATACTGTAGAGAAGAAAGTCGACGGTCTTGCAGAGGCAATCATCTCAGAGGACAAGGAACGGAGGGCACAGGACCTTGTATGTGAGCGAGACATTTTCAGCACGCATTGTGGCCTACTTCTCCGCAGGATTTATTCAACATTGCGCCCAAACGTCCAAATTGGGACTTGAAACGCGAGATGGAGAAAAAGCTCGCGAAGCTAGAACGGAGAACGCAGGAGGCGATACATACCCTCATACGTAGGTCGTCATTACCTTTCTAAGGCCTATACCTGACATTGTGGCTACAGGACAACGTTTGTCCGCGCAAAAAGGACAATCAGACGACATCGTAGGCGCCATGAGAGCGCAAGAAAGAGCGGGTCAAGCAGAAGGCGATGATTCCGACGAAGATATCTGATTATGACTTTTCGCAGCACATTACCGGTTATTGTACGTTATAATGTAATCTATGTTGTAGCATTTTCAGTGATTTCCCTACTAGTAACCTCCGAGGATCTGTCAATACATCCGGTACCGAGAAGACACGGTATGTCGAAAGTTGACATCATGTATTAGTTGAGTCAGACTGCCCGCAGCCTATCGATATGTGGCGTTCAATGGAGGTCTCTAGTCTCTGGGTCCCGACTAGATGGGTCGTGAATTTAACATCTGTATCATCCTCTCGTCTTCTGCTGCACGAGGTGCTGCTGGTCGAGGATTACGGTCCGACTGAGGCGGCGCGAGCATGCGGTCACCCGAGCCACTGCGTATCGCGCTGCCTGAAGGGCCAGCTGATGCTTGTGACGGCGGCGGTGGACTGACGCCGAGCGCTGTATCAGGGTTCCTTGTCCGAGTCTTCCCACTACGGTAGACGCCCAGTGGCACGCTCAAAGAGCACAGCGTCGGATCACGGTCGACGGTTGGAATGTTGGGAAGGTCAGCGTAGGTGAAATAAGCGGTGAGATGCCATTTGCGCGGTCTTGCGTTAGGCGCAGGTAGCACCCACGCTGAATAGGCCTGCTTGACCAGGCCCGTGGGATGATGGTCACTTCGGTCGAAGTGGGACTGCGCTGACGAAGACCAGGTACGTGAAGGTCCTTCGACGAAGCGGTACGTCGACCTGAAAAACAAGGCCGTCTACATTTGAGCATCGGTCGTGATGTGGGGCCGTGCCTTTGTCGAATAACTTACTGTGACGTCTGACCACTTGCATTCGCAGTATCATCGCCGGAGAGCTTCTCATCGTAAAACAAATATGGCTGACGGTGCCGGTCAGTGGTCAGAAAACCACTCGCCACATGTAAATACGGAAATTACCTCGCGCATGCGGGACTGACTCCAGATCCGTCCATCGGTCCACCTTTTGAGCCCAGTCTCTTCCTCGCTTTCCTCCCAGACGAAGACGGAACCCGAGGTGATATATCTGGTTCTCTCCACCTCGTTGAGTCGGCGGTTCACCGGCTTCATTAATCCCCGACGGACTGCTTCGAAGATTATATGGGCATCCCGCATGTCACGGAGATGAAGCCGTGGGTGGGTAGGCTTCTGGACGTCGTGGACCGGCTCGTAGAACATAGCGGTCTGAAAATAACAGCTGATGACGTCGATGGTAAGTGAGAAAAGGCGCGAACTACGAGGGCGGGTGTTTACGGCTTCCAGCTGATACTGTCGTCTTTTATGCTTCCAGTGGCTGTGGTACGAGCAAATTGCGGTATGAAAAGCGAATGGAGCGCAAGGTTCCTCAAGCTGAAACGTCATTTGACTGTCTAAGGGTTGCCGTATATTAGACGACGTCGACACCAATTGGTTACACTGTCTAGTGGCATTACGAAATTTGGGTGCCATCGTAGATTGTTGGAACTTCACCGTCAGTACGCGGCTAGTTTCGCGCTAGGGATTTGGCGGAGTCATCAGTACTTTTGCGAGGTCTAGTTTGAGGTACTGCGCGCTCTTCAGGAACACGCTTCCTTTGTTACATCTCACGCTATGACTGGTGGTTTGCAGTGTCTTCCGAACCGCCCATGCCTGGCAACGTCCGCAATTGCTACTCCCGTCGTTTGCATCAGTTGATTCGGCGACTGCTGCAGTCAACTGATTGGTATGTTGGAATCCACCCGTTCCACTGGCTAAGCATCCTGACGCGTTGTCCTTTCCAGAAGCGGTCCAGGCTGTTAGATTTCGTCGAAGTCAGGCATGCGAACCTCTATCTCCATGAGATCTTCGCGGTGCCGTGAGCATGTATTTCTGTTCTATATTGGAACGGCGTCTACCGCCGCCCGGGGATGAGGGTCTTTTGGGAGCTCGCCATGCTTCCACCGATTAAACCGGATGAAACTCCGACAAGTTGAGTCCCAGATGGAAATTAAGTTTGGCCTTGACTATGTCTGGAAATATGACATCCAAAAGATAAGGATGGGAAGAACGATCGTGTCCCCGCGCGTATGAAGCAGGATCAAGGCACTTGCTGTGTCTTCAATTTGGGCCTAGTGCGAGACTACGCCGATTGATCTTGCCAATTAAAGCGCCTGGCTGCCACTCGGTGAGCCAACTTTGACAACGTGTTCCGTGTTCTGGTGCCCTCTTATAGTAACGGCGGGTCATGAGAACGGCTAGGCCCTCATTCGGACATGAAATAGGTCGCCGTGAAGGAAAGCGGCATGGACAGTACCAGAGCATTCCAATGAGACTCGATTCGCGGAAATTAGTGCCCTTTCGTGTGTTCAGGCTGTGTGATCGATTCGGAAAAAGAGTGAATGTCGCTAAGAATAGCAAGATACTCAACATATTGCTGTTTCTGTTCAAATTACGACGGATGCGGGAGCTCAAGTGGGATCACGCCACTTCGCACCACACAGCCTGAGTGTACTTACTGTTAGTCTGCATTCTTAGGAAGGAGCCAATCGCTGACCGTGAGAACCTACACGTGCCCATAGGCGCCGAGACGGCGGTGATCCCAGTCGGCGAGAGTGTTCGTCCGCCGGACAGAGTCGCGAGAACGGCGCCCGACTTCCTTGCTCTCAATCCTCATCATGCTAGACGTAGATCAACAGGGTACCCTCATTCCAAGCCTTGTGCAACTTTGTCAGAGAAGTGAGCTACGGAGATCTGTGGAATCCATTCAGGTCCTGATCCATCCTTGCAGTCGCGGCCAATCACGCGGATAGTATGTGTAGCGGCGGTCGTGCACTGAAATACCCTGACCATAGACCGGTTGACTTCAGGTATACACAGCATAGGCGATGGCCGCCGCTACGATCTGCTCAAGCCTATCCTCGGGAATTGCTCCCCGGAGACCCTGCTTCGAATCGAACAATCAAATCCGGTCGGTATCGTTCGCTAGAATGTGAGCCCTGCGTCTTATAAGGTTTCTCTCCGCCTAGGAAATTGAAGAGAATAACAATGGTAGGCGCAAATGCCTCAGTTGGCTTGCGCGCTCATTCATCAATCTAGAACTATGGGAGAGGTTATGCTTCCGAACATATCCTATAGCCGCTGAGCAATTCCGCTCTGACACAGTTGAAGAGCCAGGATCATGGCGAGAACAGTTTTTCGTGAGTACAGTCACAAGATCTCTTGTAGCACTTTCTCACTGTCGTACTCTGATGCCAGTTGCTGCGTGAGATGGAAACAAAACGATTCGAACAATTAGGGACACGTTTAAGGACCATTAGGCAAGAAGAGGTAGAACGCAAGAAAGAAACTCAAATCAAACTTACGGATAAGTTACCCGCAAGTAAACGAGCTCGTACATGTGCGTGCATTTGCTGTAGTGATCCTAAAACATTAGTCGTGCTGAAACGTTTCCCATCTAAGGGGGTGCATATCAACCTAAGACACTGCTTCAGAAGACCAGGTCGGATGCTGCGCGACTACAGAAAGGAATCTATGGTACACGCCTTATTCCGCCAATGCACACTACGAAGACTTGGCGTGCTACCTCATCAGGTGCTAGTATCAAGCCTGCGCTACATCCAACAACATCTACTGCCTCGTCAAGTTCAACCCGTCCCGGTAGCCGCGTGACTGTCACCAGTGTATCGATACGCCAGCCTATTGCCAAGACAAGACCCAGCATAACAACTGTATTATCAGATACCAAGTTGTCCTCGTCCTCGACAGAGTCCCACACCGTATCTAGTCCCCCTGCTGTCGACGATACATGTTCGTCGACAACTCTACCAACACAGACATCGCCATGTTCAGATGTTTCCGCCCCACCGAAACGTCCTTCGTTGGGGAGAAAGGATCCCATGGCTGCTTTGTTCATGCCAAAACATCGTGCACATTCACAACGACCCTCTCAGGTAGTGGGTTCTCGTACTGTAAGCTCCCGGACTTAGAACGTATCGAGGGCACTCGGTCTGCTCCTGTTGATGAATCTAATCTCGCTCGATCTTCTTTCTTACCCGCGTTGCATCAGTATCACGACATTCAGTAACGCTGGATGTACTTCTATCATCTCCCGAGGAAAGTTGTCACCAGTAGAATACCAATTAGATGTTGTAATCATTACGACCCTTTTGTGTCACTTACTCAGTACACATTCTGCTTGTTCAGTCAAGCTTCATAGCGCTGGACAATCTCATCATGCCCGTGTAGCCGAGAGTGATGTTTGAAATTGGACGACTATAGGTGTCGACTGCTCGAGCAACCTCACTATACCCCCACACAGTTGGATGACAGACGTAGGTATTTACGGTGAATTTACACCGTAACGAACATACCGGGCCTCCACTCCAAAGACCGATCTGAGTCGCCGTCATCGATCGGGAATTTTAGCGTGTATGCAATGTCGGGGACCATCGGCATTTATTTATAATACTAAACCCGAGCGGGAGAAGGCCGATCGCACAGGTCGTCCCAGCGGATCAAACGAGGCTGGAAACTTACAGTTCTATATTGCGAGACACTGCCCGGTCTCTTTGCGTCTCATGCCAGCCAATGGATGCATAGGGTAAGGTCCCACAGTCTTAAGAGTTTAGGACTTACGTGTAGGTTTGTGACTCAGGAATCATCAACATGACGGGCCAGACGGACGCCCGTCTCGAACACACCCTGTTTCGTACCCCTTACGGTTACTTGTGTCCCACAGGATCACCAGCCGACGCCGAAGTCCACACCATGTAAGTGCAGATGGACTGCGGGCATTGGCCTGCGCAGCCAGACAGTTCTGCTCCTTGGTAAGTATCCGTTCGAGCCGCGGACAAATACCCTGTCAATGTCAGAACACTGCCTCTTGACTGGTCGATGTTGTCCGTAAATTCCCTCGCATTCAACCGATATCAACCGGTCAGTGGGGCCCGCCGTTCGGGTGCACAAATGTTATATGTCAAGAGACCCACTGTGCCTTCGTCTAGGCCAGGGGCCAGGGCCTACAGGTGCGCGCGGTGGATGATGTCTCTGGAGGCCCCTGGAGCCAAATGCCAGAGCAGCTAGTCAGGGAACACTTACAAAGCATATTGACAGAACCTACTCACATCGGGGAAGACTGCCATATATATCCGCGAGTCGCAAAGGACTAGAACAGTCCAATATATCGTATTCGAGAATAGATGTCGTACGCCAGCCAGGGCGAGGGGTGAGGAATTCGGAGCGCATGATGAGGCCAGTCCTTTACTGACAATTCGCAGGGTAGCAGTGGCACTTCCTGCCAATGCGAGGTGATGAACGTATGTTTATTCGACAAGTACGGCCGTACTCTGCCGCAACAGTTGTCCGTTACTTGATCCTGGAAGTTCCTTGCGCTCTACGACCTGCATTGTCATGCGCTTGCATCGGTCTCAAGGGCCTGGTCTCTTTAGCAGGAGCACCACTAGTTGGGCCCTATCTGATACATTTATCAGAACGTCTCCCGGCGTAGGACGGCGCCAGAGTGATGGGATAACAGGGATGTCTCTGGCCACGCTGGACGTGCCGTAACAATTTAAAGTTAGACATGTGCACACAAATGAAGTGGGGAAATACGAAACTTCCGCGTTCGCGCAAATTCCAAATAGCATGAACAAACTTTGCCTAGGCGTGCTTCTATTGCCGAAGGAGATGGACTTTGGACACCTCGAGGACGATCGTAGCTAGCTTGGATGGAGCCACGGCACCAGTTGCGACACGATAGGCGGCTAAAGTGACATTCCTCACTACGGCCGCTCCCTCGCGCTCGCTGTGCGGTCCGAGCGGAAAAGGGAGCAATCTGGGCCGCTTCTGTTCGAATTTGCGGTACGAGACTAACTGCTTCAGAGTTCATACTTCCGCAATAGGGATTTTTCTAGTCCCCACCGCTTGGACGCCAGTCAATTTGTCTCAGCAAAGAGAACCGCTTGCAGTGGTTGCTTGAAAGGCATAGAGCTGCGGCATTGAGTGGGCCAGGCGGCGGCAGCGACTCCTGACTAGAGATCACTATGAGTAAGATGGTCAGTGTATTCTGATCTCGGTTGAGATCACACGACCAAGTCTGTGTTTCGTAGCCTCCGGGACCGTCTCCTATCTATACCTACTCATTAGTTCAAGTCAGCAGTTGAGTCATTATGAAGAAAGTTGACTTAGCACTGAAGTCTTGAAGTTTAAGTTCTTACGCCACCGGTGCCGCACTTCGGACATTTCCGTAGACACATCAAATGACATTTATCTCCGATTACTATGAGTGCGTGGTATACGTTCCATCCCGTGGCCTATTTCTTCAGGCGATTGCAACGACTGTCGTCAATCATTCCAGTCTGGACAAACTTTGAAGTGCGCTGTGTGGTTCCCTCAGGCTCGCCGATTTCAGCCAGGTCGAGTCTTAACCCTCGCACCTTTCCAAGTCACACTGCCAACGCGGTCCCGTGATCGCGATGCGTTGAGTGACAGACGCGTTTATAAAAGTCAAAAACATGATTTGAGTATTCATCAACTGTACATATACTATTCAAGTGTTATACATTCTATATGCAACGACAGATGTGGGATGCAAATGATTAGGGACGTGAGCGGAGGAACTGCGATCGTGCGTAAATGGACGGAAAGTGAAGAGAATCCAATGGTGACAACATGTCAATATGCTGATGGTGACTTGAAGCTGGTCATATGCATACTCATAGGGCAATTGACGATGCGCCAACGTCGGATCCGCTTCCTGCTCTGTACCCATCCCATCGCTCGCGGCCCTTGCCCTTACCGTTCTCCAACTCCGGCAACGCATATTCGGCGATGCGGGAGTTTGGATGTGCAGCGGTCGATGGTGGCGCCTCCCATATCCGAATAGTCTTGTCATCTGAGCATGACGCGAACATGCGTTCATTTCGAGGATTCCAGGCCACCGAGTTGACGCTGCCGGCACCGTGCCCGGTCAACGCTTCAAGTAGTGTTCCAGAGTCCCTGTGCCAGACGTATATGATGCCATCTGCGAAGGTTAAAAGTTAGAACGAATAAGTAGATTACGGGCGTAGCCTATCAGGCAATGCAGACCTTCACTGCCACTGGCGATAAAGGCGCCATCCACACCTCCAAAGCAGCTTCGGATGACATGGCGTGATTGTTTATGGCCAACGTACTTCTTCACCAACCGCTCCGTCTCGAGGTCCCATAGATGGATTTCCTAATAAAGTCTGTCAGCTTGGCACTTGCGTTGGTAAGTGGAAGATGCGTACAGATGGTGGCTCGCTGTCTGATGCAGGCGCACGATTGATCAATGCATATTTGGAGTCACCCGAGACCTTCACGCTCGACAGCTCGCCTTCGAGTGGAATGAACCTGGTATGCACACAATCATTACGTCACTCGGGGCTCATTCCGTCAATGCGGGACTCACATTTCCGGCTCCTTGGTTGCAAGGTCATATACAATAGCGCGGTTCTCAGAAGAGGGCTTGGCGTTCGCGGGAGGGCCACCCTCGGGTGGTGTCGTAGTCCCGACAGGCACTGTCGGCGATGTCTCGTACATACCGACAACAATGAGCCGCGTCATATCAGGCATGACGGCCAGGTCGGTGACACGGACAGGGCAAGGTGTCCAAGTATGGACTGACCGGCCGTTAGAGTCCTGCAAGTCATCGATGTGAGCAGACTCCAGTTTGGAAAATGGTGCACACCGACCCAGAATATGATCTTGCGGTCAAGCCCACCAGATATGAAGCCCGAGTTGTCGGGGAGCCATGTGAGAGCCGCCACAACATCGGTGTGCTGAGTAAGCGTTTCCTTGCACACACCCGTCTGCGACGCTATCAGTACTGCCTGGTGTTCTACTTAGAGCACCTCGACTTGCCTTCGAGTTCCACAACTTGATTATATTCTCAGATGCCGTAAGTAATATTGAGTCGTCCAGCGACCAAGCCACACAGCCGACCGAGAACATATGCTCCCTGAGGATGATTTGCGGCGACAACTCTCGAGTCGATGGATCTTTGTCGTACTGCGAATAGTTCGTTCAGGACCTCCGGTGACTAGAAAACACCCTTGGTGTACGGCCTGCATGAAGGCATGACTTACCTCGACCCGCCAGATGATCGCCGTCTTGTCCCTGCCCACGCTTGCGAGGTAATTCCCGCTATGACTCCATGCGATGTTCCAGACCTCGTCTGTATGAACCTCCAAGATAGCAGTCGTGACCTGAGGGAACGCATTCCTGTCGCAGATGTGGTCCGCGTACAGTGAAAATGTTCGCGAGTCCAGGGGCGCGTTGTGATATAAACATTGACTCTGCTGCCATGCGCGGGCTTGATCTAGTAGTGTAGCGAACCGTCGCTGTGGAATCATGACGGAGGAGGGAATATATCCTGCAAGAGAAGATATGAGTGATATGAGCAAGGAGTGGATTATAGCTCGCAGCTTGCTGACTTTGGAGGCTGAGGAGCAGTTGTCGCCGAGAGTTACCCGATGCCCCATCCCAGTTCGCACGTTGTCTTAAGTCCTCCGGATTCGAGCACATGATGAGACTGCGACGTAACGGATTAACGATGTGTGGTTTGCGGCGGTGGCACTTTGAATGCGCGCACAACTAGACACATACCTCGATAAAGCGTGCAGTTGATCTGGGTCCGTGCTCAAACGAGCAAGCTCGCGGCGGAGCACCTGTAGTGCTGTGGTTGTCCTGCCCGCCTCTAATAATTCTAGGTATTTCTGTTGGCTGATCAAGAATTTGGCATCCTACAAGCAAGAGAAATCAGCACAGCACGAGCGATTGTGTCAGAACCATAATCACCCAGAGTTCGTCCTCTTCGGTGGCACCGAGCCGCACCAACGCAGCATGAGCGTTGCTCCAATCTGCCTCCAATATGCATCTCCGGAATTCCGACACTTCCGGAGTCTCCATTGTATACCCTGACTCTGCCTCCAGCGTGGCTGCAGACTCGCTAACATTTGACAATGAGACAAATTCAACGAGGGATCGCTGATTACGCACATATACCCGACATCCCGCAAGCTCTGTATGACCAATCTGATGTACTCCTCCCTGTCGACATGTGAGTCGTCGTAGAGGGTCGACCCCGGCAGTGCGACCTGCCGGATAGATGTGTCGCGTTTCTTCAATTTAAGACCATCGACACCGTTCAGCACAGGCGACTTCGACGATCCGTTGACATGTGGTTTGCTATAGCCATTGGTTTTGCTCGCGATTCCGTTGTGTCCATTGGTAGGCCCCATTATATACGATGGGCCCGCCTCAGAAGTCGAGTCTGTCTCAGACGGGAAAGAGGAGTCATGGTCTGCATCTGAACGCCTCATGATTGCAGTATCGGCAATAAGAGAAAAGGACGAATCTCCGGGCAACAGAGCGCGTTCAATAGATGTCAGCGAGGTCGACGCGGAGGAGCTCTGGCTGCCAATCCTTTGCCGTTTACGAACACGACTGAGCTCCGGGTCAACTTCTGCAGAGTAGTCAGCCGCAGAGGACGTGCGCGGGATACCGGAGGACGGGTGAAGGTAAGACAAAGGGGTGGAACTTGAGGACGCGATGGGGGCCGGAGACTCGGGGTCGCCTTCCTCAAGTTCTGACCTGGAGCGGACGGCAGGGACTAAGCTAGGCGTCGAGAGCGATGGCCTCCCTGGCGTACTGCTCAATGTGTCGGACGTCAAAGAGGCAGGGGTGGTGAGACGAGTGTCCAGGGCTTGCGACTGGTGCGGCTCGGTAACCCGCGACGGACTGCGCTCGCTGAGTGAATCAATGGTGACGACGATTGTTGCAATGGGGGCTATACAATGGCGAGCAGTGCTGTTCTGCAAAGCAGAGCACCAGGAGTTAGAGATGAAAGGAGGCTCAGGGCAAGTGTGATTGCGGCATGTCAACACCAGGCTGCCGCTGAGTGCAGCTCTCGGTACTCTCTCTCCTCATTACGGCCACGCGCTCGGCAAGGTCACTTTTCCCAACCATTACATTTCCGTACACTCAGCTCTCAGAGCATTTGTCTCTCGCCGTCTGAACTTGCTAGCCATCACCCGCGATGCGGTGCAAGTCGCTCCAACTGAATTATCCAGCACTAGCCAGCGCCACGGCCACGGCCACAGGGACAGCGGGCGGGCATCAGTGCGAAGCTCGTCTCAGCCTGCCTCCATCGATTAATGCACAGGCCATATCTACGCCTTCCCCACATTATGCGGTCCGACCAGGGCATCTCACTGACATGAACCGTTATCTGGCCCCGGATTTCGCCTGACTTCAGCCTGGTCGTATGAGCAGTCTTCGCGTGTCTGACACGGTTCAGGCATGCCCACAGCAGCAGCAGTTGACACGCGTTTCAACATCGCGATTTATCACACATCACGGTAAGAGTTATAGGTGAGAATCGTCTTTTCCTATATGTATAGTCAAATGCGGTTTTGAGCAAGTCTCGCTGCGGATGTAGAATCTTACCGGTGAGTTCGTCCGATACGGCAGGAGCTACGTCTATCTGACAAACTGATCGGTGTCGTAGATGGTAATTGGAAGACATTTCCTGTGCTTTGGATCTACTTGTCTCATCTCCCAGTCAGAATTGCGCTATCAATATCAGATATGGGGGATAGCCATTGTATACATGATCTGCTGTCCGAACGTTGGATGCCAAGTCATGCGCATCAGCAGTTACGGCCTGTCTGTCTTCCCTTCTGAGTGCGTTCGCACTACCTCACAGCTTGCGGGACTGGAAGCACGAACACGAGAGCACGGGATGCAGTTCAAGACGCCCTGCTTTGCTTCTGACGCCCATGCATGCTGCCCTTTTGAACCTCGCTGGTTAAGCCCCTCACCGCCTGGTGAGCTACTATTGATACTCTTGTCACCCCTTTACACCGTGACGTCCAGCCGGCTGCTGCGTACTTATGCGAACAGTCTTGTCCGAGCATCATGGGATATGAGAGTTGTCTGTCTCTCACACGCGCTCCCAGAATAGGCATACTGTATTATATAGCTCGCCACATCTATGCAGCTTTATTCCCCTCCGAGCGTCTACTTACTGGTGCCCTCTCCTCCCCGACGTGGCCTACAGGTACCTTGCTCGTGGAATACCGAGCTGCTCCTCCGCGCTCCGTTATACCGGCACTCTATCGGCCGCGCACATTGCCCTGCACTCTCAGAGAGCCGCATCTCGGCCGGTGTCTCGTGCCCATGTCCGCGACTCGGCAGGTGCGCACTGATGATGTGGCGGTCACGCTGGATATTCACACTGGCCACCAAGTATTGAATTATATTTGGCTGATCCTGATCGCACACACCGCGCTGCGGAGATTATGAACCTCGTCACCTGTGCAATCGTGGCATACTCTGTGATGTGCCGCGCGAGCATGGGCAAGTCGCCACGATAAGGGTGGACACTGTTCAACGGGCGACGTCACAACAAGCTATTTACACATGCATGATTGTACGACATGACCCTTCTCACTTGAGTCATGTACGGCGCCGTTAGGGGCATCACGGCGGCGACGTTTGTCTCCTGCCTGACGCCGCACTCCTGTCCTCTAGCCGTTTTGCAAGGCCTCGTCTCAAGTCACGTAACCCGCAGCCGTGCCCCCTTTACAAACAGCTGAGCGTTGGATGGGCAGCCGTCAAGTTTACCCCCAATTTTCAGCACTCGGGCTCTGTCAGCTGCCGTATCCCCCAACCACTCCCCCAAGCTCCTTTACGGCGTGTTTTTCATTTCTCTCTGTACATCTCCAGGCCATCGCGTGCCAGGGCTAGCGTAAGCCGTGACCGTGCACGCTTCTGCCATCACTATCACTGCAAACGCCGTCGTGATGCTGCTTCCATTAATATTGCGTCAGTTCGCTGGCAGTATTTATATTATGCTATAGGCCCGCTCGTAGTATTTATGAATTAATTTGTGTCGGCAGGGCTGACGTGCTAGTTCCCAAATTGTACGAGTCCGGTATCTGATCGAGGATGGACCCGACCAACGTTCGCGGCGCACCGCGAACGAGTGAAGCCTGTGGAGCATCGTTCAGCAAGGTGTCCCGTGCGAGCCAAGGGCCCAGCAGAAAGATCTTTTGACCCCGCGAAGTCAGATGGCCAGACTAGACGTGCACGGCTCGCGCTACGGCCTGATCCGCGCACCCTCGAAGGACAGTACAATTGCTTCAATCAATGCAGCCCGCAACCTGCGGGCATCGACGCATCAGACGCGGACTCCAATATTTTAATGCTTTTCTTTTGATTACGGTGGCCCTAGATTGTACCTACTAACTACTACAGCGGAGTATGGTGGTTGCGACTTGATGATTGACAATGGAGTTAAAATGCGTGCGTATGGAGCGAGATGGGATCCCTAATGCGAATGTACCTACATGCTACGAAGAGAACCAACCCTTTTACTGGAATGAATTGCACGAAGAATTTTGGAGTGGGAACGCGTGCGCCCAACTGCAAGCGCGCCCGTCACAAGAATGAGTAGGTTTCGAACCGAAATGTGGTGTGTGGGCGCGGCGGAAAGGCAAGGATGGTATAGAAGACCCACTGTGTGAGGCCGTGCGCGGATAGTTACATAGATAAGACGTGACCGTGACCATGACCATGGCGGAGATAGGGCAGGTCATGTACGGGGTCGTGCGACGCGTCGCGATGCATTCGAAACAAATAGATGCACACTGCCCACCCTGGAAGTGCCGAGGGCGAGCGGCGACGGACGGCGTTTTGCGCGCATAGATATGTTGAAATATCAACGACAGATAGGTGCAGGCGGCGAGAAATGCGGGAACCGAGCATTTTGTGAGGCGTGATGCGTCTAGGATTCTGATGCCGAGTGGGGAGGCTGCGAGGCTGATGAAGGCCCTTCCGGTCGTGATTTTGTTTCGTGCGGTCGTGGATGACAAACTGAGGAACTAGGACAGTTTAGCGCGCAAGTGGCCGACCGCGCTCTCGCTCGCGCGCTCGTAGACCGCTGCGCCCGTTGCCAAAGCCAGGAGCGATCCGGCTGTCGACGCCCACAGGAGGCTCGTCGAGCTCATCAACTCGCCGTCGGCCCCTACTCAAGTCAGACTCTCGGCGACCAAGATGGGAGTGGTCATCCTCGCCAGGCGCCTCCCGGTGAATGTGGAGGCTCCGGGCCAGGACTTCACGGACGGCGTCAAGCTCGTCCTGCGAACCAGCGCCCACCATCATGCCAAATCGCGGCTTGGCCGGAGGTGAACTATTCCGGCGTGTCAGAGTGCGCCCCCGCGTCACGACCGGGCTGCTCGCGACCCAGCCCGACACTTTCTCGATGCTGTCGAGACGGGCACGGGACTGCGGTCCGACATGAGCGTGATGGTGGAGGCACGGAGGCGGTGAATCGCGAGGGCGAGCAGATTGACGCGGGGGAGAGCGCGCAGCAGAGCGGCGGCTTGAAGTCGAGCGCATCTCCGGGTCACGCTGCCGACCGCGACCCCTTGGGGTTGTCTCGACAAGCTGGGCCTTCGAGTGGTCATAGGAGTATGCTGTGATGGGGTTAACAACGGGGTTGGCAACACGGGGCGTGGGAGGTGACGACTGCAGCGACCGCGTGAAGGTAGTGAGCGTTTGTAACTGTGATGGGACACGGTGACTGCGGGGGGACGCCTGCGACGATGTAGCCGTAGTTAGCAGAGAGAAGTAGGCGGGGAGACTGGCTCGGTTCCGTCTCCTCTTCGCCGTAACAGTCTCTGGGTCAGCGTCCTGCTCGCTGGACGTACGACTCAGAGCATCACTCGGTGTCCTTCCGTGCTGTGGGCGCGTAGACGACGCGGGCGAGGGGGAGACAGAAGGATCGTCGGAGTAGTCGTCAGAGTAAGTGTCGTATGGAGCAGGGGCACTCCCAACGGAACCGGCCTCAGCGGGTGACGAGTTGTTAATGGACGAGACGCGACGATTGAGCGTAGTTATCGTGGACCGGTTGTTTGTCCCCGACGGTCGACGAGCATACGACAGGCCCGAGCCGCGGAGGTGATAGTACTGGCTGAATGAGCTCGCCTTGGGCATACTATCCACGCTGAGCATCTCGCGACTGAGGCTGAATTCCCCCTCAGACCCGATTGCGAGATTGGGATTGGCAAAGTCCTCTTCGTCCTCATCTGCGAAGACGGAACAGACGGCAGAGGAGGCGGACGACGAGGAGATGGAGTGCCGGTTCTTGTGAGTCTTGTATGGGCTGGTCGCTGTCAGAGAGCGGCCCATGGTAGATGCTACCAAGGCGGGGACGTCTGCGAGGCTTCCTGGACCATTGTTGGAATGCAAGTATGGGGACGGGTAGGCACTGCTCGTGGTCGAGATAGACGGCGAGTTAGCGTCAAGGCTCTCGCATTCGTCACTGCAGTATGCTCGTCTGATAAAAGGCATTGTCAGCAAGTCGGTGCAGACACAAGAGTGTATAGAACAGACCCCTCGACGCTAAGAGGCCCGCCGCAAAGGAGGCAGACTTCTTCGTACATGGCGTGCACAGCGGGGGGTCGACGACAGCGACGACGAAGGACTTGGCAATGGCGGCGTGGGGGACAGACGATGCTAGCGGGGAGGGGGGTATGGTACGGGAGGCATGGGCAAAGAGACAAAGGAATATATAAGGCTCTACGGTGAAAGGGTGTGAAGGCCGATTTCGAGGCACACTCAATTTCCACTTGACTCGGCGTGTGACTCCCCCGTGACGCGCGCGTTACAGCCGCCCAGGATGCCCTCGGTATCTTCCAAACTGAGCAGGCGCTCGTATCGGACTATGTCACACCATCATTACATCCCGTCACGCCGCCCAGATCCCAGATGGCAACCCAGACGCACGTTCTATTTCCTGGCGGTCGTTCATCGCGTTCTCATGCACGCAGAGGCACGCCTCCATCCGCGTACAAACGTGGATTCCAGACTGACTCGGTCCCGTTCAGCACGCTCTCGAGACCTCTGGGCTCGGCACAACGTATGCTACGACTGGGTACATGATACGAGACCTTCCGTCACCGAGTACCCTTCCGGTCCGTGGTCCTGAAGCTTGAGCTCTTAATGCTTCGCTCGATCTGCGACTGGTGACTGTCCTGTACGGGCGCCTCTCCGATTCCTGTGCGCCCCCTCCAGTCACGATGTCCGAGTCTCCGGTTGGTGTCGCGCCTTATCGCGGAGAACTGTCGGACGGTCGCAATTGGTATCATCTAGCGAACGGATGCGATTCGCGCTGTCGACACGTCAGTTACTGCTGGCAGTGATGCTTCTTGCGAGAATCTGAAAGACCCCATCGGCCCCGGCGCTTGCACTAATATGGCGCACCCAGTGCACGCGTCCTAACGCCATCCAGCGCATTCCTTGGCCATTACAGACAAGCACGTACATCAATGGCCACTGACGGACGTTTACTTTGATTGGCATGCAATACGTCTGTGCTTCTGCAATGTTCGGCTCTGTTCTTGCTCGCGCGCGCGCCTGCTCCGCATTAAATACACGTAGCAATCGGTCAGCTCATGTTCCACCTGTTTCCTTGCACGCCACCGTATGTTCTCCATATCTCCTCGATTATCACCGACGCGATACCACGCGCGCATCTTTCATTCTCGGCGACGGTGATCCCAGCCTGTCGACGTCTGTCACGCCTCTGACCCATGCCGCTGGCGCCTTGAGCGAGAAATACACGCTGGAGTGCTTGCGAAACAGACGCTCCTGCGCAAGTACCGTCGCTGACATCATGCCCGCCGCAATGATGCCCAGATATTCGCAGATGATCATGCCACCCGCGATCGGTCGCGCCATTCTCACCCGTGTGCCAGTCCCCTGGAACCTCAGCATCGCGGGCGCGTCATGCGCCTAGAACCCGTCGCGCGGGCGGAGGTGGGTCGATGCAAATCCTTCTCGCGCCATTCCCACTTTCGGCGGCATGACTCGGGAGGGAAGGGAGGGCGGCCACTCGCGCGAGGCACCCCCAAAATGTCGGCCGGCGTGCTCTTTTAGGCAGGCTGCCGCGTGACGTCATAGGACTCCGGTATGGTGTGAGCGTGAGCAGTGACGCCGACGCGTGCGTCACGCCGACTGCTGCGTCGCGCGTGCCGCCGAGGTCGTTTGCATGATTCATGACAACCGCTGACTGCTCCCCGCGTATTGGTAACAGACGCAGCACTGCGACCTGCACGGTGCATCCCCCGCGCGAACGGGCAGTTGGGGCTGAGTAACTCGATCGTGCTGTCAACAAGCCCATACGTCGACATGACGGAGAATGATGCATTTGTGTGATCTCTGACGTGCCGCCGGCGTGGACGCATCGTGGGATGCGCGAGAAAAATTCCCTTGTGGAGCCTACAATAGCGCATATACTCGGACTCAGTCACGACTGCGTACGAATAAGGCGGAAGCCGGAAAGCCTATTTCCAGGCTGCGGAACCGCTCTGCAGCCTACCCGCGCATTGGCAATAGGTGTGGATTACCACCGCAGCGTCTAGCCGTATGGTGTCTCCATCACCCTGGTACGGGGGTGCGTGACAGCGCTCTAGATGCTCTGCTGCAGAGGGATACACCGCCGGATGCGCCTCGAGCCTAGATCGCCTCGCAACGTCGTCGCAGTCGCCACAGCAACATATGTATACCCACATGCCGCGATCAATCGGTGTGCACGCCGATCGTGCGTTTGTTTGCTTCCTTCGCTTTCGGCCGGTGGTTGGGAGGACCCTCGCCGTAGCCACCGTGATGGGATACTCCCCCGTGTGTCTTGTTCGTCTCGCTCGAATCATGTCCACCTGTGTGCTCCAAGTAGCTACCCGGTGACACCAAGCCACACGCGTCCGTCGATTTCACTTCGAGTCCACGAGCCTGTCCCTTCTCGACGGGCACGCGCGCCGCGTCCCGCGCAGCTGCACTTCTGCCACAACACCGTCAGTTTATCCCGAATACGGGTTGAATATGGGCCCTCCCGACGTGTGTCGCGCGCTGATGCGGCGCCGCACGCGCCCACGCGGATCTGGCGTGCGTGATCTTCGTGCACGCCTGAAGCTATGACCGCCGCGGTTCTCTTCGATTCCAGGGCCCATTCGCGACCGACGGGGCGAACAATGGCCGCGCAGCCACCATTGTTGTCCTAAGGCGGGGGTCGCGCATGCCAGCTGCCGACGCTTCTTGCGCTGCATTTGGCGTTTCGGGGGCGGTCCTCCATAGCACGCGCACTGTGCGCTTCTCCCCACTGTGAAGGTGGGCCAACCGGCAGTGCGTGTGCGATCAACATTTCACCTATTGTTCCTTCGTTCTAAATAAAAAAGACGTGACGGCAGCGATGCTGTCACGCTCGTTTTCTTGTCCAGTCTTGTCTGCATTTATCGTGAACCCCGTTTGCTTGTGGTAAGAGTCACAAGGCGGCGCCCGCTGTACATGTGAGGCTTGGACGCCGCTGATATTCCCTTTTGATTCAATTGAAGGCTCATTACGGCTAGATGGGTGATGTTGGGTATGATGGTTTCCCTATACTAGCGGAAGCTCGCGAATCCATAACGACGTCCACAAGCTGCTAGTCCTATTGTTCGTATCTTTCTTAGAGATAGCCACGAAGTAACCAATTCTGTGTGTCTGGTTGTCCGACTTTACGCCGCGCTGCTCGGGTTTGTTGACACGCAAGCACGCAAGTGGGCGTGAGGCCCTGGTCTATGCCAAGGCGAGAACAAGATTCAGAACGTCGAGGTGAAAGGACCCCGACTCTGCTGTTCCCGTGGAGAAAGCCTGAATCCTCAAAGGCCACCCCACAACGGCGCGGGACCGGATATGTGCCTTCCTTGCCTTGTATGTCAGGTGGAGGTGTTTGTTGTCGACAGATCCAGGTCTGAATCGATCTTGGAGACAAGGCCGCTGAGTCTGATTCGTACTCAATACACATACACACGACGTTCTCGACGAGCCTGGTCATCGGTCTGGCTATGCAATTGCCTGGCCCGTGTCGAGCGTCTTCAAATCCCTCATAACGCGCGGGGACTCGCACGTTGCTGCCTATGACGCCGCTAACGGGGCAGTCACCGTCATGAGCGCTCGCCAGTCACAGGCGGAAGAAAAGCAGTGAACGCTGCACGCCCAGCACCGTGCACGCCGTGCAACTCGTAAAATACCCCGCGTGACGCGCGCAAACAGCTCACGCCTTGTCGACGATCCGATCACAGAGCGGTAACTGGACATGCGCACTTTCGCCGACCGAAAACATCTGTCCATCCAACAAGTGCAGTCCATTAATAGTAACAAGATCCACGCTAGAAATCCCCTAGAAGCCATTTGGCGGCGGGGGCAGCTCTGCACCGCCGCCAGCGTGACCGTTTGTGGCGTGATCTTTCTGTGGATCCGTCGCCTGCTCTTGCGTGGAAGACGACGTGACTGCTGGTGTCTGAGGGGTATTGGTTGCAGATTTGGGTGATGGGTGGGGCGGATCATCACCATGGTCCTCCTTGGTTTGTGCCATGCCGTTTACCACGCCTGTCGAAGGGGGCGCCGGAGAGACAGCGCGGGGTGCGGCGGGCGCGTTGTCGGCCATGGGGTCAACTGCTGGAACTTGAGGCAATGGTGTTTCGGAATCGGGGGTGGGCGTTGCAATGGCCGCCGGCGGAGGAGTGGGGGAGGGAAGGGCCTTCTCGAGATTGGAAAAGAGCCTGGACGACCGCTTGCTGTCGGAGCGGGAGAGGATGCCCTTGATTCTCTGGGTGGCCGGGGCGGGCGTTGGCGCGGGCGGGGGATCCGGCCGGGCGATGGGCTTCTCGGAGACGATGATCTCGAGCATGGCGGTGGGGGCGCCTACATTCTTTAGGCCGGTAAGCTTTTGGTGGAGGTAGCGCGCGTCGGCGAGTAGTCTGGATGCCGGGTGTCATCTAAGCAGTCAAGACGGACGGGCGGGTGCGGCGTACCTGTCCTTGGCCTCTGCGGACGGCAGCTCGATCTTGGTGTACTCGTCCGATAATCGATGGTTGATCCCAGCAAACACCTGTGTCATCACATACTGCCATGCCGCCATATTAGGCACGCGGGCGCCAAACACCGACAAGCAAGGCACTCACCTCCACCACAGACGGGGACAGATACCGCGACAGCACCTTGTGCAGCGTGACAGTGTCCTTGACTATTACTTCCATGTAGTCGTTGACCCCCCCGCCTTCCTTCGGAGCGTCCCACTTTACGTCCTAAAACACCCGACGAATCAGTCTCCGTATCAGCGACGTTTGTGACCACTATGAAGTAATCTAGAACCGTTAGAGGGGCATACAGCTCACCTGCAGACTCTTGATATGGGCACTGAGGCGATCGCCCATTATAGCAATCAGCTTCTGATGTATCTCGTTCTGGTGTTCTTGGTAGTCCTGCAACACGTGTGTATCCAACTCAGAACTCTTGTCGACAAGCAGTGGATGCGCCAGCTGACTTACCCGCTTGAGCTTGTCAAACTCTACGAGCATAACAGCCTGTCTTTGGCTCAGGTGTCGCCGGAACGTTTCTCGGATGTACGGAACGAGCGAGATCACGATCGACAGCGATTGGGACGCAAGCGCTACGGAGCGCATCAAGAATTAGACGGCTCATTTGCGGTAAACGGGAGAAGTACATGAACGTGCACCCACCCAGATGTCTCGCGGTAATGTTCTTCAGCCCTGCGGAGCGCATAGCGCCCGCGCCCAGCACGACCTGGCACGTTCGCGAGTTGAACGACTTGAGCAGCTCGATGACGCGGCTCATCGTCTCCGTCGTGAGCATCTCGAGGTTCGCGACGATCTTCAGGTAGTCCACCAGAAGCACGAGCACCTCCAGCGTGGCCGACACCGCGAAGTAGCTTCGGTCCTCGATGCGCAGATGCTTCGAGGGGCCAGCAGCCACTCTGCGTGGACTCTGGTGCGAAGACTGCGGGCGGGTAAGTGGGAATGCCGGAGAGGGGAGGGGAGATGAAGGACGGTGTGGGGGCGCGGTGATGCCATTCGGAGACAGTCCGGGGGATGGAGGGGCGGGGGAGTTCGGGAGAGGCGACATAGGGGGGCCGCGGTTGAGCAGCAGTTCTGGAGGGTCTGATATGGAAGCATCCACAAGCAGGTCGACTAGCCTCTGAACTGAGGGTGCCACCTCTGCTGCATTCCATTGCTCGTCTTCGACCAGCTTTGCGGAGTGGGAGATCTGCGCTTGATGGTAGGTCTGTAGGAAGCTCTTTGCCTACAAGCGGGTGCACTCATCAAACCTTGGACGGACGAACAATAGGCTCGAGCCTTACCTGGCTGACAACGGTGCCCCTTAGACCTACGATCATCCGTCGGCAAATCTTCTCCGTTTCAATCACGAAGGTCCACGATTCATTGAACAGGGCACAGAAGCTGGGAAGATCAAGCGCTGCATGCTGCTCAGCCCGCAGCGCGACCACCCTGGAAGCCCGAACATGCGCAAGTTCGGATGCTGAAGACAGGATTCCCGACAGTTCCTCTTGTAGGATTGGGCTATCGATGGCAGCTTTGGGAGATCTCGTAGTGACAAGCAGCGGAATAATCAGATGCATATCCCCCCACGAGAATCTGACGTTGCATACCGGATAGACTGCAGAACCTCCAGAATAATAGCGTTCTGCCAGTTGAGTCCCTCAATACACCGCATGAGGCTCCCATACATCACATGGGCCAGATCCATGAAGGCTGCGTGCGACATCGCTCGCAGTTCATTTACGACTTCCGACCTGTCCCGGCTGTTAGGACGCTACATTGGATTGTCGGATTGAACGCACCCTGACGACGATGCTTCATCGTCCTCCACGTTGGATGCCGGTATTCGCTGAGGTCCAGCCCAGGTCAAATTTAATGTGAAATCTACCAAAATGAGGAGCACTTACTCGCCTGAGCATACTGCGAACTTCCGCCATGACCACTTCTCGCCACGACGCTGCGGCTTCTCGCACCCCCTTTGTCCGTGCCAGAGACTGCAGAAGCGGCCGCAATCTGTCCTTCAAGGACATGTTGCGGTCTTTCTCCTTGTCCTGGTCACCAGAGCCATCCGCATCGATGCGCTCTACCAGGTCAAGGCGGAGGACGTTCACAAATTCGGATGTCAGGGATGATGTGATCTGCATTGTCAGCGTCCTCAGATGCTCTGGTAGCGACGCGAATGCTCTTAATGACGACAGAGGTACATTGAAAGATGGTTTCCGGGGTGTATCTGCAGACGTCAGACCGGGGCTTTCTGGCGGTGATTCGGGCACGGGTGGTAGAGGTGATCGACTTCGCTCTCGTGAGGGCACCGGCGGCGGTTGGGGCGTTGCGCGATCTTCCACCAGCTTGTTGGGCGCATCGGCCTCCCATAACCGATCTAGTTCGTCAATAACATCCAGAGCCTCACCCCACTGGCCTGCCGCAACCAAGCTCTTGGCGACTCCGGTCATCTCGACGACGCCGCCGACGAACCTCACGCCCTCGCGGACCGCTTCCATATTCCGCAGCCTAGCCTCCTTCCGCACGACCTCAAGACCGCGGTGTGCACCCTTCTCGTCTACCTCCTTGAGCAGCCCACGGAGCTTCGCGATGCGATCGAGGCACTGCTCAGACTCGGTCTGCAGGTCTTGCAGGTTCGAAAGGGCCGCAAAGAAAGACGTCGAGCGCACCGAGATCTCGCGAACCAAGTGTTGCTCGATTGTATCGGCATGATGCGAAAGCTTCTCGAGCAGCGGAAGAGAGTACGAGAGAGATGAGGGGTCAGACTCCGGAGACGCGTCGGTCCCATCGCCCTGCTCTGTGACGGCGTTGAAAGTTCGAGGGTCGCCAAGGTTGAATTCGGGCTCAAAAAACACGGATGGCACACTCTCCAGCGGAGGGATTGCGCGGCCGGCGGGTATTCTGGGTGTCAGCGGTGTCCCCGGAAGCTCAGAACTCGATGAAGACGCGAAGGCCGAAGGTATCTGTGCAGCGCCTTCGCGCCCCTGCTCCGCGTTCTTCTGAAATCGCTCCCATTCGGTGCCAACCGAACTGAGGTAGGGGTCGAAATCCTTCCGACGGACGCGCGGCAACTCTGCGGGGGGCACGGCGGGGAGGCTTGAATGCGCCTTGGGCGGTGCTGATCGCTTATGAGGACTGTTCACAACCGTGGATATTGCTTCACAGTGTTAGTACACGGTGGGTCGGTGGGCGCGCGTCCAAGTAGTCGACGTACCATGGAAACCATGCCTTGCGCTACTCCAGTCTGGGGGAAGGGCACCGAGAGGCAATGATGATAACGACGAGTGGTTGTACAGCTCATACGGAGATGCGTCCCCGAAGTAGTCTCCGCGACCCTCAGTGGTTCCTGACACACTCGCTGGTCCTGGTTTGCGCGTAGATGGATCCCAAGTGAATCGGTAAGGGCGTACATGGGAGAAGTTAGGGAGTTCTGCTACGGGTGAGGCTGGCCGTGAAGGAACTGAAGCATCATCTGACATGATAGGCTACAGCCCAACGAATGCAGACTTGTGGACTCTGTCAGGGAGTATCTTCGGTTTCGCGTCCCAAGTAGTATTTGTCCTAAAGAGGCTCACTTTACCAGCAGTACAGTTGTGCTACACCAGAGACCAGCATTAGAATGTTGGCAGGCAAGCGTGCAGACCTGAAATGTAGCCGGCGTCACGAAGATATTTGGCGGGAGTTGGTACTATGCTGTGCTGGACTTATTGACGGCGTAATTGCTTCGATCGAAGAAACATTACGTAATGTATATACTATTTAAACCGGATACTCAAAACTATACATTAGCGTTGTACATCTCTGCTGCTAGATGTGGCTGAGTAGTATTGCATCATTCGCTGCGAGTGAAAGTGCTGAATTGAGGTGCATAGAAAGCATTACGACGCGATTCGAGAATAAAATCCAGTAAAGTCCATTGACCGTGGGCCACTCGCGTTCTTTCATCTTAACAATTTGACGTCAACGTTCCTTGCCGTGTTCTCTGTCGTAAATAGCCTTGAAATATCCGCCCAACACGTTTGGGAACGCAGCCATAGACTTTCGCGCGCGGAATCTCTCCTCAACCTTGGAGATCTTCTCTTGCGCTGCTTGCAGGTCAAACGCACGCTTCTGCCACTTTTGAGATTATATAACAGCGGACCGATCGGTTTGCAGAAACTCACAGCTTCGGTAGCACGTTTAGCGCGTGCTTCCTCGCGCATCTTGTTCAGCTCTCGCCGCCTCTCCTCCTCCTTCTCCTTCCGATTCAAGCCAGCATTAGGCGTTGAGCCTGCAGGCTTGTGGCGCCGTATGAGCACAATCAATGGTTCTGGAGTGTCCAACATGGTTTCTCGATACGTACCTTACTGAACAGTTGCGCATAGACGCTCTTGTCGCGCAAGTCGAAGTCTGCATGGTTAGCAGTGGCGGCAACCTTTCTCACAGACGTATCCGTAGAGGGCGTCGCAGGCGGCGGAGGTGCAGGGGGCTCCTTCTTTGCAGCAGGGGCAGCAGGCCTTGCAGTAGAAGGCGTAGATGGTGTAGTGGTCTTGTTCTTCTTGATGGGCGGTAGTTTGCGTTTCTTCGGTGGTGGAGGGACGGGATCCTCCGCCGTAATTGAGGACTCAGGTTGCGCCTTCTCCGACGCATCTAGAGTAGCCGGTACTGCATGGTCTTCCTCTTTGGGTGCGGGTCGCTTGTTGCTTGTGCTAGGAAGTGGCTGTTTCTCCTTCGACATGGAGGCAGTAGGTGCGGGAAGCTTGCGTTCGTCCCTGATAGCGAACTCTTTCTCTTCCTTCTTGAGGGCGCCCCGATTGCTCTTCCCGCTTACCACCAGCTTCCCATTCCTTGGTTTTGTTGCGCTGGCAGCTTTCTTAGGCTGAGAGGGCACTGGGGCAAAGTCCTCGTCTTCCGGGTCCATGATCCTGCCAGCGTCCACGAACTCGCCATCCTCGTCTGATGAGTCTGACCACACGATGGGCGCGCGTCTTGTCTTGCGCTCAGGTCTGCTTGAACCTGATCTGCTATCTGACTTCGCTTTAGATCTGCTCGAGGTTTGCGGCTTGCGTTTGGATCGAGAATTGGGGTGAGGTGAGACAGAGACAGACTGTGAGGGGGGCAAGAAACGCGTCTCCTCTTCCTCTTCGGCTTCGATGTCGACGTCAACCTCGTCTTCTCCGTCATCATCCGGTTCGCCGCCTCTTTGTTTGTGCTCGTCTACCCTGCCTCGCTTTGTGGATGGCTGAGCAGCTCCGTAATCATGCATGGAGCTGGACGGGGAGACCTCCGCTTCATCGTCCGACTGGATGCGCCCGCGCTTCATGGGCTTGGATGGTCCCGCCTCAGAGTTCTGGAGCTATAGCGTCAACGTGGACGGACAAACCAGTGTAGTTGCGTGTACCTGGGCTGTTTGTTTTGGGAGTTTGATTCTGAGAGACATCGTTGAGGATGGATGACAGTCTCCGGACTTGAGTACTTGAGTGGCTGAATGTCGCAGAGAGAGTGGCGGAGGCCATTCCCAGAACGGCAATGTGGACGATCACTCGATCAAAAGATAGACGCCAGCATTTAACTGCCCTCCTGCAACTTGCTTCGATCACAATTGGCGAAGATACTGTCCGTTTGCATAAAATCTGGATACATGTAGATACATGTAATATCCGAATGTCCATTATAAATACTACTCGTGATCCCTCATGTATTGTCCGTGTTAAGTCGTCTGTTTTCTAGCTACAGCCTAATGATAGCAGCCATGTTCACAACCCCACTGCCGTCAGCAGCTTCGCGAAGTCGGGAGTGCCGAGACCAGAAACCTGCGAAGATGCATTGTCAGCGCATCAAAGGGAGTATTCAAACCGAGACGACGCACGGGGTCCCAACCAGGCGCCGTAAAGAAGCCCAGTGTGCCATTCGTGCCGCACGCGGTGTTGTTCCCCGACGTAATGTCATTGAACGCTGAAGCCCCAGTCGAGTACAGGAAGGGGTTCAGGAATCCAAGGGTGGGCTTTCCGGAAGCGAGCAGCCGGTCGTTGAGGAGGGCAACCACGCTAGCGAAGGTGGGCGCAGAGCAGCTTGTGCCACTGACCTGGAGGACCTCACCGGCATTCACCACCTCAAAGTCAACCCCTTGCGCAGAAACATCCGGGTATCCACGGCCCGAAGCATTGTACAGCCCGGTGTCATTGCTTCCAAGAAGCGTCAGATATGCAGAGACAGCAGCGTCTTGGTAGCTTGGGCGAGGGAAGATGTTAGAAAACCCGCCGCCCGAGAAGTCCACGGCGACCTCAGGGATCAGAGTGGTTGCACCGACGGTTGTGATGCTATAGGTATTATCATCAGCAAGAGAGACATTATGCTGACTACGGTCCTTGAGACATACTGGGGGCATACCGAAGGGAAGGTGGGGTTGAATGTCGTGCACTCTTCGAAGTGGTTTCCCGACACACCGCCATCGCCCGAAGAAAAGATCAGCGAGACTCCACGGGCGCCCAACTGTGCGTACGCATTGCAGAGGGTTCTACGCACACAAACGACATTAGATGAAATCATACATGGACAGAAAGTGTGCTTACGTCGCGAAAGAGGCCGATACATACTGCTCATCCTCACCGTAGCTAGTAGACACAACCTGCGGAGGCGAGTCCAGCGCAATGAGGGTATTTGCAGTGTCCAAGAGGTTGGTCAAGAAGTCGCCATTGTACCCAACGGTAATGAATGTCGTGTTGACGTTTGTTGCTATCCCTACGGTATACTGGAGGTCGAGACTCTGCAGAACTGTCAATTATCTGAATCATCCTTTGACAAAACGCCTTTACCGCTTCAAGACCAGCGTCATCAGGACTCTGAGGATTAGTGCCATTGTCTATGCTGAGGACGGTGAAATTGGTGTTGGGGTTCACGTCCGGACGATACGTCTGCAGGAATGTCTGGTCGAACGTTCCTGCGTCAGCAGACGCGGGCCAGCAGCTGTATCGCAGGGACATACATGCAGATCCGATTCCTCGGCGTATTCATATTCGTACTCGGCCACAGCGAGGCCATTCGAGGCAACGGTGGCAGGGGTAGCAGGAATGCCATAGAGTTCTTGCAGACATGCAGGAGTCATCGCGGTTCCGTTAAGCTTTACAATCGCGCATGGATCGGACAAGTCAGACGCGCTCGCGGCCGGAGTGCTGACTTCACGGGCAATAGGAGGCTTGATACCGCTCGGGTTAGGGAACCTGTACATCTCGTTCAGATGATGGCACAAATACAGGTTATCGTGGTGCAACATACGTGATAGTGGGGTGAACAAGGGCGACATGACCAATCAAGTTCGACGGGAGAGAGTACGACAGGGTGCGGATAGTCGTCGCGCCAGTGACCGAGGAGGTGAAGACCGAGAAATCAGTAGCGAGAATTTCATTCGCTTTACTGACTGGTACGTCGATACCAAGCCAATCGCCAGCGGGTGTGAGGACGGTCGCGTTGAGTCCATTCTCACTCAACCAGCTGTTGACCGCATCAACGGTCTCTGATTCTGGGGCTGTGTACGCCTCAACCTGTACGGTTCCCAACGTTCATCAGCCACAACCATGCGGACAGCAGATGGGATAGACGCACATCGGACTTGCTGAGCCATTTCCCATAGTTCGAGCTGGACGGCGTGCTGACGTCGTACAAGGCTTCAATCAGCCCGTCAATATTGTTCTGCACAAGAGCAACGCGCAGACTGAGGACAGTGTCGGGCGAGGCGGCTCCAGTCAAGGTGTAACCACTGGGTGTACTCTGAAGAGCCTCGTGTACTTGCATTGCCCGCCGCAGAGGAGTACCCATAACGAGAGGGGAGAGGAGTGCAAGCGCGACGCTGAAGTGAGAGAACATGGTGGGCCAACTCTGGTTGCGGGAGTAGGGACCTGAAGCCCTTCCATGTTCAACAAACGCGTTAAATACTCTGGCTTTGCCCAAGGGTTTCGGTCAAACCAAGCCGCCAGAGAAGCACGACGCGGCCACGAGAAGCACAAGAGAAAAACTGCCGGCATCGTGGACCAGAAATGAGTGCGACCGCATGGCCCTTTCAGCATCCGCAGGACACTGATGGCATGTGGTTTGCCCAGATATGACAAGACCGCTGATGGAGGCGGGAGATGTCGCGGCCATCACGACCGCAGGGCGCACACTGCGTGATCAAGTCCATCTCTAGACTCTCCACAAAGGCGACACCAAGCGGTAGCGTCGGCGACGTCATCGGGGTTGATCGAGACATTTGCGACGTCGCACGGACAACATGCTGTGCGGGTCTTGGCTTTACAGCCGAACTCCATCAAAGCTTGATAACCTCCGCGCAGAGCACGCGTTACCTTCATGGCCGCCGTAACCAGGAATCTGGAACCATCAAGATAATGCGCGAGACCGTCACGCAGATGATTAGCATCTCGCATCTTGAAAGCAGTAATACAGTCTTGAAAAAGCGATGTTGGTGGTATGCAATGGCCATCTGGGCACACATGCCACATATCGTCAGTAGGTGATGACAGCGGTAAGCAACGTTAGATCAAGGGCATCTCCGGCCATCGTGGTATTGCGCAATGTCCGCTGCTACCGTTGCACAAGATCAGGAAGCACTCACCAACGCCGGCTTACTATATGACTATACTCGCCCGAGGATGTGAAACTACTCGCCTCCGAGATTGATGAATGACCGGCAAGGTGCGGAGTCAGACAGATCCGTCCCCAGTGATTACTTCGAAGAGGGAAGAGCCAAATTCGTTGATCACCGAATGCTGAATACTTACTTAAATTTATATGGAGAATTGCCGATGCACAAGGAGTAAGCCCAGTCACTGACGCTCAAGTGGTATTCGCGGACTCTTGCGAGAACGCGTCTGTGAGGTTGCGCGACAATTTTTCAATCTGCTCGAAGCATGTATCGAGCCATCTCCTGACATCCTTCTCCTTGCCTCGACCACCGGCGGCTTCTGTTGCTACACTCATCGAAGCCATCCCATTGGTCAAGGTGTCCACGCCAGGTTCCGCTCTCCACGGCAGGAGATCGCCGTCCGAGATAACTGTACGTAGCCGTCGGATTGAGGTAGCTAGCGACGAGATCGCGGACGCGATATTTTGCAGGTCTTGAGGCGCATATAGTGATGCGACTACTTCTTCGAAAGCAATCAAGAGCTCATGCGAGCAGTCGGGAAGTGTATCGAGAGCTGAGACAGACGCAAGACTTGGCTCCGCTGGTAGCCTCGCCAACAGATCAAGCTGTATTCGTTTGTGAAGAAGAGTGCTGAACCGCAGTAAGGGCTGGACCTGACAACCCACCAGGTGTGGTTAGCGAAGAAATAGCAGACATAATGCATGAATCATGCCTTCTTCGCGCGATCAAGTTCTGCTGCTGACATATTCTTGTTCGAGCCTAAGCCAAGCTCATCCCATTCGTCATCGTCGAACCCCTCGTCATCGACGTCTTCCTCTCCGTCCTGGGTGCCCTCCTCGATCATGTCAGTCACTTCCGCGAATGAGTCGTCTAACATTGAGCGGTCAGATATCCATTTCTTGCGCACTGCACCACGGTTATCCGCGGGAAGTTCTCGCTTCGCCCTTTCAATCAGGTCGTGGACAGTGCCTGTGGGCACCAGGTAGTCCTCGCCCTCGCCCTCGAGAAGCACTCGTACCAGACTGCGGACAGCCTCAGGAATTTGCTTTGTGGATGAGCGAGCTTCTAGAGCGAGGGTAGCACCATGCGCGTCAAAAAGTGTTGCGCATGCGGTCAGACTGGTGAGGTATTTCGCAAGATCGCGAAGAGGCTCCAGAGCAGCAGTGTATGCAGGTTCCTGCGGACGTAGAGTCAAGGCAACCTTCGTGGTCGAGGCGTAGACAAGGGTGAGCAGGGACAAGTAGTCCTTGTGTAAAGTGGCGCATGTGGGTGTGGCAATGGTAGAGGACGTCGCTATTGGTGATGGAGATTGCTCGAGGGTCTGAATGGCGGTCGAGCATGTCTCAGAGAGAAGACGAAGGGCATTCTGTGCTATTCACTGATCATTGTTGGTTAGCGTTACGACACAATAAAGTAAGGTTTCTTGCCTCTATTTTGTGGTGTCTCGTCCATTTTCGCAGGCAGCATACAGCGGAGCGAAGGAGCAATGCTGCACTCAGCGACGTGCGGCAAAAGGGAGATGGATCAAGATTGCAGGCAAGGCTGCAGGTTGATCGGGCATGTGATGACCCGCGGAACGCACAAAATGCAAAAGTCACCCCGTGTGCATCCAACCCCTACGGCTTAGGTTGTCCCCTTCGGGGTGACATACGAAAAAATTGGAACGATACAGAGAAGATTAGCATGGCCCCTGCACAAGGATGACACGCTTTCCCGGAGTGGTAGACCTACGGGTCTCAATATTTATTTTCCTTTTTACTCTTACACTTTGACTGAGTAGTTATATCCACTACTTAAGCAGCTCATGTAAGGACCATGTTTTACATAACGAACCATTCTATGTCTTTATGTAACGCGTTTGCTAGTGGAAGGTAATTGCATTTGAGGACTAAGCAATACACTACAATACATGGCCAAGAAGATACCAGACTGTCAATCATGCGGCAATAACGGTCGCAGCAGCAGTGGCCGGCTTTGATTTCGCTACCGAACCCTTACTTCTGCCCCATTTAACGTTGACAGTTTCGCCATCCATATCGAGACCATTGGCCCATGCTTGCGCCGCCAACTCTGCGGACTGTCGGTCCTTGAAGTTGACAAATGCACATCTAGCAGTGATAACTCGGCGGTCAGACGAACCCCTTACTCAGTATCCAATACTACCTACCTTGACTTTGCGACATGGACGATCGACTTTATCAAGGCTGGGTCGAGTGCTGGAAGCGACTTGACGACCCTGGTGCGGACTGCTTCCTCAGTTGCATTGGCAGGTAGCGATGTGAGGAAGAGCGATGTCTAGGGATGATGGTTATGGGTTGAGCAGAGGCTGGTAAAGCAAGAGTACGCACTATTGACTGGTCCTCAGGAGGCTGCAGGCCCATGGTTGCAGCATGGTTCGATAGGATTTTCCGCGCGACGGGGTCATTCCGGCCATGGTAGCGATCCTGTATGTTTTGCTTCGACAGCTCATTATCGACGGGCAGCTCATGTCTATATGTTCAGTGTCAGATAACGTCGGACCAAATGCGTAATTGAGGGCGTACCGGTACGGACACTCCGATCCGCGGCTGCACTGACCCTTGGCATAGAAAGAGCATAGATGTGGCCTGTTGCGCTTGTAGTACGGGTCCGTCCGCGCGAGCTGCTTTAGCATCTCCTTGCCCGCAGACGACGCCCGGGTAGTGTCCATCAACGACTTGTTGCCCTCCAACTGACCCCATATCAACCTCCTGCCCCATACTACAAGACATACAACGTACCTTGCCCTCCAAATTCTGCGCATAGTACTCTCTGTTGATCTCGCTCGTCGGAGCCTCGTTCTCAACGCCCAACGCTGTGTCCCGGACTTGTGTTGGAAGGCCGTATTCGAGGTCGAGAAGGCACGTCTGGCACACGTTCTTGATTTTGGCGCAGGTCTGGCAGATCACAGTCGTCTTGTAGCGCATGCCGGTGCCAGGGTTCCAACGGAAGACGGTGAATGGCCGTGCGCAAGTACCACATGAACGGCCGTACTCTTGCTTGGACTGATAAGAGGGGAGTGAGTGTACAGTACACAACGCACAAGGAACCACATACCATGCGGACGAAAGCATTGTCACCGAGACCTAGTGAACACCCAGCAAACACCCAGTGAGTAAATGAACATGGCAAATAACGCTCCAGCATACATGTCTCGCATAGAATGGGAAACTCGCTCTGTTCCCAGCCAGCCTTGTTGATGTCTAATTTCGGCATACCGACGCGTAGAGGAAACAATCTCGGAGTAGGTGGCGGTAGTGAGTTAAGGGTGGCGGGAATTACCAAAAGTAGTATGTTTACTCAGGGGCGTTTGTTGTCCTGACTAATCCGATCTCCGTATGTCAGGCTGACCCAGACCAAGGTTCGGCATAAGTTGCTTGGTTATAATTAGTCGTGGATTACGGTGTAACCTGCTGATATGATACCAGTATACTATCGTGGAAGGTGTCTCTTATCAGCAGACTTTTTACTTTATTTTAAATTCGACTGGTTTAGACTCCATACAACGTAGGTACAAGTAGAGTGTAGATGAGCCTCCGATAGCTCTTAACAATGGGCTCCGCGCCCTCGGACGGAAGCACTCAAGACTGAGTCCAACGCTAGGTGTCAATGCCCTACAGGTTTCAGGCGGACTAAGTACTTATCAACAGACTTGAAGTATGCTTGTCGATATTTGCCTCGGAGTCGGCCATCCTTGGCAGCACAGCTAGCGATGAGGTCTGACGGTTTGTATTTATTGATCTCTCCGTGCGTTGCACTACACGTTCAAGTCTGATCCAGATAATGTTGTACACCGAGTATTAAGATTGCAGCACACTTCATCGTACAGTCCTCTCATCTAGGCAGCTGAGGTCCGCCTACTCTCAGACATACTTGATCCGCAACGTCAGGTTGAACGGGAGCGTTGACGCCGTTACCGTGATATGGTCGCCATCCTCGATCAGCTCTGATACCTTCTTCTCAAGATTTGGCCGCGTGAGCTCCTCAAGCTGCGGCGGCGCCTGGAAGTAGATTTGCTTCGTCGTAGTGGACAAAGACGGTTTCTTGATTTGGCTGTGCACAATGCAGTCAGCACGAAGAGTACTCGATTAAGCAGCGGATACGCACATGTCCTGCTTCTCGATGAGCATCTCGATGAGGCGGTCGACGGTCCACTCCTTGCTGATTGAAATATCCAGCGCCTCGCCACCGCACACGGGGCAGTCGTCCCGCTTCTCGTGCTCAAAGGTGTACGAATACACGCCGTCGACTCCGATCAGCATGAAGTAGTTGTTGAGGTATGCCGCAGAGCTCGTCGCAATCTTGAATGCTTCATTGCAACATGACGCTAGACATTCAGAATGAGACATCAGTATGTACAGTATCGGGAGAGTTGGGGAACATCACCTGCAATGATGGCATTTGTCGACGCGATCGCAGGAATGATATTTTTGACCACTCCTTGGGTTAACGACCATGTGACACCCTCGATCTTGAACTCCTTCGCGCGCGCCGAGGCTGTCGTATACAGCCAGCTGATGTGCTCCGGATCGTCCGTGTCGAGCTTCTTGTCTGCACAGAACAGTGAGTTCCTGTACGCGTTCGTCATGCTTATTCTCACCTCCGAACACACGCGGCCACTCCAGTACTGATGCCCATTCTATGCAATGTTCCGGCAGACGTGGTGTATTAGCGATGGTACAGATGGGGAAAGCGGTGGGCTTGTTGAGCATGTCTAGAGAGCATTCGTAGCACGATGAGACGGTCGGGAGTATCACACGTGCTTGGCCCTTGAAGCCTATGGGGCTCTCATTAGTTGCATTCATCGAGTGGCACACTACACTGTAGGCTTGCCTTCTGTGCCACCATCAATCAGAGGTTTCAAGCTTTCTGGGTTTTCCGGATCAACCAAGTTAACAAGGGTAGCGTTGATCCACCGTCGCGCCTCTACGGAATCAAGACCACAGATAACGAGGTTGAATTGCATGTAGTAGTCATCGTCCTTGTCCTGGATTTTGCCATAATATCTGAGGGACTCGTCAGAGAACCTGAAATATTGCTCGATTATACTTACGGAGAGACAATGACACCAGGAACACGCTTCATGATGAATTCTGCAGCGACGATCGCCTTGGGTTTGCCGACATCCTTTGGTCTACGTGTCCATAAAGAAACTGCTATCTAGCGAGGTCTAGTGCGCATACCTGAAGAGAAACTGTCTATTCAGGTTACTGATGTCGATGGTGTCCATATCAATGACATGAATATCCTTGAACCCAGACAGGGCGAGGTTCGCCAAGATCTCACAGCCCAGACCACCGGCACCAATGACCAGGATCTTGCATTTGTTCCGCAGAAAGTCTTTGACCTGGGGCACAAGAACGTGAGCTCAGTTGCGTCTCGTCGGTACCATGGACATGCCGACCTCATTACCAGCCAGGAAAGACGGATCTGTGCGGGGACCTGGCTTGTCGAGAATCTGGTCGACGTGATGATAGCGATCTGGCCAGTCAACGACAGCCGGGGTACCATCAAGCACAGCTGCAGCAGCCATGGCGAGGTCAGGGTTTGTGAGGGCGAGTGGCAGAGCCGCTACCGAGGACGCGTACCGGCGCGTACATGCACGCAAGCGCCCAGCCGATCTCGATCTCGATCGTGCTGCACTCAAAATTATGGACCCTTGGCAGGTCGCTTCTGCACAACACACACCCATGGCACAGTCCACCGCCGTCCTCCACTTCAGCGGCCACCAATGGCTCAGAAATCGTCTAGTCCTCTCAATCATCAGCGGCAAGCCCGTAAAGGTGGACAAAATCAGGCCAGACGACAAGAATCCGGGCTTGAGAGGTGAGCATAAGGAAGTTTGGCTCGAGGGTCCCTTCTGATTGCTCTCGCAGACTATGAAGTCAGCTTGCTGCGACTGCTGGAACGCATAACAAACGGGACCATTATTGAGATATCGGTCACAGGTAAGCTGAAGTCTGCTCTACGCTCTTGCAGGTTAACTCATCCTTTCCAGGTACCGCAATCCTTCTCAAACCCGGCGTGATCGCAGGAGGGCCGGTGCTGCACGACTGCCCCACTTCCCGCTCAATAGGGTACTTCCTGGAACCCGTAATCATGCTCGCACCGTTCTCCAAGAAGCCTCTCCAGCTCACGCTGCGCGGAATCACATCCGACGACCAGGACCTCTCAGTGTGTCCAGCCTTCCTCGTTCCTTGCCCTAACTAAGCCCAATATTCCTTCAGGTGGATCTCATCCGCACGGTGACTCTACCTCACCTACAACTCTTTGGCGTATCTGATGGGCTGGAGCTGCGGGTACGTGCTGTCTTCTTCCAGTCGAAACAGCCATTGAAGCGTGCTGACAGATCAAAAAACGCGGCAGTCCACCGCTCGGCGGTGGTGAGGTGCAGTTCCTATGCCCCGTCGTCAAGCAGGTCAAGACTCTCAACTTTGTTGAACGCGGCAAGGTCAAGCGGATACGAGGGATCTCGTAAGTCACCCGCTGCTCTACTCGTGTGCTACATGACATTGATTACTGCTGCAGGCATGCCGTGCGTGTCAACCCGCAGTTCTCTAACCGCATGATCGAGGCCTCGCGGTCAGTTCTCAACCGCTACATTCCCGACATCTATCTCTACTCCGACGTCTACAAAGGCGAGGACAGCGGAAAGTGCGTCTCCCACCCACCCACCTCTTAGTTAGTCCTCACTAACAGCCTCTCTCTCGCCAGGTCACCAGGTTACGGCCTTAGTATCCTCGCTGAGTCCACGACGGGCGCAATGCACTGCGCAGAGGCGCTCTCACAGCCGGGCGTCGCACCAGAGGATACCGCGCTCCTCGCATCACGCGCACTGCTCGCCGAGGTACGCCGCGGCGGCTGCATCGACCGTCAACATCAAGTGTTTGTACTGCTCATGATGGTGCTCGGGAGTGAGGACGTCGGGCGGTGCCTTATGGGCGAGCCCACGCCACGGACGTGAGTGTATTTTCGGTTTTGTCTCTGTGCACCGAGTGCAACAAACGTGTGGGAGCTAACGTGCTTACTCTGACGGATAGCATACAGTTCCTGCGGGATGTACAGACGTGCTTCGGGACGACGTTCAAGGTCACACCGGTCGAGTCGGACGATGCCTCGGGTCCGGAGCTGATATTCGCATGTCTGGGTATTGGCTACGTAAACGCCAACAGGTCGCTTGCATGAGATGGGGATATATCCATCTATGTGATCGAGCTCAGGAAAAGCCTGTCTAGTCTTGTCACAAGAGGGGCCACTGGGCATCTGTTTTATGGCAATACCGATACGGGCAGGCATCAAACCACCCCCCACCCCCGCCGTCCTCCGTACTAGAGGAGTATTGTACAATAATCTCCGTGTAATCAGTAGTGTAATATCAGCCCTGTTCCAGGAAGCCCATTGCCCAACAAAAATACGTAGCATCTACAAGTAGCAACACGCTATCGGTATATGATCGCAACCCGACCAAAGTCTCCATCTCCCCGCCCGCCGCCTGCGATGACCAGCCACTGCCGCACAATTGGCCAGCCAACCTTGAGATGCGTGCAGATCTCGTCTGTGTGATGCTCCCCGTCGAGCATATCCAGCAGCTCGCGCGGGAGTGTCGGCCCCAAGGGTACCTGCGCCGGCCCGTACACCTGCTGCATCGCGGGCGCGGACGGCGAGCGCTCGAGCTGCGGTCGCGAACGCGTCAGGCCTGTAGGCGGTGGCGGGCGTGCGGCGGGGTCGGACGAGGTCTTGGTCAGCGTGCGCGGGGTCGGGGTCGGCGATGGCGGCGGGACGCTCGGTTGCTCTGGCGGGCGGGGATTGAAGACGTCCTGGATGGAGCGCCGCACAGGTCTGCTGCGCAACTGTTCGAGTGAGGTCTCAGCCGCGCTCGTGCGGCGGCCTGGTGGTGCAAAGGCGGGCATCGCGGTTCCGTTCTGTGCTCCACCTGTGGTTGATGGGATCGAGAAGTCTGTGGTCATGATAGGTCTTGGCGTGAGGGAGCCATGCGAGCGCAAGCGTCCGCGCATGGTGTCTGGCTCGACTCGCAACGAGGATTGTGATGGCTGTGCTGAGGTCGCGATGCTCTTCCCGCGCTTGCGCCCAAACGATGATGGGTTTCCGAAACGTTCGTCCTGCAGAGTGGCAGTGTCGACCTCGGGGAGCAGGACAGGCCAGCGATGGACCCGACGTAGGAAGCCCTGCAGTAGCAGCTCGAATGAGCGATAGTAGCGATCTGATTATACGATTGTGTGACCTTAATCACGCCGAAGCTGGTGAAGCGGCGTACATCGATGCCGTAAGACGCGACGTCGTATTCCTCCATCCACTCACGTACTGTCTTTCCGGGCTTCAACCGAGAGTACAGGTGCAGGAGTTTCGGCCAGTCCGCGATGGCCATCCCTGAGAGACAATGTCTTAGCTTCGAGTTATCCGACGAATTCACAGTTCGCACCTGGTTTTGTAGCATATGGCCCGCATTCGTCTCTCACATGAGACTCGTCCGCCAGCCATTGGATGCTAGTACGAAGCGTGTACATATTTGAGTATTGAAAGATGTCAATCATCATGATTACTTGGTAGTATCTTTGGGAAACGTGTTTAATAACCCCGCGCAACGACAGAAGAGATATGCATACAGCAGATGCGCAATGGCTTGGCGAGTCAGGTCAAGATCGCAGTCCGCAAGGCGTGCAATGCGACTCACATGGTTCGTGCCATCAATATGTTGGCAGACCTGACGAGCTCTGGTTCAAGTACTAAGTGTAAACACCGCTTATAAGCTCACCTTGACCATGGTTAAGTCCCAATTCGGCTCGATCCTCTTCGTCAGATTGATGAGGGCAAGAGGCACCATGTAATCTTTGACTGGCGGAGGATTAGGATAGAAGGGGAAAATCTTCAACTCAATGGAGTTGAATCTGTCCATGGGGATGGACGTCTCTGAGTACGAGTTCAGGTCCTCGTACAGCTGCTCGAGGATGGCATGTATCGCCGGAGAATTCTCCGGAGATGAGAGGTACTTTGACTCTTTCTGTGCCCCATCTGTCACCTCAATACAAAAATGCGAAGAGAGCGACGAACCTCGCACGCCGTGAGGACGCGGCTTGCTTTCCTCACGATGGGCTCATAGCAGCTGAGGTCCGCCGAGCGCTCGAAAACGAAGCACAAATTGTACCGGAACTCGTTGCGGGGGTAAGCTCCCCACAGATTCATGGGGAACCCGATGATGCGGTGGTTGCGCGTCGCACACATGACGAGCCGGCCGCAGAGGGCGCTGGATGGCATAACATACTTCGAGATGTCATCGAAGTGGAAGAGCGAGCGGTTGGACGAGGCAGCTCGCTTGCGGGGGCTAGGCGTCTGCGTAGCGTTTAGGGAGCGCAGGGAAGCACTATTCGTGCCAGAGGGCTGTCCGGGAGAGACAGGGGACAGGGTGGTACTGGCGGAGACGGTGGTGGTGCTCGTGGATATGAGATCCTCAGGCACCTGGTGGACGATCTTCGGGCCTTGTTCAACATCGAAAACGGCGTAGAAGACAGATTCTATGTGCGGAAAGAAAGACCCTGTCGAGGCCATGGGGTACTTGAGATTACACAGATTTCGAGCAGGGACCTGCACGACCGGATATGATGATGGCTCAAATCAAGCTGAATTTGACGAGCAATTTCATATTCAAACTCGCGTCATAGATATCTCAATGTGGCAATCCTGCGTTGATCTCATAGGACTCGCTAAACTCTGTTTGAATGCTTCGCCGTGGTCTAGTCATACAGCTTTCACTATTATTTACTACAAAGTATACGCAGATCGCCTAATCATCCCAGAACTTTGCCTATGATCGGATGTCAGCACGGAATGAATGAATCATGTAGAACCGCGACGTACGAAAGCTCGGTGGTGAACCTTTGAGCCAGTCTCGTCGATTGTCTTCACTTCATCCGCAGTGAGGGCCGGCAAGGTCTCCGTCGCGAGGTATTCTTTGATACGCTCCTCCTTCGATGTCGTGCTGGTTTCAGATATCATCGTAAGTCGGCATCCTCTAGCTACGAAAAGCGATGTACACGTACGTGATAGCGGGTATCCCCTTGGCCTTAAGCCACAGCTGCAGTACTTGTCCTTCTGTAACAGGCTTTCCGGCAGCTTTGCTGACCCGTTTGGCAATGGACGGCAAAACCGAGTCCAACGGACCGCCCTTAAAGCGCACGATGGGGCCCAGTCCACCGTAAGACGTCGGAAGGATGTTGTGCTTCTTCAAGAGGTCGATCGCGGGCTGGTCTGCCTTGAAGACATACGGATGATACTCAATCTAGTTCTCGTTGTTAATACATGTCATGCATCAGCGCGTTTTGCCAAGCGTACCTGATTCACTGCAGGGATGACACTGGCATTGGGAAGGATTTCCTCCAGATCCTGCACACGAAAGTTGGAGACTCCGATGCTCTTAGCGAGGCCCTCCTTCTGCAGTGCCTCGACTTCCTTCCATACTGAGGACAGAGTTCCTGCCGGATGGTTCTTGGGCGAGTGGATGAGGAAGAGATCGACATAGTCAAGTTGCAGTTTCTTAAGTGACGTCACCAGCGTGTCGCGGACGGTCTGACCCTGGGGGACCTTGTCCAACTTGGTGGTAACGAAGAGCGACGAGCGAGCTTTACCCGCGGCGACAATACCTGCGCCGAGGGACTCTTCGTTATTGTATGCCTGCGCACCGTCTAGGTGAACGAAGCCGTTCGCGATGGCGGCCTGGACGGCATTCTCTGCATCCTTGCCAAAGAGCGCGGTACCAGTCCCAAAACCCAGCCAGGGAATCTTGTTCCCGTCGTTTAGCGTGATTGTCAAGGCTGACATAACGGAGCGTGTGCTAGTGGTGGATGAAATGTGTCGAAGGAGGGACAGGACGGACATGCTGAGGAGGGTACCCGCTATATATGTTCTCCAGGACGGCATGACGTCTCTTTATCGGCTACACGATATGTCGACGGGTGTCGAGCTCGCCGACTGCGCGCCGAATGAGCAAAATGTTGCAAGATGGTGACTTCATTTGAACGCCAGCTTTGGATGGTCTGACTAAGGCCACCCTGAACCGCTCCCACCGCTGCCGCGCCCGTCCGACGGCATGGCGAGGATACACATGTGACGAGGGGAAGGTACGGACGCGTACAATATGTAATATAGACTGCAGCGCTATGTATCGGCCCGCGAGAACAAGTCCATTTGTGTCTGCCCTAATGAAAGGTGGATATAGCCGCCAAACACGCCAGCTTGTCCTCCTCATCTTTTAACAACCACGCAGGCGCTCCACAAGAGGGTTCGTCGTTATTCCCCGATGAATCTTTATCTCTTAGCAGCCTCAGAGCAAAGGTTCGCTCTTTGGCCGGCCATCCTGGTGCATACCTGTGGATAGGACGGTCACCTGGTGTTTCCGACATCTCTGCTCTGCAGTGGCAAGCACTGATGACTGCTGCGCATTATCTACACCTCGTGTTGGTAGATTGGAGTAGGCACATTGTCTGTATGAATCGGTCGAATGGTGTACAGGATGCATGGCATTGTTCACACCAGAGTGGTCAATAGATGTTGATGCAGCATTGTTCCCATATTACCTGATTTGCACATTAATAAGCAATGAGGCAGTCAAAAAGCTGAGGGGGGCGTGCCCGCGGGGAATGCCACTGCCACTGGACGAGTCCCATAACAGAGTAATTGCTTCCGCAGCCATTTGCGCAAGAGACCAGCACTTAGGATCTAGAACTGTAGTATAGCTGCGATGTTGTGGAAGTACTGCACATTCCGACAGTCTGTACAGTAGAGAGACAGCAGAGACACGAACTGGAGCGAGTCTCTTTCCTCGAGCGACTTGAGAGATTTGATCCCCGATGCAGCGTACCGTGATGACGCTTCTTGTTCACGTGCCACGGCGCGTCGCGTCAAGCGCCCTCGTTAATTTCCATGCGTGGAGAGGCCTTGACCCCTGCTCTGCAAGTGCTTGTCGATACCAGACCCTCCAACGCTCTCGGATACGCGAAAAAGGTCACAACAAGCCTTCACGAACCTCTGTGCCCAGGATTACGCAACAAGTCCTACGGGACAGGCTCCGGTGTTGCTCCGGTGAGTGCAGTGGTCGGTGGTCCACGTTTTGGCATCCGCCTCCGTGCCGCCAATCCAGGAGACAATGTTCTTTGGACTGAGCAATTGCGTATAAAAGGACCCCACCCCTCGCGTGTCCTGCCTCACTCAACTATCCCCACACTCTCTTTAACACTTTCGTTACAACTATGATTCAACTCTTGGGCTTCTCTGCATGGATCACCTGTCCGGACGGGGAGATCGTCGAATACGATACAATGGTTAACACTCAAGGTGACGTGATGTATTGCTGGATTCCAAGTGAAATAGATAAGGTGCGCTGTTCAGCCCATTCTCAATTGTATCTTTCCTCAAACACTGCGGCAAGCCGTTCTCCGTCCACTGGCGGGACCATGGCGGAGGCATTGATACTGCTACCTACATCAAACTCGACGGGGAGACAGCACCCGGACAATTCCTCATGGGCGAAGGAGAAGCGGAACGCTCTGCTATCCGAGTCGCGGAAAATGCGGAGAGGCCGTTTCTGTTCTCTGAGGTCAAAGGTGTGGCAGTATCTATTCCCTTCTACAACTTAATCGTGCTGAACGTCGTCGCAGAGCCTAAGCAACAAGACTCGTCTCAACCTCAGGAGCGTCTGCCACGCGAAGCTGAAGTCGGAACAATCGTCGTGAAGATCAAACGGGTCAAACGGATGCAAAGGCGGGCAGCCAACAAGCCCTTGATCCCACCGAGCGAGGTTAGGGGGCGCCCTGGTCAACCTTGTATAACGTAGGTGGCAGATGATGTCATCTCAACTCCTACTGAAGGTACTTCTCACAGGTATGGACCTCCGCGGCCGATTGCTGGTCATCATAGCTCAACATGGGACATTCAGCCGTATGATCCGGAGAAAGCAGGTTCCTTCGTGAAATTCGTGTTCCGGTACAGGTCCAAGGGTGAGCTACCCATTTCTCCGCCTCTTCTCCATGGTCTCATCTTGTGCACGTCAGAGTTCCTCATTTCCCAAGGTATCATGCGTCGGGGCGCACCTCTGTATCGACCACTCAGCCCTCCTCGCGTTTTGATCCCGGCCCATTATGCCAGCCCGCCAACTACACCGTCGGTGTATTCTACACCTTCGCCTGCGTTCAGCGTAAGCAAGCTCAGGCCAGAGGCCGACGTCGCAGGCAGCCAGCGTGTGGCTGGTGGACGAGTAGGTTCTATGATTATAATAGGCCGTGCTGTCCTGACCACCTGGCCGTCATTGCAGAGTGTCAGTAATCCAGTTATGCGCGTCCAGGGTCCTATCACTGCGGAGAACTTCCCTCCTTGCCAAATCCGGAGGTTCAGTGCAACCCTGATCGTGCGAGATGAAACACAGAATGTCATTGACCGCCATCAACGCCGTGGGTAAGAGAGAGCTCGCTGAACCCACTCTCGTTGCTGTCATCGCTGTCTGGAATCGACCGTTGTCTCGTCATCTTTGCTATCGGCCTCGTATCGTGTTCGCTTTGTCCATTGCTATCGTAGTCAGTATCGCACCCTCCACTCCCTATTTGCTTTGTGTCGCTGGTCGCACCTCTCATCGCTATTGCTGTCGTCATTGCTGTCGTGTTATCCTTGTTTTGTACGAACGTACCAGTTGGATTCTTGGATCTGAGTAGGTACACCTGTCGTTGTTATCGTAGGTTATGTCAATGCAATGCTTGCAAATTGACCGCAATTCTGACGTCGCTGATCCTTTACTGTAATAATCCCTTGATAATCCTCAGCAACGCGCCAATACGCGGTGCACGTGATCGACCCCATTGTCGTGTGCCGCGCGTAGTCGTCTTCGGAAGACGGAGCCGCCACCAGCCGTCACAACTGTGTCTGTGTCCTCACGAATCTTCATGTCACCATTATCTACGACCCAGCTTTCCAGTCTGCCGACATACTCTTCTACTTCTGCTCAACGACTGAAGGCCCTGTACTCTGATTTCTCCTTGCAAAAGCAGTCAAATCCTACCTCATATTCCTCATATGTCGAGTGGTGGCGACGAACCTTGGAAGCTGTTGTTCTTAAAGGATGCTTACATCACGGAGATGAGAATCTCACCAAGCCAGAGAGACTTGTTCTACATGCAAATGGGTCAACCCTAGCGGACGACTTCAGATTCGAAGGAGTTGGCAAGCCCCTTGGCTTGCCCACCGTAATAGTAAGGGAGACATTCGGTTCTCGTAGTAAATATCTTTCTGACTATGTGTCCCACTAGTACAGTCTGAGCTTTGCGAGACAAAATCTTACTTCCGACTCTCTGACTTCCTGACTTCCTCAAAGTCAATATACGATCCTGGCTGGCTTCCCTATCGAGTAGCCTCCTACGTAGTGGGAAAGCCGCTCTGGTGGGCACTGCAGCAGCTCAGCATCGTTAGCCCGGATGATACACTAGGGCATTCGAACTACACCGAGCGCTGGAAGAAGGTCAAAGGCGACTACGTCGTCATCAGCCTCTTGGAAAGAGCAGCAGATAGTGTCATTGCGAGGCAGCGAGAGCGGTCCGGCTACAATCTTGCAGACTCGCTGTACAACTTCGATGGGTTCCGTAAGGCGTTCGCAGATCATGCGCTTGAAGGGGTGGTCTTGTCTGACCTAGACCTGAGAGTGCTTATCCGATATCTCCAGCGCGACAAGAAAGTGCTAGCAGTACAGAAGGATGTGCGCCGCCTTTTTTTAGTTGATATGCTGACTTGCTGATGCACCCGGGCAGATGATCAAGTTCGTCGAGACAGACGAATCCCCATCATTCGAGTTTAGTGCTGTCGACATTGGTATCCTGGAACTCAAGTCGGCTGTTGAAAATCTACAAGGGCAAGTAGACAGCCTGCAAAGCAAGATTTCCGAGTTCAGTTCGCCCTAACATTCAATGCCTTATGCACGCTAATTGAGCCCCCTGCACTTCTGTAGGCGGTTGGAGCTAATATCGGCGGCGCTCCGCCATAAGCGGAAGGAAGTCGCTATGAGCCATTTGCGTGCTCGAAAGCAGCTTGAGGATCTGCTCGGAAAACGACTGAATTCATTGGATACCCTGCAGTCCACGCTCCTCCGTGTGGAGGCATCGGCAGGAGATGTTGAGGTACGTGCTTATTAGAATGTTCCTCTCTTGATATCCTGTCTAAATCTCCGTGGCGCATAGATCATGAAGTCATACGAGTCATCAACTGCGACCCTACGTGCTATACTGGCACACCCATCTCTGCAACGCGAGAAAATCGACGAGACCATGGATGCAATGGCATCTGCCAACGCAGATGCGAAAGAGACAGACGATGCAATTCGCATGGGTATGGAGATGGCCCAGGCTGATGCTGGTATAGATGAAGCAGAGCTAGAAGACGAACTGAAGGCTCTGCTGGCGGAATCCGAACGCGAGACCGCAGAGAAGGCCAGGCACGAAGAAGAGCTCAAGGTCAAGCAGAGACTAGCAGATAGTACTATCCGAGTACCTTCTTCGATACCAGCAGTGGAGATCGCAGATAAGACAACGGCCCCGGTCGAGAGGGACGACGCGGTGGCGGAGTGAAGGACTCTGTTCATGCTTATGATTCGTGCATAGACGTTGATTCATCCTACGGACCTCTGGACTTCATTTTGGCGTCTGTAGCCGCACGCAAGGAATATATAAATCTAAACGGGATTCCCTTCGACACCTGAACATGTTGGCCGTGACCCTTGAGCGTTTGACGTCAAACGGAGGTCTCAATAGAGCGATCAAATCAATGGTGTTATCGTCATATGGAGGCACACAATCTAATGGTGGCAGCCTCGCGAATCCACGTCTACATGGAAACAAAAACTACAGTCTGTGATGCTAAGGCTACAAATCTATCCCAAGAGTCCATGTGTGCAAACTTGTCCAGTCAGTATCCGCCCTCTCCAGGAGCACGGCTTTTCCGGTCCGCCTCGTAGAGCCCATAGATACTGTAGGTCGGGCTCCTGTAGTCTGTGTAAGCATCCGGGTTCGTATGCGACAGGGCCATCTGCGCTAGCGAGGGCAACGGTGGCGGCGAGGGCACCCGGGGCGGCTTGTCCTCCGCCCGTTTCTTCGAGCTCGTCTTCCGCAACACACCCACTGTACCGTCCCCGCTTGCACGGGCGGACGGCAGCGACTGCATGCTCGAGAACTCTGCCAGCATGAGGTTCCCAAGCCGCGCGCTTGCTTCCATGCCCGGACTCAGCGACTGACTCTGGGGGCGTGGCTTGCTCGCTGGATGATTCTCGCTGCGCCCGCCGGCGAGAGTGATCGAGTCATCGGGATATAGTGTTGGTTGGGGAGACGGTGGTACGGGACTTGCAAGGCCAAGAGCGGTGGTCAGCGCGCGGGTATCGCGCTCGCGTAAGGCGTCCGACTTCAACGCTGGAGAGAAGGCAGGCAAGACGTACTGCGAGTCATCGAAGGGATTGGAAACACCGCTGTATGCCGCAGCCGATGTCGAAGTGCGTAGCAAAGCGGCAGGAGCGTAGGGAGCCTTGACACGCGCACGGCCCTGCACGGAACTAGATTTTTTGTGCACCGTGGCAGGACTCGCTGTCACAGGCGAGGTAATCCTCAGACCATCATAAACATCTACATCGCCGCTATCGATGCCAGGCCTTTTCCCCTGGACACTGTAACGCACACTTCTTCTGGTCGATACCCGGCGGGTGGACGCCTTTGACACATTGCGTTGCAGGACAGGCATGCCATCTGCAGTCAGAGGCGAGGCTCCTCCAATCGCGATGCCGATACCTTGAGTTGACTGAGGCGATCCCGGATAAATTGACATAGACATGGCAGAGACCCGCCTTGCACCACGCGGGATGGTGCCCGTGGCTTCCTGGACAGAGGGCACAGACCGAGGAGGGACTCTTGATCCCATGTTGGCTTGCATAGTTTTCTCGTTAGCACCCATGGGCGGCTCCTTCAATTGCTGCCAGCCTCTCTCGGACGTGTTGGTGAATGCATAATTCTGTCCTTCAGGAGCGGCTAGCTCAGGTTTGGCAGAAGCCGGCCGAGAGTACGTCGTCCAAGTCCAGAGACCGTTGTTACCCGAAAGTCTCTCCTTGCCCCCGAAAAGCGATTCCTCATCGTCTTTGGGATTGCGTGCTGGGAAGACGTCCTGAAGGATGGGCAGAGACGGTGTAGGAAAGGTGCGCCTGCGAGGCTGACAGCAGCACCTGAGCAGGATAATTAGGATGGCCATTGAGCACGCTATTCCAATCACAATCAACACTACGATGGCTGCGGACAAATGCTTCGTTGGTTGCGCCTGCTGGCTCTGATTTGCGTCGGCAGAAAGAGAAGTGGCGCCACTAGACGGTACTGACGACGAGACTACAGAGAGCGAGGATATCACAGTGCTAGCAGCAAAGGAGGCAAAAGGGGGTAGGGGCGAAAAGCCAGGTGTTGGAGTGGGTGTCCCACGAAGCGTTGAAGGCGGGATCTCAGGTAATAGACCAGAATATACCGAGATGACACTAGCAGATGGATTTGCCGCAGACAGGCCAGTGCCCAATGCAGCGTCAGCGTTGACATCGGCTACAATCGCAGACTGGGGCTTGTGAGATGGTTCTGCATCTTTCTGCTTCGCGCTAGTGCTTTTGGTGCCGTGCTTCTCGCTACTGCTGTCTTCCTTTTCAGGCTGAGCCTCATAATTGTTTGAGGCTAACGTCGGCTGGGGATTTAGTTTGTTCGACTTGTGAGCACTCTTCGAGTTCGTACTACCCATGGCGGAAACGAGAGTGGTCAGAAAAGAGCGGCGGCGCGTAGTAAGGAAAGCCAGGGTGACGCGATGGAGACAGTTAGCTGGCCAGCGACCAGCACTGCACACAGCGAGAATGACGATGAGAGGCGGAACAGACAACGACTGGCCCGAGAGTCAAGTTGAAGTGTACCAGACCCCGTGACCCGTGTCGGCGGGTGTGGCTTCGCGTCGCGACTCGTCGCGGTCTCGCGCCTGGACGCGCTCCCGGGTCTTGTATTTCTTGCGTATGCTGTGATTCTCCTCTCGCGAAGGCGGTGATACCATTCACAACAATATCCGTGTCCATTCGTATAGAGTGGCTCGTTGAAGGGCATGGACATTTCTGACGACTCTAGGTCCGTCCTCTACAGGCTGCCTTGCAAATCCGAGGCTGTTTTGCATCACAGAGTTGACACTGTCTTCACAGCCGTGGAGAGTCCCAAGCAAGCCAGCTCCTGCGAGCCGTCCTGCCTCACGGTCTTCCATTTCCCATAGCCAACGTTGGGCGCGCCACCAATCGTACTCAGGGCGGCATTTGCGAACTTTCCGTCAGCCAAGGAACCAGAGATTCTGTGTCACAATATAGCTTCCACGAACTTGCTGCTACCCAGCTAGATTTGCAAGCTCAAGACCAACACCGTGTAGGAAGTCTGGGGGGAGAGCGAGAGAAAGCTGGTGTATTAGAGCGTGCCACTGGCAAGTCTGCCTGGCCAACTGAAGCACTGAGTGAAGTGCGCGCTCCCATCTTGGTATGCCACTTCGCCATGTGTCTGTCCGCAGTGGCTGAACACTTGGCTCATTGTTCCGTACAAAGAACGATCGAATCCTCTTTGCCGATCGCGTTGTAACTTCGGCTTTCAAGAGTTCCAAGGCGGTCTCGTTTCACTCTCCATTGCTCGCCCCTCCGGCTGGCGTAGTGAATACATCTGTGGCACCCACTCGAACGATGCACCGGGCGCGGAGACAAAGATCGCCCTCTCCCGCGTCCCAAGACTCGTTCGCCGGCCCTTTGTCCTGTCAGGATCCTCAGAAGCTCTTCCTACAGAATGCAAGAAACTTTAACATGCCCTTGGAAGAGCTCGCCCGTCCTCGCTTACTTGTCGATGATGTGTCCGACGCCACTGCTGAGACGTCATCTTCTCTCTACGCCTCTGCCAATCCACATGCGTTGTCTCCTAGAAGTTGTCGCGTGGCTCCACCTCTGACAGCGCTTCCTCGACATGGTGAAGTCCTCGTTGTTTCGACTCCATCGATTTCCTCGCAATCTGGTAGCTCTCAGATCCTGTCGCAGGCGTTTGGGTCCCGGCAGCCCGATAATTATTCTCAGCTTTCAGAACAGTATATTTCGGGCCAAGCGCGACACGTGGACTTAAGCGATGACCACCACGATAGACAAGACGGACAGAACTTCGGTGCTGCTACAATACCTTCATCGCCTCAGGATGACATTTCCACCGAGCCATCGTCCTCCTACGAACGCCTGCTCGGGCAAGATCCATTTCAGCCAATCCCAGAATCCCTAGTGGCAACACAGCCTGCTACGCAGCAAGGCGAAACAGAGCCCACCCAACCACTGGATCCGTCTATATATGCTGGCCCCTCGACGTCCGGAAATACCCATGGCGTCACATACATTGACCGCCAATATCCTGTGCCGTCGACCCCAATGGTGTCGGAAGCCGCGTCCAAGATGTCGGTACCCATAGGCATGCTGAGCCTGATACCCGCGCACAAAAGACACAGATACCAAGGCGTGCCTGTTGATCAGTCGGACACCTCCGGTACACAAGGTGTCCCCGGTCCAAGTACCAATGAGCCTACGCAGGTCACTGCTCCTCAGGATACTCAGGCTTCGGATGCGTTCGCGGTACATGGAAGCGCGGAGACACAGTTTCGTGACCCCGAAATGATGCCTCCACCTCCACCTCCGCCTCGCCGTCGGCAGCTCCCCTCAAGACCCCGGCCCCGCGATGACAATGAAGTTGTGCCCGACTCAGAACCTACTGAGGTTAGGGAAGGATCACCATCGAAACCGTCCGCCACACACGCCCAAACACCCTCACTCGCTGATATCAATGGCGAGGACGCTGCCTCAGGTTCCGCTGTCAACCGTGAGGACTCTCTGGACGAGGAAGACGATATCCCTTTGGCTGCTGCTCTTCAGACGAATGTGCAGGGAAAGGGCAAGCAGAAGGCAGACAGCATTGTGATGTCTAGAGTCCCCTCAACGCTGAGCCCTCGAACGGATACTACGCCCAGGAAGCTAATCTTCGAGCAAAGTGCTCCTTCAGCGGGTACGTCGAGGGGTATCAAGCGCCACGGCTTACCGAAGCCGGTGAAACGACGTACTACGCGAGGTCGTTCTCCTGAAATCGACGAGATCCCTTCGTCCGAGCCTGTGCAAGACACTTTCAAAACCATAGCCGCACGCATCAGCAAGCCAGCGGCCACGAAGAAAGAGAAAGATGTCATTCTGGCCCGGTCGCTCAAGAAGGAGGTAAAATCACGTTCTGCCACACCGGTGGCCCCTAAGCGATTGAGACGAGCCGTACCTGAGGAGGAGGAGGAATCGTCCGACGATGAGACTGCCGTCAGCAAGGATGTCGCTGCCATGGTTCTAGACGAGGATGCGGAAGTGGATACGGAGCTAGCTGACGACGACTACATGGATGTCGACGAGACGGAGGAAATCCTACCGAGACCTGTTCCTCCCCGCAAGAGGAAGCGTGCGGCTTCTGTGACATTGACCAAGTCGGCCAGTAAGGCCAACAGAGCACAGGCACAGGCACCGACACCGCTCAATCGTGCGGCGAAGAAGCTGAAGATGTCTTCCACTCTGGGTGACGATGTGCCACCTACGCGCGTGTACGCGCTATGGAAGCAGGATGGTCATTATTACGCTGGCACCGTTCATTCCCTCGTATCCACTTCCCCCGCGCGGTACCTCATCCAGTTCGATGACGGCACGGAGGATGTCATAGATCTGTCAAGGCTACGTCTTTGCCAGTTGACCATCGGAGACAATGTCTTACTGGTCGCAGATGGTCAAAGAGCGAAGGTAGTCGACAATGCCCATCTTGACACGGAACGTATCGTGACAGTAGAAATTGACAACGGAGACGAACTCGACCGCATGGAGGTCGAGGTGCAATATATTCGCATCGCCTCGAGAACGCTCATCAGCGCGTGGAGGGACCGGACTCTGACCACTGGTGACATCGTCCCCATCGTCAGGCCCAAGCAGGCCAAGGTCACCCCGTCGCTCTCGAAGTCTACCATTGCCAGTGCAGGCTCTGTGAAGGGGTCGCGCAGGTTGCTCGCGAAGACAGGACTGGTCGTCACCTTGAGCCCAGGCAATCACAACTGGTCGAAAGACAAGGACCGTCTCATGAGCTCGATCAAGAGCACCGGTGGCACCGTCATTGACGACTGGCTGGACATATTCTCGATGGAAGGCACGCATAGCCAGGGCAATAAGCGATGGGTAATCCGCCAGGATGACATTCAATGGCGTGAGCGCGACGATGTTGAGCGGGTCTTCCTCTTGTCAGACGACTCCAATCAAAAGCCCAAGTTCTTGATCGCTCTTGCCCTCGGAATCCCTTGCCTGTCTATTGAGTGGCTGCAGCAGACTGTGGGCGCAGTGAGTCATCCTCCGTCACTGCTTTTATCCCATGCTCATTCAGCTTTGTCTTAGAGAGCCGAGCAAGATTGGTCCAAGTTTCTATTGCCTGCCGGTTTCTCTGATCCACTCAATGCTCGAGTGTCTCAAATGGTCGATCTTGATTGGGGAAACAGCACCGAGCATCTCACCGACATCTTGTCCAATACGGTGGCTTCCAAGCTGTTCACCGACAAATCTATACTCTGCATCGCCCCGGATTTTCTCCCCGCCCCGATGAAGACCTCCAGGAGGGTGCGTATATTTCGTCCGATTTATGCATGACATCAACTCACTGTTCTTATAGAACGGTGATTCTGATAAAGCGAAGGAGTCCACTCGTATGGTCCCTCGCATCATCTTGTGTATGGGTGCAGCTCGTGTGGAGGCCATTCCAGACCTTAAGTATGCATCCACCGAGCTATCAAAATTCGACTATGTGGTAGTCAAGGAGTGTGCCGACGTCGATCGCGTGTCTGCCCATGCCAATTGCGTGCACTTTGGCTGGGTCAAGGACTGCCTGATCGCAGGGAGACTGCTACCCTTGCCTGAGTATTAGACTGGCGGAAGTGTACGATAAATTGTGCATTACCCGTCTTGCTTATGATATCGCTCCTGACTAGTGCATCTCAATCGCTGACCCTCCTCATGCCTACCATATGTCCTCGATCTCGTCCTTGTATCATGTACGTCTGTTTATTATCACGACCGGATCTATGTACATAGTGTTGTATCTTGCTAAATTGGTATCTTATGTGCTTATAACACATGCATTGGTATAACAATCATTACAAACATACAGCGAGAACTGCGCGCAGCTGAACGCGCCTATGAAGGCGCTTCTGGGTGCGCCGAACGCGAGTTCAATGCGACGCGGTGTGGGCGTCTACGCGAGATCGCGCTTCTGAGCTGCCGTGACCGCTTCGCCCTGTTTCCTCACTACCAGGTCCCGCCCTTTGAATACAGCAGACCTCAGTCCGGCCGGACGCTAAAAGCCAAACTGGACGATTTGAGGTTATTCCCACGTGTGCTTCGAGAGAGTTATGGCCGAAGAAAATGAATATACAGTAGGTTAGTCGCCTGGAGACAAGGTCCGACATTGCTATGGCGGCATTACTGAAGCTCTGTTACAGAGTGCATACAGAGAGCGAAACTGATCTCAAAAAGAGGTAGGGGAACGAAGAAAGGCTGGGTGAGTCTCGTGTCTTGGGTCCTCGGGCAGGCGCTGACTTCACTTCAATGTTAGTTATACTACGTGAAGGTACAGAACCGTGTGCATTTCGAAACTAGTCGCCTAACTATCGCTCTGAGCAGTGGAAAGGCTACGATCTTGATGACAATACGTACGTTGATAGAGCCTTCGTATATGATAGTACTAAGGCTGACCGTTGGACGCCCCATTGATTCACCAGGTGGGAGCCCCCGGAATCGTTCGACTCTGGCTCTCAACATTTTATAGACCGTTTCTGGGATCGCATCGATCTTGGTGATAGAGACTGGCGGGATGCATTGCAGTTCAAAGTAGACGAAGAGTTCTTCCCGCAAGGGCCTCCTCGTACGCGTGATGACATTCGCTCCCTATCTACATACACTTAACCACCTTTCACAATAGGTCGTCGGACAAAAGTAGAGAAACGTGTCTCCAATGAGCATGAAGAAGCAATTGCGGCTCGCGGAGACTCCGAGAATGAAGTCAGATCTATCATCGGTTCACCAGAAAGACCAGTATCAAAGATAACCAAGCGGAAGCGTGGTCGACCCTCCCAGGCTGAGCCCGAGGAAGACGCACGGGAACTTACCCGCCAGCGCAAGGTCAGCAGGAGGCACTCCATTTCTCAAGCATCTCGGGCACTCCGCGAATCGAAGGTCTCAGCAACGCCGCCGAGAGGCAAATCGAGAGCATTGCGCAGGGCATCTGCGCAAAATCCACTGCTGAAGTCGGTTTCACGCTCGAAAACGCCCGCATCTCATGCGTCCTCCGACGAGATGCTGTTGCGGCCCAATGATACCAGGAAACCCGATAGCCGGAAACACGAAATGTCTTCGGATGCTGCAGCCGCAGCCGTAGTCGAGAGGGCTTTGGGAGCCGTGGCAGAACCCTCATCCTCGGATGGATCACTGTTCGGAGATGGTCAGCAAGAGGAGGAACAGTCGTCTGTAGGCCACAACTCTGAATCGATGGACGGTGACGCCTCGAACTCCTTCGGTGTCCCTCTATTACTGACTCCTAATGCTTTCGTTGACGGAGGAACAAGACTTTCGTCTGCACTCCCGGCACATCGTGCTCGCGCTGCAAATCCCAAAGTAAAGATGATCGAAGGCCCTAAACTGACTGAGCCAACAAACTCGAGCAGACGGCTCTCTGTAAAGGCGAAGCTCACGAGACGCAGCGAATCGGCTGATCACAATTCTCAGTCGGCTGCTGGTCCTAGCCGTACCGCTAACGCGTCGCCCTCCAAGGCTGGGCCAGGGATGTCCTCCCGCAGATTGCAGACCTCTGGGAGCAGCTCGCTCTTGACGGCAAGGAAAGGCGCGCTAACCACAGTCAGGCCAAGAGCTAAAAGTAAACGCCGCGACACTGCAACAAGCATTGTATCGATGGAGGATCCTGCTAGCTATGCAATGTCCCTTGGCGATGGCTACGTCTTTGAGGTCAGTGAGCGGACCTCAAGGTCGCACGGGATAGATGCCGGCCAAGCAGTCCTCCTTTCTGCTCCACCACCACCTCCCACTAGCGAAGAGCTACTACGGATGGCTGGGCTGAACAATGCGGACGCTGACGCGTTGCCTGACTTCGAGGATGATCTCGATGCGCACGGAGAGCCGGACCCTGATGTTCACTCGGAAACTGTCATCCGCACGTACGTCCCATTCTAGACCTGATGTACTTCGCCTAAGTGACCGTGATTTCCAGTGTCCCTGTAATCCCAAACGGCGACGTTCTCGAGCCCAGACAAGCTACCAACGTGTCATCGCTAAGCCTTTCTCAAGAAGAGCAAGTAGCCAGGCCAAATGTGGAGCAACGAGTAAAGGACAATGCTACATCAGGCCGCCTAGCGGTAAAGACGGGAGGCCTGTTCAGTCAACAGGCCCAGGGCTCAGATTTGGTGTCGCCGGGTGAAAGGCGAGCCTCTGCTCCACAAATTCCGGGCTGGAAAGTCTCAACGATTTTTGGACCTCTGTAAGTGATTTGCAAAACCTCGCTGAGAGGGTGTCGCGTTAAGCGGGTGATTGCCTTGACAGTGGAGTCGGTCGAGAAGCAGTGAAGACATCCGGGCGGGACAAGGTTTCAACGCCGTGCGTGTGTACTCAACAGCACTCATATCCGACTGACAAGCAATTCAGGTCTTCCGAAGTGTCTCGCCCTACATTGTTCCTTAGCCTCGATAGCGCTGTATCCTTGCAAGTTCAGCTCAAAGATGTTCACCCTCACGGGGCTTCCCTCGCAGTCTTAGGCGAAAAGCCCGTTGTAGGCCCATCCGGGAAGTTCTATAGAGCGGAAAACGCGCTCACGTTGCTCGATGCGATGCGAGTGGGGGGATTCTCTGCCAGGATTGTCCTGGACCCCGGAGCCGATGAAACGCATCGCTGTCATTTCGACCGCTTCCGTTCGCGGATGCAAGCAGGGGATCTTGTGAGTCGTACTTATCGAACCATCAGCGTGTTCTCATGTATATATCATCAGTTCGTTGAGATGGTTGGCGTCGTACCATTGGCTATATGCTCATCTGAAAACCGCAGCCTTGGCCAAAAGCTGCAGATATCACCCGATCTCATTGGGCTAGGCGATAGCATTGTCGTCGCTCAGGTCACCATCGGAGATTATTCAGCCTACGCGGATGCTGTGATGTGTGCAGATGACACCCGATGGTGCGCAGACGCCATGTAGCATAAACATTGCTCTCAATACCAGGACCTTCGTCATCATATTGCACTTCGAGTTTGTGCTCGATCTACGTGTATTCAATGCATAATCGAATTATTTCTCTACTTGGGTCCATCCGTAGTACACAACAATTGTTTTGCAGGCTTCGTGAGCCATGAAACCGATGTTGTCGAAATCTGAGTGGGCTGGAAGTAGGTCACGGTCACGAGCGCGACGCGGTGTCGCGTGCTATTATGGCCACACGCTATGGGCGCCTATCTATCGCATCGCTTTTGTCGGTCACTATCGTCTCGTTCTTGGTTAATATCGGCTGCCCAAGATGCTGAAACGTATGCCTGTTACGAAAGATGGGAAGGTAGTTGACCGCCTTCAAGAAAGCACTCGCATCAATAAGCCTTTCAAGCCACCTACCAGTATTGTTCAACGAGAGCAGCCACAGCGCAAAAGGAAGCGGGTCTCCTACAAGGATGCGCAGGCTGACTCAGACGCGTCCGAGTCTGATCGCGATGGTCCCCATAAAAAGAAGAAAAAGGTAGACAAGAACGGTTTTGCGGAACGTCCACGGGACAGTAACATCAAGGAATACCCTGTATTCAAAGTGAAGCCGTTCATCCAGATCTCCCGCAGATTCTCTATACCTCAGATGCGAGACAAAGATGGAGGTATTGTCACTGTCATTCCGTCCAATGCATCCTTAGGGCTTCGTCCTGTCGCGAATCTTATTCCTCGACCACTTCATGACCCAATGGAGGACCATGCGATCGTGCTGTATGATCCCACCATTGACGACAAAGAGACAGACGAAGAAAGGAAAGAACGTGAGAAAGATGAGGAGAAGGAGAGGCAGGCCCAGGAAGCCCGAGAGAAGAGCATTGGCCTCTACAACCCTCATAAGAGTCTAAAGGAGCTCCTGGGCGGTGGGAAAGAGAAGAAAAAGAAGAATGACAAGGTGGCAGTCGTCATAGATCCCCGCTTGACTAAAGTGCTCAGGCCTCACCAAGTGGAAGGCGTGAAGGTGAGCATAATCAATATAAATGACTGGCGTTGAGATAACCGCGTCACAGTTCTTGTATAAATGCACCACAGCGATGGTGGTGGAGAACCAGTATGGGTGTATCATGGCGGACGAGATGGGTCTCGGCAAGACCTTGCAGTGCATAGCCCTCCTCTGGACATTGCTCAAGCAGTCCCCCCATGCGAACAAGCCGACTATCGAGAAGTGTATCATTGCGTGTCCATCAAGTCTCGTCAAGAATTGGGCGAATGAGCTGGGTACGTATTGCAGGCTTCATATCTGGGCAGAGTCTGACAGTATGTGGTAGTAAAATGGTTAGGGAAGGATACCATTTCGGCTCTGGCTATCGATGGCAAAGGGGGCAAAGCAGAGATGCTTGAGAGAGTGGCTAGGTGGGTGGCAGCCGGCGGACGCAATGTCTCACAGCCAGGTCTGCAAGTCCCACCATACACTTGCGGTAAACAACGTTGAACAAGGATGCTTTACAGTGATGATCGTCTCTTATGAAACACTACGTACACTATCAGTTCATCTTGCAAACTGCTCTATCGGCTTGTTGCTGTGCGATGAGGGCCATCGACTCAAGAACTCTGGTAAGTGTGCTCCTCTGCAATTTCACTTCTGCGATTTACCCATGTTCTTTAGAATCCCAGACCTTCCAAGCATTGAACGGGCTTAACGTCAGGCGTCGAGTGATTCTATCAGGCACGCCTATCCAGGTTTGTCCCTAGCCCTCGCCACACATTCAAACTTGCTATATGATAACATCTGGGCCATTCAGAACGACCTCTCGGAGTATTTCTCGTTGCTGAACTTCGCTAATCCGAACTTCCTTGGCTCGAAGAACGACTTCCGCAAGAACTTCGAAAATGCAATCATCCGAGGGCGCGACGCGGACGCAAGCGATGCTAACAAGGCTGAGAGTGAAAAGAAGCTCAAAGAACTTGGAGGACTGGTAGCCAAGTTCATCATTCGGCGAACAAATGACCTCTTGTCGAAATATCGTGAGTCCCGCTGTTGACTAGGCTAGTCACATTTTGATATATCGGGCTAGTACCCGTCAAATACGAGCAGGTGGTATTCTGCGGACTTTCTCAGTTCCAGCTGTCCTTGTATCGCCTCTTCATTTCTTCACCAGAAATCCAGGCTCTTCTCCGTGGCGTCGACTCTCAACCATTGAAGGCTATCAACATCTTGAAGAAACTCTGCAACCACCCTGAACTTCTTGACTTACCGGGCGACTTGCGAGGCTCCGATAAGTTGCTTCCAGAAGATTTCAACGGCGCAGGTGCCAGCACTAGGGACCGCAATCGCAACCAAACCGTTCACTGCGAATGGGGTGGCAAGTTCATAGTCCTGGAACGGTATGCCAATCTTCCATGTGACCTCGTCATAACAACTTACCTCTTCCCGCAGCTTTCTGCATCGCATACATACAGAGACAAATGACAAGATCGTCTTGATCAGTAATTACACACAGACGCTTGATCTCTTCGAGAAACTGCTACGCAGCAAGAAGTGAGGCGCAATGCGACGTATCTCAGATCGCTACTGACTTGCTGACCAAGATACGGATTCTTCCGCTTGGACGGTACAATGACTATCAATAAGCGGCAGAAGCTAGTTGATCAGTTTAACGATCCCAACGGCAAGGAATTCGTGTTCCTACTTAGTAGCAAGGCTGGAGGGTGTGGTATTAACCTGATCGGCGCGAACCGACTGATTCTCTTCGATCCTGGTGCGCACCTTGAACCGCAGCTTGAAAGCGACTCTCACTGTATATGATGAGCAGATTGGAACCCGGCTGCGGATCAGCAAGCCCTCGCTCGTGTCTGGCGTGATGGTCAGAAAAAAGAATGTATGTCGTTGGCTTCTAAGATTATCTGGGGATTCATAACCACTTTGACAGGCTTCGTCTATCGCTTCATATCCACAGGAACGATCGAGGAAAAAATATTCCAGCGTCAGGCGAATAAGCAGGCGCTGTCGTCTGCAGTTGTAGATGAGAAAGAGGATGCTGAACGTCACTTCTCTCTGGATTCCCTGAGGAAATTATTCCTCTTCAACGAGAACACGCTCTGCGAAACGCATGAGACATTCAAGTGCAAGCGTTGCAAAAATGGCCGGCAAGTAATGAAGGCTCAAGCATTGTTGTACGGTGATGCTAGCACGTACGCAAATTCTGGTGAATGTCCCGATGCCACAAACTGAAAAGTCACTAGATGGAATCATTTCACAAACGAGGAGCTCAAGAATAATCACGATGATTTGCTGAGGGCCGAGGTGGGCTTGCCTGATGTTTCGTTCGTCTTCCAGTACATCAGCCATTGAGGTTCATGTCCTTGTGCCATTTTGCGGGGTATACTGTGTCGAACGTGTAATTTGTATGTATAGATCAGATGGAGGTACTGCAGAAGATATCCAATGTAAAATACGGGGACACTCATCGACTAGAGATACAGATAATAATACACGTCGCAGCATCGTTGGTGCATCGCGTTAATAATATCACGAAGAAATGACTCGAAACCAAGGTCATGTCACGACGTCGCTCCAGCCACCCCAATCCCTTCCCATCTTTCGTACTACGACCTTTTCTCCTGATGGACCGAAATATCCTGCTTTATACCAAGCTTGTATCTCGTCCTCGCTGTACGGCCCAAATATTTGTCCCTCTTGAGCGGAGGCGTCGGGTACCGCCCACTTGTATTCGTACTTGACGTCCGCAGATGGTGGTACCCATGACTGGTCGACTTTTCCTGCGGACCTAATAGAACGTACAAGTTCCTCGTAGGTGCGCGAATAGATGTCAGTGTCACCCAACGACATCAGGGTCGACGCGAGATGAGTGATGTGGTCGATTTCTGAAGGAGTTTTTGTGGCAGCGACGTCTCTTGATGCGTCATCTACCTGCATTGCATTCCCGTTCAGATCGCCCTTGCGGCGATTGTTCGGCTTCATGCTAGTATAGTTGTGAGTATGACCTCATAAGCAGAAGAGAAAGCGACACACTTCTTAGCCCCTCCCGCCTTCTTCGACTGGGCTCCCAGCCGCTGGAGAGCTTCCAGGACAGTTTCGCCTTTCTTCAGCATTCCTACGAGCTCCCTCTCAACCTCATCTTTTCCGCCTAGCCTCTTCATCTCTTGCTCCTCAGCCTTCTGCTTCGCCTTCTGCTCCTTCTCCCTCTGCCGATGGCTCCGTCTCGCTTTCTTGATCTCCTTCTCATCAAGACCCTCCATCCACTTATCGTGCGCCGCATGAGGGTCGAATGTCCGTATATATGTCCCGTCTGCGGCGAACTTGCCCTCTTCCATCTCCTCCCGCATGTTGAATGATGAGAGCTCGTACCCCATGCCCGCCTTCTTCCGCCGCTCCGCATCGTCCTCGTCCTCCGCCTCCCCTTCACTCTCCGACTTCTCCGAGCCTGATTGGTCCTCGAATTCTTGCCCCTCGATATCACCCAGCCGCAAGAACTCCTCTTTCTTCTTCCCACTCTCCTCTGCCTTGACTGCCTCCTTCTCCCCCATGGCGAACATGTCGTCATCTTCATCCTCAACAGCACCATCTACACCTGGTTTTCGGCTTTTCACAACGCTTTCTCCATCGTCGCTCGAGTCCGAATCGTAGCCCTCAGTCTTGACGCGACCTCGATGATTGCGCGTCTCGAGTTGTGCATCTACTTCCTCCGCGAAGTTGACGGGGTCGTTGGCAGGCTCTACAAATCGCGTCTTTTTAGTGGAAGCACGAGGCGGAACGTCGTCCGTCGAGCCTGCGGCCCGTTTACGAGTTGGTCGTGCCTCCATGAGGGGTGAGTGTGGATGCTCAAGGAGCGCGTGAGGTGCAGCCACCGCTCACGAGCGCCATATTTGCATATGTTTGGACCTCGATTACACCCACAAGGTCCCACAACTTTGGGATTCGAGCTGCTGTGATCGTAAGATATCGGAACTCTTGAGACTGCGATTCCAAAATACATTCAACGTAGCGGCACTTATAGGGTAGTATGCATCACATGGAAGTTCATGAGATATTGGCCAAGGAGGAACTCCGGACGCGAATGCCAGTCAATGGGATAAGGAAGTCAGCGTACTTCTGATACACATAGGAATGAGTCTTGTTCAGTTTGCCTGAAGAATGGCTTATCGCATATCATCAGGCACAGAGACAGATCTAGAGAAGAGACTCACCCTACCTTAAGAACGATTAATGTATTTAAAGGCAGCGTGCCAGGGTTCGTTCTCATAGCTCGGTGTCATAGTATGTGGTGCATATATGTACCGCTTCGAGTCCTTGGTACCGTTATCCGCTCTTGTCATCACAAACCGAGCACAAAACAGACACCGCTGGATTTCTTCGTGCGTCGACCTATGGCGGACGGATAGCGTGTCAGGATCCAATAACGTCACAGTGCGGCTGGTGAGGATAGCAGAGCTGAGAGTGTCGTTCCGACTTATACTGGATGTCATCAAGCCGGAAGTGGCCGACTTGAAGTGAATGGCAGTCAGTCAGGTGGGTTCCACATGGACGTGCTGGCCGGGTATTCCGGCTTCCGCACAATGTTGGGCTTCATCTCACTAGTCGTCATTACTTTGGGATTGAGAGCATTCGTGGCTAGACGATTAGACTAAATACTACTATACACAATGCACAGCGTCGATGCGTGGTGTATATTACACGTCTAGCATCGCTCGAGATATGCTGGCGCCGACCGCGACGAGGACAAGAACAGATATGCAAGAGCGCCACGGGGCTTCTATCCGTTGGTGGAGTCGGGATCCGCGGACATCCCTGTTCGCCGACGGGAAGGTGTACCAGAGTCGAGAGCGCCTGTAACGCCAGCACTCAGGAGGCCTTCTTCCTCCTCGGTAATCGAGCGAGAGGCTCTCCGCCCGCGGCCGTGTGCCTTCGGTCGGTACAAGAAGGTTTGTGTGACGATTGTTATGTCGAACATGAGGGTCCCTCCGCTTCCAAGTAGGTACCTGGCGAAGACAGTAAACATTGGGACCGGATTAGAATAGAAAACCGAGCGTACGGAATGCTCTCTTTAATAAAAGCGGTTGCTTCTGCTTCAGGAAGTCCGAGTTTTGGCGACGTGAGAATCGACGCGACGTAGAAGAGATTGCCAAGGAATGCGAAAATGAATAAATATACTGATAGACCCTGAAATTCACAGGCTGTCAATAAGAGCAATATCCCTCCGCATGCGATGCGTCCTACCTCGACGGATTTTCTAATGAACTGGAATAGAGTCAGCCAATCGTGCAATATACTCAGACTTGCATACTCACATTCTTCCAGATCTGGGGTAATCGTGACGTGAGGTATAGAGTAGTACAGACCCAGGCGGATACACGACCGATGATAAATTCGGTCGACCGTTCGGGTTGATCAGAAGCACCAAAGTCCTCGGGCAGTTCGGCGCGTACGAGAAGAGGGATGACCATACCCTCGTTTAATTGGGGGGACTGGTTGTCGGAGTAGCCCGCGGACTCTATGCCTGCTAAGCTTGGTACCGTCATGTCCGCGCTGGTCAACACTCGCCCGACGCTCCATTCCATGCTAGGCACAAGACCTCGTTGGCCACCCGCCAGTGACCCAATGCCGAAGAGCGCCCATACACCCAGGAAGACCATCCCGGCACCCTTTCGACTCGCGCGAGAGCTTCGCCTATTCGAGGCGAGCCAATCCGCATTGCCGCTTGCGTCACGCGACTGCGACCTCCCCCGCACCAGCGCATCGAGTTCCTCCGCGGCGCCTGGCGGGACGGTCATCGTGAGTGAGGCGTGCATGCGGCTCGGCGGGGACGTTGTGGACTGACGACTGCGACCGAGGCTCTCCGCGCGCCGCTCTTGGCTCCACGACACTTTCTTTCCCCGCCCGCGTCCGCCCTCTGAGTGGAAGCTTTCCGTCAAGCGCGCTAAGCCTTCCTCGTCGACTGTGTCGTCTGCGTCGAGCATTTCACGCGATTCGATGGCGGAGTATGAGCCGCGTTCGAGGCTGTGACGGTGCCATCGCGCCTGCTCCTCTTGTTCCGCGGCTAGAGCAGCTGCAGCTGCGACGTTGGCTGCTACGCTGGACAGGGCGCGATAGTGCGTTACTTCTCGCTCGGAAGAGAGATGGCGAGTTGCTGTTGATGCTGCGCGTGACCGCCCTGATGGGAATGACGCTGACTTTGCAGGATATCGCAGGCGGTAGTAGAAGAATTGAAGGAGCAGCGTAAAGTCGACAAAGCAGAAGTAAGCAGCAAGATATGTCTGCACAGTACGTGGCGTTAGCAGAGAGAGACGACGTAGATCAAGAAGGCGTACTTGGAATGGGAGCTGGTGTGTGAGTATGCAGCCAATGAGGTTGGTCGCGTCCCCTGTGAGAGAGCAGGAGTCAGACGACCTGCAGCACGAGGAATAGGGAGGAACGAGGACATGCCTAATGCCCAGTTGAGGAGAAACGGGAGAGCGAGGCCGTCAGCGGACTGTCTCCGGATATTCTCGATGACCTGGCTATGGCGTCCCAACGTCAGATGGAGGTGAGATGATGCGATCGGTGGCGAGCTAGACGGCAGGGTACTCACGGAAACTGGGCGCCGAGCCAGCTCCCTATGGAGGCATACCCGAGGACATCACTGAGCGTCGCGGGCCCGAGCATAATCGCGGTCGCATGCAGCGCGGACGACGGAAACAATAGCGAGGTGGTATGGGGTCAATGGCGGGGTGAGAGTGGTCGGACGACCGCCTGTCCGTCCTGCCAAATCCGGACCGCATGGGCGATGTTGGCCGCTGCACGGCTTCCCCATCCAGTTTCACCCACATCGTCAGCGCTACCACTGTCGCTGGCAGACGTGTTCGGCTGTGTTGAACATGATGATGATGCGGAGGCCCGCCCAGTTCCAGGCATCGGAGGGTTCTGCGGTGGGAGTGTGCATGGCACTGGCATTGCAAGTCACGCGTTGAACTACCTCCGAGTGCGAGCACTTCCCCGCCACTCAAGCCCGTACCCGTCTCCTCCACTGCCTCCCAGCTGGCGGTAGACCATGCTGTCGTCTTCGTCCTCCAGCAAGCCTCTCTCTGGTCCTCGTTTGCTCGAGCCTGCCCCACATGACCTCGTATGTCCGGTTGCAGGTTGCGCATATGCAGAGATACTGACCTCTTGAAGCGAATGCTCGTTCTTGACTACCTGAGCCACAATACGTACTCAAGCACAGCCAGGATCTTCATGAGAGACAGCGCGGCCCGAAATCTTGATACAGATGGTGACGAGACAATGTCGTCCGACCAAGATACAGATGCACTCGAGGAGAGGCTTGCGGGGGCGCTGCCTCGCAAAGGTGAGCCAACATCACACCTTTGTTCAAACGTTGCTCAATGAGTATCACTATTCTAGAGATACGAACTCGCATTCTCTCCGGCCAGGTTGATGCGGCAACGGAGCTTCTCAACAAGTACTTCCCCTCTGTCCTTGCAGAGAGCACAGAGAATGGTTCCACACGCGATTGCCCAGACAGGCTAGAATACGTACCCCCTGCGTCCGTGAAACCCTCCCATCTTTCTCTCAACCTCCGCATCCTCGCCTTCATCGAAGCCGCCCGCACGATCCCCCTTCCATATTATCCACCGAATACCGAGTCGCCGCCCGCCTCCGAGACACCGGACGAAGATGTGGACATGTCGCGAGAGGACTCAGAACAAGCCAATGTGGAGCTGCTCCACCGTGCACAGAGCCTTTACTCGGAGGCGAACCGTCTGCCCGTTGCCGAAGACCGCGAGCGGTACCGAGACGAGCTGCTCAAGGTGGGCGGGCTACTCGCGTACGCTGTTCCTGAACGCAGTCCTATGCGCGCGTACATGACGCAGGCGGGGAGGGAGGCGGTTGCAGACCAGATTGATGGCGCCATCCTTTGTTCGTCAACAGCTCTGATCCTCGCTTCGCAATCACAGCTGACGTTTGACTCTTACACAGATCGCACGGGCCAGCCAGTCGTATCGAGATTGGAGCTGGCTGCACGACAGATGTCCGTCGTCTGGCCAATGATGCATGAACTCGGCGTGGAGCTACCGCCCGTCTCAACCTGGCCTGCTGCCGTTGTGCTGCCTGGCGTCCCGAAGGCCTCCTCTGCGGCTGGCAAGAGTAGCAGCGTGGCTGCCCCCCAGGCAGCCATCAAGAAAGCTGCTGCAGAACCCGGCACTGCGGAGGTATGTCACCTTGCCCGTTTTCGAATGTGCTGAAATTGAGCGGGGGACAGATTGCTCCCAGTTTCGATTTGCACGCATTCCTGGACGGATCTGTTTAAACTTGACGCGTACCCATTCATGACATCAACCGCGAAACCTCATTGTACCACTTCAGTCAGTCATTCATTATACCTACATTCACACTGTACAGTATCCACACTACCGTATGCACTTGCCCCCCGTCGCTCAATGGAACTTAGAAGTGCTGTTACCCATTCAACCGGAGTCTGCTCATTGCCGCTTCTAAGCTAGGGGCCCCTAAATCTACACCAACAACCTCGACATCTGTCCAACGACCCTTGTTCACGCGATCAGCAACGCTGCCGTCTACATTGCAATCTCGCAAACCTAGTACCCGGAGCCTACGCCAGCGTTCCCACTCTACTCTTTCTAGAATGGTATCATCCCCAGCTTCCTGCTTGAGCCAGGTATTGAACGAGAGGTCAAGCACTTCAATAAGGGGACATAATCGAGGCAAACGATGGATGGGAGCCGCACTGGGCAATGCGATGAGGGCGAGATGTGTGAGTGTTGGAGGGAAGCTTAGGAGTGTGTTAACTGAAACGGGAGTAGTGAGGAGTATAAGCGCATATAACGGTGGCCGTGTATACACGTCGGACGAAGGCGAGTCCCACGACCAATCGGGATCGCTCGAGCTGTCGTTGAGGTACACATCTGGAGGCATGCGAGTAGCGCGTCTTCTCGCTACATCCGGCCTAAGGAGATCGCGTGACGGCGACGCCTGTGGACCAACAACGATGAGTTCGCCCTCGGCGTGTCCATCTGGTGAGCAAAGGGAAGAGAGCCGTGAGCTCGAGAGAGGCTTGTGTATCGCCGTCCAGCGTAGGAGATCGCGTCGCAGGTGAGCTGGCACGTATGGTACGATATCTTCCCCGAACATGTCCGCGCTTCCGGATTCGGGGAACAAAGACAATAGATACCGCAAACAGAGAGTTGTAAGTGGTAGCGGGGGCATCGAGCGCTCTGTGCTTGCGGTCGGAGGCAGATGGGAGAGAATAAGCGAGAGCGCCTCCGCTCTCTTGGAGCACTCATCGACTTCCTTCTCCTTCCCCTTGTCGAAAAGTCCACTCCAGCTTCTCGGTGGGAGCGGACCAGGAACCGGACCGCGCGGGTATGCGTACTCCAGAATCCCTTCGGGTCCGAGTTGCATGACAGCATAATTACGGCGGGAATTAGGTTGTTCGGTAGTGGGCCTCTTCTCTGCATATATCTGGTCGAAGGGCAGGCTCGGGTTGGTGTATGAATGCATATTCGGCGTACGCGCTATTGCACGCTGGAGATTCTGAGTATGGCGAAAGTGTTCTCCCCTAGGCGTTGTGCAAAGTTTATGATGAGCTGAATGAAAGATTTGAGCTTGCGAAGTCATTTACCTGAGCGTGTGCAGGAGGTTGTTCACCTCACGCGACGTCTCGCTTGTCTGTGCTTGCTTGTTGGGGGCCATGGCCAACCAGCGAACTTAGAGCTTCTAGGATGTGTCAAACGGGCCAGGAGCTGGCGAACGAAGTGCGATCTGAATGTCTGAGTCAGCTGCAGTTGTCGGAGTCTAGTCGAACCGACCTCCTGGAGTCAAGTGGCGCCGAATTCAGGAAGACACAGGCCTACAGATGGAATCACAGGAGCCTTCAGCGTACACATACAGTAGTTTCGGGTTCCGGTGCCATGAGCTGTTGCGATATTTCATGCAAGAGGTCCGTGGCGATGAGATTTAGTATGGCGGCACACGGTCAGAGAAATAGCAAACACGTTTTCCGCAGTTCATTTACACAATGCTTCGGCAGCGGCATAAAAAATAAGAAAACAGAACAGGTAGCTTGCGTCACGGTCAAGAAAACATTGCAGGAGTTCCACAGGCGCTTACTGATGAGACTCCAGCTGCCTCATTCGGTACGTGAGAACGCGCTGATGGAACTGCACAGTAGACCCAGCCACCGCGCTACCGCCAGGCTCCGTGCTACCGCCCAAAACTACGTCCGTCCTCAAGATCCCTAATGGCCCCCTCAACTACGTGCGTACGCCCTCTTGATTGAGTCTCACCCTCTGGATTGACCGCCATTATGCTCTTCCAGGGTTCCGAGTGTCGCGGTTCGTAGATCACGATTTCTGGGGGAGGATTAGATGTGATACTGATCGTCTTGCATAGGACGTCGAGGTCCCCGAGACTCTTCTCAAGAAGCGCAAGCAAAACGAAAAGGCCCGCGAGGAGCGTCTCGCTGCCGCGACTGCTGCCCGTAAGGTGAGCGGCCCAGTCAATTTATGCGTCCTCATTCAGGAGCTATTATGATGCATAATATACTTGACTTCGGCTAGTGGGAGCTTTACTTCTGCCATGTTGTCTGAAACATACCATCTTTCGGGACTGATTCTACACGTTCATGTTTTGCTCAGTTGCATGTTCTGAACATTGAAAGAAGCTGACGCTCGACTTTCTGTGTAGGCAGCCAAGGCCAAGCGCAAAGTTATTTTCAAGCGTGCCGAGGCCTATGTAAAGGAGTACCTCTCTCAGGAGAAGGAGGAGATCCGCTTGAAGCGGGCAGCTCGCTCGACGGGCGACTTTTACGTCCCCGCGCAGGCGAAGGTGTACTTCGTCATCCGTATTCGGGGGTAAGATGCACGACCTTGACTCTCACGCAGCAGTCACTCAACTGCGTTTGGCACAACTTTCCAGTATCAACGAGATTGCTCCCAAGCCTCGCAAGATCCTCCAGCTGCTCCGCCTGCTCCAGATCAACAATGGTGTCTTCGTCAAGGTTACGAAGGCAACTGAGCAGATGCTGCGTCTTGTGGAGCCCTACGTTGCATACGGGTAGGTTTATTATTGCTCGGTAAAGATTAATGTACCTAACTCCATCTGTCTAGCGAGCCGAACCTGAAGTCCGTCCGCGAGCTTATTTACAAGCGTGGATACGGCAAGGTCGACAAACAACGCATTCCCCTGACCAACAACGGTGTGATCGAGGAGACGCTTAGCAAGTACGACATCCTGTCAGTGGAGGACCTCGTACACGAGATCTTCACCGCTGGTCCCAACTTTAAGCAGGTACGCATTTTACATGTCTCTGCTGTCGACTTCGTCTCACTCGTTTCTATACAGGCGTCGAACTTCCTGTGGCCATTCAAGCTGTCCAACCCCACCGGTGGCTGGAGGATACGCAAGTTCAAGCATTTCGTTCAGGGCGGTGATTTCGGTAACCGGGAAGAGAACATCAACAAGCTCATTCGCCAGATGAACTGAGCGGCACTCACTCTTCCAGAGCGGTCGATGCTATGAGGGTACGCGCGGCCGTAGGATGTATGAGGGGGCGGACGTAGCATACGCCCAGTTATCTGATGCCCATGTCCTTTACTTGTATGCTATGACTATGATCATCCTCCCTTGTCATGCCCGCGCGAAGATAGTTCTCCTGTATGCGACCTGCACGGATATCATTGCTGAGGCCTCCCTACATATGAATGTACAGCACGCTGAAATTTAACGACTAGGTGTGCATCCGATCTCGTGACTGTCGCGTCGTGTGTGGGTCCAACGCGTTGATCGGACGTGCCTCCACCGCGAACGTACTTAGTGCCTGCTCATTCTTCAATACGAGCGCCTGACGCGTTTGTTATGTCGCATCGAAAGCGACCCACCGCTTACGAAGTGTCCTTTCCTGAGGAGGTCGCTCAGGAGGCCGATCCTCCGGCGCGATCGTCCTCTGACGTCGTAAGTCAGGCCAACGCATCCCGGCTGCCTGCATACACAGTCAAAAGAAAGGAGCGAGACGAACTAGGGGTGGTAAGCATACATAGACCTCCACTCAAATGGGATGGAACTCAGCCCAAGTATCAGACGAGAAAGTCGAAGAAGCGTCAGAAGACGGAGGAACAAGACTCTCATGCCACTAGTGACAACTCTCAGTTTGGTAGACTGTACAATGTACCAATAATTGTTTTCCCAGAGATCAGATACCAACCCCATCCTACTGATATTCAAGAACATGCAGGGATGCTCATACGCGGCGAAGATCAAGACGAAGGAGGAGACATTGAGGATGTCCCTGTGCGCGTACTGTCGGATTTTTGTATCTTCCACCCGAAGAGTCACCAGATACAATCTCTTAGGGTGTTCGACGACGAAACCCAAGATCATAATCTGATAGCGGCTGGATGGGTGCAGCCTGTGTACGCGAATGAGGAGGACGCCGGGCAAGAAGACGAGGACCCGGAGAACAGCACGGTGCAGCGCCTGCGCACCAGCGCAATATTCCGATATACCATCGATTACGAGAAGATAGACGAGTAAGTTCCTTCAAAGCGGGGTTCGTTGTATGTATACTGATAATAATAGCCCGGTATATATACAGACTCAGTACGGCTGGTATATGCTCAAGAAGCCCTCGAAGACCTACAGCCGCTGCTTCCTCGACTTCTATACGACACACCGGATCTTGCAAGTCTTGATATCGGCCGCGAAGGAGAACCCACGTTGGACTTATGCGGATTTCCATAAGTCATATATCGGCATGTGGGATCATCTTTTGCAGCGCAGGCTTCAGCCAGCAGATATCGATGACGTTGTGAGCACATCGGAGTGCATATACTGCGGTCTCTGATTGAGAGCCTTTCAGGTCCCCCACGTGCAATCGATATTGCAAGAGCTCGGAGACGGAGACCAACTTTGGACGGTCCCGATGATTCGAGACGTGCTTCAGCGGGCCCGCGGCCCAGGTAGACACCGCTTTCTGCGCCCTGTGCTCGCCCCGAGCACCCATCGTGCACCCGCACCGACAAATCGGCGCACGCAACGGGCACTCACCGGTAACATTGACCTCGCCGTGCTCCATCCGGAAAATCAAAGTCGGACGCATGTTACGCCGCTCATCGACAAGCTCGCCGTGGGGCTCTTCCAAGAGCACCTCGAGGTCGTCGGTGCGAAGCAGCCAGACAAGCGCGACATGGCGCAGGTCGAGAAGACGGGCCGAGCATGGTTCATCAAGCTACTAGAGAGGTGGCAGAAATACGAGATCAAGCCACCGAAAGTCGAGTTCCGCCCTAGCGCACGCATTGCCGGCGACTATTGGAAGAGTATGAAGATTGACGGGACCGAATATTCGGTGAGTAGAAGTTGCATGTGGAGGTCTGAATTTCTGCTTGAATCAGACGCGTTCGATACTGCAAGTCCCCTTTTGTCGCGTTGTCTGTCGTCTGAATCTACCTCCCATATTATTCAACAGCGTCGCTGACGACTGCCTTCGTCGTCATCCGCTTATGGGTTCGTGACGTGCGGCGGCGTAAAAACCCGTCCATGTACAAACGAGTCTTACTACCCTTCTCAGATGTGTGCGCGACACGTTGGAGCTGCGAGCCCATCTGTGTTGTTGCTGTTGCACATCAGCCCGCCCCTGGGAACGAGCGCGAGCTTGCGGCTACGCGGGATCGAAGATTAACACGTACGCGGGCGCGCGAGATAGAGCATACTGTTCATATGGCACTAGGTCCATGAAGTACGTGCCCGTACTCATGTTTGCTCGGAAGCCAGAGGCTATCTGTTCTTGTCGCAATGATGGATCCTAGCATTGTCGTCAAGTCTGAATTGCACTACTTCGATAGCATTTCCCTAACACGGTGTTATCTTAGGTGGGCGACGTCATCATAGTTCCCGCGGGTCCGGACGAGGAGAGACATCGCAAGAAAGCCGTTTTGCCGTCTGACCTCGGTGCTGTCAGTTCGACGGCAACGTTTGCAGACTACTTCTGGTCAGTCGCTTCTGCTTCTCGTCCATCAATGGTGTAGCTGACCTCTATGCAGGTTCGGCAAGATCATATACATCGACCGAGCAGAAGAACGGGTTCATTGCCAATGGCTTGAACATTCTTCGATGACGATGCTAGGGGTGATCGGTGACCCCGAGGAACTCTTCTTGTGCAATTCATGTAGCGCGGACAATATCCACATACAGGCTATCGTCGGGAAAGCACCTGTCCACTGGGGTGTCTCACCAATGGATCTCGTCGACCCAGATGACTTCTGTTGTCGGTAAGTCTGCATATGCTTGATAGCGAAACATGGTCTCATATCAAGTGCTCTCCGAGATTTGTCTACAATGAGCTCGACGCGTCATTCATTTCCGTTGATGATGTATACGGGTTTGCTGCGGAGTCAAGTGCACTGCCACAAAACTGCCCAGTCTGCTTGCTCAGTCAAGCACATGCAGACGAAGATGACTGTCGTTCTGTCAAAGATGGCATTGCATATCATGGAGCTACTTACCACGTTCATGACTTCGCTCTACTTGCAAATGGAAGTCATGAGGGCCCTGCCATAGTTGTGCAGATTTTGGATATCGGCAGTGGGTCTAGAGGCTCAGAGGTGCTGACAGTACGTCTACTGGGGCGCATTAGCGGCATTATTAGCATCTGCCCTAATAACATGATCAAGGATGAGGTAAGTGATGATTCAAGTTAGTATGAATTATGCTGACGACGAAGGCCAGCAACATCTATTTCTCACTGATGAGGAAAAAACCATCCATCCTGAACAGCTCATTCGGCACTGCAGTGTCCTCCATCCAGATGCTGTACCTGTGGAGCTATCAGACTGGCTGTCTTCCTCTCCTTATCATTTCTACATCAAGTATCATTTCCCAGTGATGAACCCTATCAAGTGGCACACACACACTGTTGTTCAAGCTAGGGACATATTGGTTTGCTCATCTTGTTATGAGGACAACAAGGCTAAGGTTCTTAGTATGAAGAACTTCCTTCAGTCTAATCCTCCTTTAAAAGCCTTTGATCCCTTTGGTGGTGTAGGAGCCTTTGGCCTGGGCTTAGAGGAATCAGGTTGCCTGAAGGTAGTGCAAACAATTGAAATCTCACCTAGTGCAGCACAAGCTCTACAGTAGGCATTTTTCTTGTACTCTGACTAATAATACTGATGATAGGTCTGCAGAGAGAATTGTCCTCACACAACGGTTTATAACCAGTGTTCCAACGTTGTACTACAGTATGCCATCAAGAATCATGCAGGACACAAGCCTCAGGTTCCTCGTGCAATTGGAAATGGTCAAAGAGCACTGCCAGATCCTCCAACTCCAGGGCAGATTGATTGTATTATAGCTGGATTTCCATGGTACGGTTTCGGGTTTTCTCATAATTCACCTGACATGTTCGAAATCTTAGTCAACCACACTCACAACTCAACATGTTCCAGCGAGCAGATGATCGCAAGAGCCATCTTATTCTCAACCTTCTCTCATGGGTCAACTTCTTGCAACCTCGGTTTTGCCTTTTTGAAAATGTCCGTGGCTTTCTCAGTTATAATCTGAATGCCACACAGGCCGGTCGTTACCGTGTTGAAGGTGGGATCAAAATGGGAGGGCTGAAATTCCTAGTTCACTCATTGCTTGCGATGAAGTATGTATACAATCCACTTGTCAAGCTGGTACTAATGGTTTTCCAATCAGCTATCAAGTGCGTTTTGCACTTTTGCAAGCGGCTCATTATGGAACACCACAATCCCGAATCCGCTTTTTCTTGATTGCTGCAAGAAGTGGACATCCTCTTCCAGCATTCCCACAACCTACACATGATTTTCCACTCAAGGACTCCCTCAAGCTTGAGTTCACCAACAAAGGCATTGCGAGGCCGATTTGGACCCAAAATGGAACTGTGCCTCATAATTATGTATCTGTGGATGATGCAATTTCCGATCTGCCACGCTTTCATTGGTGAGTATGACTAATGACTTGTAAACATACCATTCATATTTTTGTCAGGTCTAACCCACGCAAACTCTTCAAGAATCACCCACAACAGGATAATGATGGCATACCTGAAGTTGCATGTGATGCTTCAAGATCATACTGTCGTCCACCAGGAGCCCTTGATAGTTATCATACGCCACCAAAGACCAGCTTTCAGGTCAAGTGTCGGCAGAGAAAGCCAACTGATTTGCAACAATTCACCCGGGTGTTCAAGGAAGAGACGGTGGAGAGGTATGTATAACCAGGCCGTTGTTAATGCTAGCTTGAGCTTCTCATTTTAGGGTCGTCAATATTCCTCTTCAGCCCAAAGCGGACTACAAGAGTATCATACATGATTAAAATACTTTACTCGTGTGCTAATATCTCAGCACAGGTCTTCATCCGGATATGTGGGAATGGCTATTTGCAAATCCTGCATCTGCGACCGCGCGAGATGGCTTTCACTCAGGTACGCTCTGCTTGGTTTCATATCTCCCTTGAGGATCATATCTCATTGTGCTGAAAGGCCTGTATGGACGCATTGATGCGAGTAGATGGTTCCAGACAACTGTCACAAAGGTTGAACCAACAGCAAAGCAATCGTGGGTCTTAAATCCATATGTAAGTGCGCTCCCTCCGTCCACCGTTGTCAGCAGCATGATTGACGAAGTGATGGTTCAGTGCAAACGTATGGTAACAGTTCGCGAACTTGCAAGGTCTCAGGGGTTTCCCGATCACTTCCGCTTCTACTCATACAATGACGACGTTAAAACAGTAAGTATACGTCTTCTTTCCTACCCGTACTACTGATGTTGTCCGTCTTTGTAGATGCATCGCCAGATTGGTAACGCAGTACCATTCCCAGTGTCGTCTGCCTTGGGGCGCGAACTAAGGGAAGCCGCGTTCAAGTACTGGCTAGCAAGTCGTGCGCAGGCGATTGTTGTTGAATAGATTTGGAACCGGATACCGCCCATCTCGTGTAGTGCGCTTCGCCTGTCTCTCATCGACATATCAACACCGAGCGATCTCATGTGTATGAACATTAAATGCAGTGGATTTTCAGCCTCACGTGGACGCATGTCCGTCGAATTGTGAGCAATCATCCACTTGCTACAGATATTATCAATTGCGAGACCGCCGCCGCCGAGTTCGATTCACTGATAATACAATTAACTCAACTTCGGGAATGACTGATCCATGCGCCACCACAAATACATATTCTGACCCAGTCATGCTCCAAATTTCGCCATCGAGTCGAATCCCCGCGTTCCATCTTGACTCCATGGCCAACTTCGGACACGCCTTCACACCGTACACAAATGACGCCGGGGATGCCACGGAGCGGCCCCTTCGAGACGACGTCCCGTTTCATTTTGACGTAGTCATCAGTCACGGAGAGACGAGATACTCCGTCGATAAGGTCTGCTGGCTTGACAAAAAGGCGGGGCCGATTGATGCTATCTGAATTGATGACTCTATCGATTGCTTTGCGTAAATGAGAGCCAAGAGCCGGCGCTGGATGACATGCTATGAGGCTTCTGTGAAGCATGTCCGCTGGACAAGAATTTGAGACTATGTTAATAGGAGAAAGGATGGACATACCGTCAAGCCCCTGCATATCCTGCAGAATGTCGTTGAGTACCCTGCCTAGCCGATCAAGATCAAATCCAGAACTGTCAACGACATCCGTTAAGACGGCCCTGACGATCTGCGCATGCTCCTGCCTCGTTGGCAGGCCTGCGACATGATCACGGAATGCCTTGACATCGACAAGCGAGTCTCTTAGTCTTCGCAGGGAATACGGGTGCCATAGGTGCACGAATATCGGAGATGCAAGCGGTGAGGTGCTCGTAATTGCAGCATCAGAGATCGTACTCTCCGCAGCGAGAACACACTCTTTTAGGAGTTCTTCTGTAAACTCGATGACCCATCCAGATAGGCTGACCAATTGCCAGACTGCATCTACGAGATGCATTGATATCAATAGCGCGATTGTGGATGAGAAGCAAACTTACCTAAGTCGAAGACGGAGCCTTCTCGACATCGGCCAAAAGCCCTGCGACATACCACCAAAGAACGTATATCCAGTGCAGCATTCCGACGAGCGACCAAGTTGGCCTTGTCTGCGTCTGTCGTCGCTTTGCGATGAATGTCGCTGCCCGATATTTTAGTACAGGTGCACCCGAGACCGATTGACATCACATACGAGTAAACCTCAATGGCGAGCCCGAGAACTTCAAAAATCCATCTCTCACTTTCGGCACTGAAAGTCCTGAAGAGCAACTGCAGTGTCCGATACAGCGTATCAGAGACTAGTTCAATCGAAACGGAAGGCATCTTCAGCGTATGGATGACGTCTGATGGCGGGATCCTTTCCAAGACGGCCAGGGCCGCTAGGAATGGCACGCTTGTTATTTGCGGAGATGATGGTAACAGTGCTGCCGCCGATGTGGATGGGCCTCGCCGGTGTGGAAGTACATGGATGGCAATGTGGGTATTAAGAGAGGCAGTAGGGGAGACGCTACAGAGAAGACTGCGGTTAGGCGAATAGGCGATATTGGCGAGCACTGGAGAGGTAATTGAGCGTCAACCCATAGTCGACTGATGAAAGTAGAATGCCTACCGTCACGTCCAACGTTCGAGAAACTGGACATGATGGGGACCTCCTCCCATGAATCGTCGGGAGATAGGTCATGTCTGTATTGGAATATAGAGCGATCAATGAATCGCCTCGTGTGCACAAACGCAGTACTTACAACTTCAGCACCTGAAGCCGGCCGATAGAGGCTTGAACCTCTTTACCCTTTGTAGCAGCATTGCCACTCAGATCCATGAGACCCGCTAGTAGAGACGCTCTAGTAGGGGACGGCAGAACAAACTCGATGACTTTGTCCTCGAACTTCCGCCTCGCAGTGTGTTGCAAAACCTATAACGCGCCGTGAGTACTTTCACGCGATATATACAAGCACACGTACCCATGTTGATTCGCCGGTGCCAGGGTTTACTGACTTCTTGAACGCATACAGCGCTACCTCCGACTTAGGCGTCGAAGTATCTAGTAAAACAAGAATTGTCAGAGTTATTTGACGAGCTAAAATTATGTAGCGTACAGTCGCCAAAATCGAGGAAAGTGGCGGCAAGGCATGAAACCGTCGGCGTAATTCGACTCCCCTCCGCACCGGGATTCTCATTAGGTATTTTTGTTGGAGCGACAGGCATAAAGACCAAGTTCGTGAGGTGGTGGCTGGCATCCGTTATAGGTGACAGGGTCCGAGTAGTGACAACTGCGAGATTATAAATTAAATCCCTGCGTTACTGCTATAGGGAGAAGTTGCTTTCGGCTTACCCGGATTTATGTTTCTGAGGTGCAGGGAGACCTCACATACTTGAATTGTTGACTCTTCTCCCCAGGAGTCCCATTCCGGGTTGAGTGAAGTCTCTCCATCCAACTGTGCCACATCCATGGATAGATCAAGGCTCATGGCGTTCTGAGAGCTGCCTGCCATGCTAGGAGAAGGCAGGATATGGGACCGCATAGCAACCAGTATGCTCGACTCTAGTCGTTTAAAATGAGGGATTACACGCGCAGAGCAGGTTGATGCATACCGTTATAACTCAAGCAGATGGCGGCATTCACGCATACGTGATGCCCGCCAATTCCGTTTACGGTGTCGTCGTAGGAGGGTGGCTCTCCCTCAAAGCTTCTGGACAACTGTACAAGTGACGCTCGGATGACCTTAAGCGAAGGGGTATGTGGAGGTGGAGGCACATAGTAGACGTTGATTTGGTGGTTCTGCGTCACTAAGAGTAACACTGAACTCAGAAGGTGATGAGTGGGACCTCGTGGTGGCAATCGAGTAGCGGACGTCTCGGTCATAATCCACTGCACAGATTGAGTAAAGGCGGAGACTGCGTAGACGGTTCACTAACCTCTCGCGGTGCAGCTGTCCAAGCTGCAGCGACCGCACCCGCTCCTTGAGGGAGCGGCCAGTATTCCCAAACATGCCAACTATCAAGTGGCGCCTTTCGCTTCCACAAACAGCCTGCGCCGTCGCCCCCGCGGCCAGGAAAGTATGCGAATAACCGGTCATCTACCGGAGACACACATATAACTGTAGGAGGTCCGTAAGAGGCGGGCTTGTCCAGTACTAGTTTCGGAGGAGGTATCGTGAAATTTCTGGAAGTTGGGAAATGACGAGCAAGAACCAAGGGTTCCGTTGGGTGGGCCGTGAATATCACAGAGTATCTTGACCAAACGAGCGGTCTATTACAAGCCCACCAACTGTCAGTGAGTCCTTCTGTCCATGGCACAATTTGTCAGACCTTCGGGTGCCCCCAAGTAAGTGAGACAGATCCCACCATCCTAACTGCCAGTGCGATTCTTCCTTCATCCTGCCCTTCGAGGGATGAGGGATCTTCGCGTCCTGAATATCGCGTCGTAAATCCAGTCCAAGTCCAAACCTTGCATATATGCGTGTCGAATTTCAAAGAGTAACAAAAGCACACGGTGGAGGCGACACAACGTGACGAGGTCGAATCTAGAGAAGCTGTGCCGTCGAGCCCTCAATGTATTGAGGATGGATTAAGAACACACAAGCGCCAAGCGGTGGCGACTTCCTTCTGACTTCACTTGTCTCGCGTTCGCCACCATTACCATGCTACCTTCCGCACAAATCTCCAGGGAGATAGATGGTGCCCAGACCGAGGTGTTACTGCAAGCTTTCGCAGATCGCATCCTCGTCCTTGTCTCCCAGATAGGAAAAGTGGGCAACCTAGTACGTCGATTAAACATATGATTTCATGCAACATATTCGAGCCCTTCCAGATACAAGCCACGATTCCTGCGACTACACCGCTAGATCCACCGCCGCCTCCTGATCCTTCCGAACCGAACCTCACACCACTCCCTGTCCCTCCGCCTGCGATACAACTCACGCCACTACTTGGACATGGCCCTTCAGAGAACATGCAGACACTGCATGCACTTTATGCTTCGCAAATCGCAACACTCGTGTGGATCGCGGAAGCTGAGGAAGCATTAGAGGCCGAACGACGGGGTGTGGTGGTCGGACTAGCGCTACGTAAATCAGAGGCTACAACGGGTAGCACGCTCAGCGAACATGAGAGGAGAGTATTTCATGGTGTGATGGAGATAGTGAGAGAGCTTCTGCAGCGCAAATAGATATAGATGGCCGTAGCGGCAGGAGTCGAAGGACGGCATACCTGCAGTCTACTACCACCCATTCTCATTCCTTCTCCACTTCGGCCTTGATCGCGGTGAGAACGTCTGTATCATTTGGACTGGTCAGTCGTTTCTCCCGTTCACTTTTCCATTTTGCAAGCTTCCATTGCACCAGCTCTGAAAGTCTATCTTCTCGCTGTATGCCAGAACGAGGATTATTCTCGTAAAGGTAATATGCAAGAGCCCCAGTGAAGACACCGAGGATGGGATCAAGGGTACTATGGAGGCCTCGTCAGGATTGAAAGTGCGGGTTTCGACAGTCCACTGACCGCGAGAGCAGAACGGGCGCCATGAGGGAAGACGGATAGCGGTTCCCGCAGAACTTCAATTTGGTGAAATGAGCACGCGCGCTAGCTTCATATTGCAACGATTGTGGGGTACTGACCACGAGACCGGCCCTTCGCGGAAAGCAAAGCACAAGTACTTGTTCTGTCTGCGACGTCGTCTGGGATGTCTCGTATGCCTCAGCGCAAATGCCGTTGGCGAGAAGGCGCCCTCGGACACCGGCAGTGGTGATGCCTGGATCGCCGTACCCTCGGAGTGGGACGGGAACGTGACTGCACACGCCCGTCTGCCGCGGTGGCTGGACTTGTTCTCTTTCAAATCCAAAATTTCCGACACGTTACACAACGTGTTACTGCTGCGAGCTGCGCTGTCCATTCTTGCTAGCTTCTGAGAGTGCATTGCCTGGATGTCCGCTGCGTTCGAGCGTCAGATTCGCCCGGTCTATGGTTTGTCTTCCGTACAATGTGGCAGCAGCATATCACTCAGGTTTGTGTCCTCCAGAGGCTCTCGACACGGGCTCGAACAAGTCGGCCGTTCTAGCATGCAACAAGTTGCTCAAGAAGCATCCCAAGAATGAGCTAGTCAAGGTACGTGTGTCCGTTGCGTCATTTCGTGTGTATGTGCTGACCAGCAAGGATCTCAGGCACTGAAAGCCCTTGCGCTAATTCGCTCGCAGAAGGTAGAAGAGTCCCTGGTGCTATGCGACGAGGTGCTTGCCTCCAGACCAACGGACGAATCTACCCTCTCGGCTATGATGCATGTACTTCGGGGTCTTGGCCGGCGTACGTCTTTCCTGCGCTATATATGCCCACTTTAAGCCGTTTACCCTAAATGACAGACACGGACATGGTCACGATGTACGAGGACGCGTTCAAGCACCAGCCAGGAAATGAGGAGCTTGGGTCGCAGACCTTCATGGCAAATGTCAGGATCGGCAATTGGAAAGCGGCGCAGCAGGTACGAAGCTTCACCTTTGAAGGACCCCATTGCGGAAATACATACCGCGGATACTGACTCATTGTGCGCAGATTGCGACAAAGATGCACAAGCAATTCCACGACGACCATTACTTGTACTGGAGTGTGATGAGTGCAGTGCTTCAGGTCAGTGGAAGACGTTCTACTCCTTATTTGCGTAGCTGACATTCGTCTGACGTTATTTTCAGGCCAATGACCCAACCACACCGCCGAATATGCGGCCTATCCTGTACAAGCTCGCGCATCGACTCGTCACGTCGTCCGGCACCCCTTCCTACTTCAGCGCCGACCGGTTCTACCTGCACCTTACGATTCTGCGCGAGCTACAGCTGTATGACGAAGCCTTCGAGCTCCTAGAACACGAGGTTGGCAAAGCTATATGCGCAGCAAGTCTCGCTTGTGACGAGCTCAGGCGCGAGATTTGGAAGGCGAAGGGCTTGTGCAAGGAAGAGGGAGCCCGGGCGCGCGAGCGGATCACGGCAGAGAAGTGCGTCAGGTTGACCAGAGTTGACAGTCGCACCTTGCTTACACCACATGCATGGGCATGGATTGCGAATGTGTCAATAGAGACCGGAATTGGCTCGAATTCCTGTCCGTTGTGGACGCTGCGTTCCACGATCTCGGCTCATCCCCTACGTCTGCATCTGATGAAGTGAAAACAACGTGCGCAGAGTCGATCGCAGCAGCACGGGAACTCTTCAACCAAGTGGCTGAAGAGGACGGTACAAGGGACAGGACAGGTCGTTTGGCCCTCCTTGAACTCGAGAAACGAGCCTGGGCAAGTGGTCTTTCAGATGGTTGGCTTTAGTGGGCTTTTGGTGTGACATGGGGAATGACGCTAGTGTTCTTTTTCTAGACCCTGCTGAGATGCGCCGGCTACTCGAGAGCTACTTCAACAGATTCGGCGACAAGGCGGTCTGCTTTGAAGATCTGAGACCATATATCTCGCTCGAAGGCGATGTGTTGACGGCGTGGACATCCTTCCTCAAGGCAGTTCCCTCGACGCCTGTAAGTTGGATAGAACTACTTGACAGACTGCCTCATCAATCATCTTGCGCACAGGAAACTAGAGATGATCTCTCCAGGTACATGAACGCTCAAAAGCTGCTGCGCTACAATCTCTCGACATCTGAAGTCACTTCGGAAGCTGAAGCTGCCTGCGCACTGCAGTATTTCTCCAGCTATCTGGATGCGCTCAAGTTCGGCAAGGAGCTCCCGGACACTGAATTGCAGCCAGCCGATGATCTCGCTCTTCTAAGCGGTCAGGCGTTCGTCGGTGCTTGGAAGGCCGGCGGTGAAGCGGTGCATCTCTACCAAGCCGCCGCTGTGTTGGAATATGCATCGTCTAGGAGCAAGCAGTCGTACCTCATCCGGCTATTACTCATCCGTGTATATCGCTTGCTAGGTACGTTCATGTTCGGCAGCATTGACATGTTCAATAGGGTTGATAGGTGATTGATAGGCGCGTCATCATTGGCTTTGGAGCACTACCGGGCGATGAGCGTGAAGCAAGTGCAGACCGACACGTTGTCCCACCTGATCCTGACCCGAGCATCGACGTTCTCCTTATCATCGATCGGCGACTTGACGTACTCATCCGAGTGTTTGGAGTCGAGTCAAATCTACCTCACGAACTCGCAAGAGGTTTGCAATCTATCCTTGAACTAGGATATTTCTGTTGACGTTCAGCGCTGCAGACGGCAGAGTTTACCGTCCGTGCATTTGGCTCTGAGAAGTACACACAAGTACGTCACATATAATCTGGTGATCTATTGACCGGAATTGCTCATTGTTCTAGGTCCCAGAGTTCATCTCCTTCGAAGAGCGGTTGGACAACTCATTGCAGCGCGATCTCACCAAGATCGAACATGTGCGCATGAGGATCTCACACGAGCCTGTCAGCTCAGATCTTGTCGACATGGAGCTCATTGAGCTGAAATTCATCTTCGACCGGTGTATGTGTGAACTCCAAACACGCAGGTTGCTATCTGATTCCTAATGCCAGTCTGCCTAGTTCACCATGACAATCGCGATTTCGATGTTATCCCGAACTACCAGCCTCGTTGTGGGCCAACGTTCAACGAACAGACGACTTTGTTCGACAAGTCGCCGGGGGTATGTGCTGAAGGATCTTCGGGATGACCTGTGGCCTGACAAGCAGTCGATGTTTCAGTCAGGGTGGCTCTCGATCTTCTTGAAGATCTACATCAAGATTTTCCAATGCGCAAGTGACCTCGATGACACGGTTGAGGATAAGCTCCTCATTGGTGACCGACCAAAACCAAGCCTCGATCCGGAGAACAAGGCCCCCCTGAAAGAGCGGCTCGCCAAGCGAAAACAGGAGGAGTTCGACGAGGTATGCCAAGTCCCGAGACAAAATCGGTTTCCGGCTAACGTCTTTCTCGCTGTCAGCTGACTGCCGACGAGCTCGCGTTCTTTGACTATGCCATGGCATTATCAGACTGGCTTGCGCCCTACCACGACTACATTCGACCACCGCCATCCGCTGTCCTCGCCGAGGCGGCGAAGCAGACAGAGCTCAAGACCGGCTTCCCTTTGAAAGGCGTCGAGCTCCCGAAGAATGGCAGTGCAACGAATGGGCACGCGAAGAAAGATAAAGACGAGGAACCTCCTGCGGTGTCCGCACCCCCTGACAGCCTCTCGAAATACTTCGACGGTACGGCATATTAATCATTTTTCTTGCTGTGCATGGTCACTCAAGTAGATTTTAGATATGAGCTTACGATTCAAAGAGGCTTTAGAGAGCGATCGCTTGCCATCGGAGCTCCTGCATCTTGTAACTCTCACACAAGAGGCACGTTAATTGCTATCGCAAAATGTTCAACCTCTGACCACTTTTTAGGCATTGATTCTGCTATCCATCGAAACTTGGAGGTTCAAGCCCAACTCTGTGATTAAGCAGCACAAACTTGGAGCTGTAGGTTGATTATGTTGTCCCGGTGTCGTAACTCATTCCGTGCTGCTCACAGATGGTGCAAAGCTTCAAGGAGCTACGCACAAAAGCCAGCGCAGTTCTCAATGACATGTCTGCATCCCTGGTCAAGCTTGGCGAAGAGGGTGCAACAATAGACTCGCGGAAGGCCTTCGTTGAAGCCTGCAAGCCTGTCTGGGCCGAGTCAGGGGTGCGTCTCAGTCCCGGTCTGTTTGCCACGCAACTTATTTCTCTCGATAGCTGGACCACGACTTCGTGTCAACCATTTCGAAGAAGGTTACTGAGTCCCGAAAACAGGTCCTGGAGGGTGTTGGGAAGGGTATCCTCCGTGTCCTCAAAAATCATGCATGATAGTAGACGTTCTACTCTTTGTTCCGTATAGAGGGACTCTGCATTGCCCCACCTTCACCACTCAGTGCACTCATTTCGCGTTCGAGCTGTCTGTAATACAAGCATACTACTAGTTTATGGACCCGTGGCGTTGCGGGCATGTCTAAATCAGTGAACGAGGGAGCATTGGCAGGCAAGATGCCTTGAACGGCCAATCTAACACGTGATGTGACCAGACGCGTCAGGTGTCATCAACGCGGTGTCACGTCGCGTCGCGTCGCGTTTTCTACCTGACACTACAATCCCTGTAGCTCAATTTGAGATCTTCAGATTTACACAAAAAAAAACATGAGTCAATGTCAGTGCCTCGTCTGAGTTTGCACGTATAAGACTCACGGAACTCCTAGATGATAGCAACCCATACTATGGTAACGCAGGCGGTGGCGGATATCTAGCGGGAGGTTCGCCGTTTGGCAGCGCGGGCGGGAGTCCGGGCGGTCAATTTCGCGTGTGTACTACCGTCAGCTATACAGATGTACAACTCATAGGCAGGTCTAACAGAGGGGAGCCGCTCTACACTCGCTACGCCCGGTGATGATTGGGCAGCTTCTCAATGCGACACAAGCACACTCGGACGCAGAGTGGATGATCGAGGATGCAGAGATTGGCCAGGTGAGTCTCTCCGCCTATATGCTTCGGAAGGATCACTGAGAGACGGAATAGGTAACAGTCGTTGCCTCGGTTATCACAATTAAGAATCAAGCCACAAATTGTGTATACTGGATCGACGACGGCAGTGGCCGCGTTGAAGCGCGCCACTGGGTCGATTCTGCAAACGAGGAGGATAGCGAGCGATGGGGATCCATCACGTATGTCTGCTGTTGCTACGCATTCCGAGTGGCGTTCGCTCATGCCAGATAGTGAGGGTGCTTACATCCGCGTAATGGGCGGGTTGAAGATGTTTGGGAACAAGCGATACATTAACGCGCAGCACATTCGGCCAGTCAAAGATCACCATGAGTTCCTCTTCCATACATTAGAGGCCATGACAGTGACGAGGATCTTCGAAAAAGGACCGGTACGAAGTTCTCGTCCTTGGCACTTCCACATGACTTACAGTGCGTCAGCCTCCACGACCAAGTGATGCGGGAAAAGACCCAAGAGCAGTTGCTGGCGGTAGTGTGACGGGTCCTTCGGCGTATACTGCGCAATCAAATACAGCGAGCTCTACTGACCAATACGCTCACCTCCCGCCCCTGCAGCGCCGGATCGCCGAGTTCATGCTTAGCCGGCCACCAGCGGATGAGGGCATTCACGTTGGGGCGATTGCAAGATCCGTTGGCGGTGACGCGCGAGCTATTAGGTACGTAAAGCTGCTACTCACTTTGCTCTGGGATTGACAATCTTGCATAAAGCGAGGCGCTGGACAAGCTCATGGACGACGGCTATGTGTTCACTACGATCGACGATTCACATTTCCAGCTCTCGGTGTGAGCGGGGCAGGTGTTAGTTGTGGCTGGACCTTTCTTGTTGCTTTCCGTGCTGTGTGTATCATGAATTATGCTAAGAACGTAGAACATACATTGACAATACTTGATACTCTCGGCGATGGACGAACCAGCCGGACGAGCGGCCCGGTGCCAGCCTGGACTAGTGCCTGATCGACTGCTGTTACTTGTTTGCCATTATATTACTTTTGCTTTGCACGACGAACACTGGCATATATTCGGAATGACCCAACTTGTAAACACGACAACTTGAAAGAGTACTGTTTATCGATGTATGCCCTGCCGAAGTCGCAGTCGGATTCCCAGGCTGAGTCGTTCGCGGTGGTCAGCAGACAAAGACGTGACTCCTTCTATCCGACTTCAATATAAGAACTGATGCAATATGGCGTAATCCGACTTGTTCGCTCGAGGGTACTGCTCTCACACTCTGCTGTCTCCGTTCTAAGGCCATGTCGAGCTTGTGGAATCGACGGGCTTTGGCACAGCGCTGGCACGGGCTTCTCACTAACAGAGCGAGCGTACGTACTCACAGGCTCTATCTTGACCCGCCTGTAGAGGTCCCTCGTGGGGCTGTTCGTCACAGCAGCCAGACGTCGGCTGGGCTGAGTCGAACAAAATCAAGAGTTCCTAAGTCATACTTGGCGGCAGCCCTCAGCTCCATTCTCGGCGCTTCTCTCGGGTACTATGCCGCTACAAGCAATACAGCCAAGTCGCCAGAAGTCTCCACTTCGGGATTGAACGACAATTATGGCACACCCGAGGACTTCCAGAAAGCCATCGAGGAGCTGCGGACAACTTTCCCCAAAGAGGGTACTGTGACCACCGATTCCGAGGACCTCCGGATACATGGCCATTCTGAGAATGACTACCATCCAGGTGAGCTTCTGAGAACAGTAATTACATCGCCCCATTTGCTAAAAATCATCCCTCAGGGTCCTGCCCGTCAGTCGTCGTCTACCCGGATTCTACAGATGATGTCGTGAAGATAGTCAAGATTGCAAACAAGTACAAAATACCTGTCATTCCTTACAGCGGCGCGACGAGCTTGGAAGGAAACTACAGAGCTGTATGTCCGAAATCAGTGTACGGGTATTGGGTGTGTTCATTGAAGCGCGTCTGGTCTCGCAATGCAAGCCGAAAATCGGCGGCATATGTGTCGATGTATCTGGAATGGACCGGATTATTGAGATACACGGTACACTCTACGACCCTAAGGGGCATGCACCTCTTAATTTGGAAATCCCACAGAGGCCGATTCCGATATTGTATGTCAGCCGGGGGCGCAGTGGATGCACATCAATGACACATTAAAGAAAATGGGTGGGTGAGCTGTTCTGGAAGGTCTAAATGCTACTGAACAACTTTCCACCCAACCAAAGGCATCCCACTCTTCTTCCCCGTGAGTGACCATGGGTGACGTCAGACAAAGTCACCTCATGGCGTCCAGCTTGATCCAGGGCCTGGGGCTACAATCGGCGGAATGGTTAGCACGGGTTGTTCCGGCAGTACGCACTAGCGATATTAAGATTCATCGTGTGCCCCTAACAAGCAAGTATCATAGCCAACGCGGTTCGCTATGGAACGGCGAAGAGCGAATGGTTCCTTAACGTCGTCAGTCGATCTCTTACTGCCTGTTGCTGTTCACTAAGTTCCAGGGCTGTTCAATCGATACGCTTAGACAGTTGTGCTTCCTAATGGTGAGGTGGTCAAAACACGTCGCCGCTCGCGCAAATCCTCCGCCGGATTTGACACGACTAAGCTATTTATCGGCGCGGAAGGAACCCTGGGGATCATCACTGAAGGTCGGTCCCCACGCAGGAAAGCCGTTCGCAATCATTGAACCTCGCATTCAGTTACGGTTCGTCTAACACCGCTGCTTCCAACGACAGTCGCGGTCTGCCAGTTCCCGGATGTACGCAAAGCGGCTGAGGCCGTGATCGAGATCATGAACAATGGTGTCGGGATTCGTGAGTTAGGACACTCTTGTGCGTATGATTTACCCTGACCCCTGGCGCGATCGCGGCAGAATGCGTCGAGCTCTGCGACGATGACTTTATGCGCGCGACGAACCTGTACGGCCAGTCTGCACGCAAGTACCCAGAGAAGGACAGCCTCTTCTTCAAGTTCCAAGGGCCCACGCCGCGCGCAATCCAGGAGTCGGCAGACATCGTGAAGGCTATCGCGAAGAAGCACGGAGGGACTGGGTTCGAGCTCGCCCGGAATGAAAAGCAGGCGGCGGACCTCTGGATGGACCGCAAGAACGCGCTATACTCCGGCTTAGCGTTAGTAGACGGCGCTCGAGGGTGGAGCACGGATGTATGGTATGTAATTATACAGCAGGCTTTATGTGATGTATCTGATTGAGATTGACTTTCAGTGTTCCGGTGTCTCGGCTCCCAGATCTTGTCTATGAGACCAAGAAGGATATCAAGGATCATGGTCTGGTGTCAACGATTGTCGGACATGTCGGTGATGGTGCGTTATAGTCATTGGGCTGGCCCTCGCAGGTTCATATGTGCTCTGCATCAGGAAACTTCCACTCGCTTTTGCTATTCAAGACGGATGAGGAACAGGAAATCTGCCGACACGTCGTACACAGGATGGTGGAACGCGCGATCGCAATGGACGGGACATGTACGCCGTCGACCAGCTAACCTTGCCATATCCTCTCATAGTTTATTGCAGGCACTGGAGAGCATGGCGTCGGGATCGGGAAGCGGAGATACCTTATTGACGAGCTTGGTGAGAGTACTGTCGAGCTGATGAAGACCATCAAACGCGCCATCGATCCACACAACCTGCTCAACCCCGGCAAGGTACGTCTCCCTGAGATTCCTTGTAAGATATATGTTAATGAACTGTTTTGACAGCTGTACCCAGATGCGAGCAGAGAATCTAGCTTGGAGTATAGACCTCAACCAAGTGTAACGCCTTCTGCCGATTAGTGGTCGAGATTGTCTATCGTGTAGGCTCGGAGCTATCTGCTACTTTGTGTTGCTGCTGTTGCTATCAAGTTGATTGTATGAGAGTACACGATATCGGCTTCGCTGTCGCTTTATCGCTGCGATGAGCCTATGTTTATATGTGCATTTTTGGCGATCAATATCATGCTGTGCTAGTGGGTCGATCGCAAACATCAAATTGCGAGGGCATCATGACGGTCTGAATTTGAAGGGCGCCATTATACCGTTGGCCTTCCGCTATCATCGCACCCAGGATCGCAGGCTCTGTGGCTTGGACGATGCGTCGAGACCAATCAGTCGGTAGCAATGATGATGCAGAAGGGTCAGATGCCCCCAGAGCGGTGCGCTCTCCTCTTGCGTACTAATAAGCCAATCTCCGTGGTGACATCCGCTGTTGATCACTAGCGAATACCGGACATTGAAGCCCTCCGTCCGGTCACAATAAGGCAACTTCTGGATGCCGAGCAGGCTCACACGACTGCTCCGTTCACGATCGATGGTGTTGAAGTGCACCAGGCGAGTCATTTTCCTTCTTCGACACCTCTCGCGTCTAATTTCAGAGTCCTCGACCATGGCCACAACTTCACATGTTAGGTCACCCTTGTCGCACATGTTACCCGAATATTTGTGACCGAGAATAAGATCGACTATCGACTGGAAGACGGAACGAGCACTCCCGGGATTACAGCCTCGCAGTGGCTTTCCGACACTTACGAAGAATCTCGCCTAGACTTCCTAGAACAGGGAAAGATCTACGCCAGGATTCGAGGACGGCTATCACGATGGGGTCGTGATGGGAAGAATGAAGTCAAGGTAATCTCGATCCGCAAGTCGACAGATCCTCACGAAATATACTTCCACATTTTGGAGACCTTTTTTGCAACCAAGTATATTGAATGCGGCCCACCAGTATGTCGATTTACTACTCATTCCTGGAAAGTTGATACTCATCAATGCACACCACAGCTCATATCTGTGTTGCCACATCCGCAGAACTCGCATGTGATGGTTGGAGCAGAGCCGCCCGAAAGTGACCCACAAATCACAACTACAGGCGATATACCGCCTGTCGGCCGCCCGATCAATGATTGTTCTACTACGACTTCGAAACGAGACAAACCCCCAGAATCCGACTTCACTAGTAGCACGTCGTCCAGTCGCTCGAGGGACCCTTTGTCTCATCTGGATGTTCTCCAGCGAGGTATCATACTCCAGATACTTGACGCTCCCCCTCACCCGGATGGCGTTCACGTCGGGAGCATCGCAAGGGGAATTGCACATATGGGCGTGAATACAGAGCAAGTTATGTATGTTTTATTTTGCGTCTGCCAGATTGTTCACATAGTGACCAGAATTGCAGTGCAGCGTTGGACTTTCTTCTGGATGAGCGATACATTGAAATGGGCTGTACAGAGTCATACTATAAAGTTACCTCTAAAGTTCATACTGATCATGGGATTTATGGTGATGTATCTTTTGATTAACCGCAGGTGCCATGTTCTTGAATACGCACACTCTCCACTCCTGTAGTAATATACACAGCTTGATTTTGACTCAATTGATGGAAAGAGCGTAGATTCTGACAGCATGCACCAGTACACTGGCGAGAAAATCTGCAGGATCGCGGGCTATCGCGCTGAGTATAAAATGTAAAGTGCAAGCGGCCATGCCAGATCCTGCCGCCGGCCTTCTGAACAGCATGATTATCCGGTGCGTGTAAACGTGTCCCATGACGAGAATATTAAAACGGTCGTTGATTTGTGAAACTCGACAAATCGCGCTTCTATAAGAGAGACATTCCGCGGCGGGTTGGGCGCCACATATAATCGCGAGGCTTTGCGACGAAATGAGTGCTTATAATATATTCCAAAAGAATGAGTTACTTGAAGGGGATTTGCGGAGAGGCAGGAGGTTGATGACAAGGGGCTTCCGAACCCCTGCTGCGTAGATTGTCCTCCTAGCTTGAAGAGGATGCGAAGCTTTGAGCGCAACGCGTCGTTATAATAACATCCGCATGCTGTGCTACACTGGTGGAGGTACTTACGTACAGTCATTGATCCTGACCCATGTTACCAGGCGAGGGCTTAGTGAGGGTGTAGTGAGGACATAGTCCAGTGGTTTCGAGAGAAGTTGACGCACCGAAGAAGGAATCCGCCTCTGACCATGGTGCCTACTCGGACTTCGTGGCTTTGTACCGCATAAATTCTCGATCATGTAAAGCCCTGACGCCGCTCAGTGTCCGCCTCGCGCATATATCAGAAGGCGGTGGACTTGACGAGGTGGTCGACCCAGTTCGTGAGTCCAGGTCAATTCGAGGTAATCCCAGGGAATTCCACGCCCAGGGTATTGTCGCAAGCAGGGCGGGGTGTCGTGAAATCGTGGCCAAATCGACAACAGGCGGCTCCACTACTTCAGTGAGGTTAGAGATGGGACTGCAGCGCGTGTCGATGCAAGACAGCCAGTTGTCTTATTCCTACGACCCTATGCCAATACTTCTCTATCCGAACTGCGACCGACATCGGTGTCCTGTGGCGCTGAATAAAAACCAGATTGAGGCGAGCGTTATTGCTCAAGGTTGCCTTAGACAAGTATCCTTCTTGCGTAGATACCAATTATGTTCGCAAGCAGTGGGTAGACTGCCGAATTCGTGGTCAAATGTAATTGGAACTGAATCGCCGCGGTAGGATGTGGCGTCCCCGAGAGCAAGGCCTGTAAGACCCAAAGGAAGTATGATTGACACAGCGAGAAGTAGTGGTGAGATATCGAAGCTCTTTCTCCAAAAATCAGAGGAAGTGAAGACGAGCACTGGGACAAGACATGGTGCGAGGGATGGCTGGATGATATGGTTGCAAGCGGCCGGCTTGACGGCGGAAAATGCCAAGAGCGGACTTCATCCAGCCGGGCACCACGTTTCCCGATCGACTCGCTCGTCCTTCAGACGTCCTCTTCCGTGGCACACAGACGACTCACCCGTATTCCTTGACAACTTGCTTTGACCGGATGTTTGCTCGTCTCGCTAGCTCACCAACACATTGCTTCAGTCTGGTTGCTGCGTTCATTGAGTAGTTGGGCGGATTGCTCTCAAACGATCAAGGGCTTCTGGCTCGTCTCAAAAATTCAACGTTCGACGATATTGTCTCTTTTGGAGAGGTTGCTGGCGGAGTGTATCGAGAAATCTCTGCCTGATCTCTTCTGGTGCGGACATATGCAAATTCTCAGCGGGTACGGTCATCTCACCATGGCTTCACCTTGGGATGGCTGGCAATGCAGACCCCGGGCCCGAAGCATCTGTCGCCTCAACGTCTGGCGGCTCTTGTCTTGCTTGACTTGAAGAGGGCTATGGTGATGGCCCGACCTACTTGACGGTGTTTCGACAGCCCATACGTTTTCGCGTAAAGCTTGGACGCTTGTGGTGCTTGGGTCCCTTGCTCTCACCTTATTGTTGCTATCGCTGGACGCGATTTCGCTGCTCAGGACATGTCACAATGCAACAGAAATTCACGCGTTTCCTTCGCATCCGTAGGTCGATGTACGGATGAGTTCGACAAGGTGCGTGTTGTATTTTCGTGGGCGTACGGCTTTCTTTGAGGAGGACGACCTCGCTCCCTCACTCGACTTCCAGGACTCATCTTGGGTCCAAACCTGTCTTTGGCTCCTCGTTTTATCCGGGTCTTGACATCTTCGCATTGGTACTGCTGCTTGACGCACACAAACTCAGCAGGATGTTGAATTTGAAAGGTGGCGACTCGCCTTCGATGTCACGCTTGTCCTTGTCATCAGGCAAGTGTTACATGTGACCGGTCGTGACGTCGCGCTCCCTCGCAGGAGCAGTCCCGCCAGGTTCCTACAGTATGAAGCGGTATTAAGGGTTGTTTACTAAACTGAAACAGGATGCATCTATCTTGTATACCAAGTATGCGTGTGCACTGCAGGTCTAATGGTTGCATTGAGTAATCGGTCGGTGGGATGACCTACAATTTGCTCCTGTCGCCCGTTTTGTTGTAGGAAGCACCATTGGCCCGATACCCTTTGTGAACGCGTTATATGAACGATTACTCACTGCAGTGTCTAGGGGGTTCGAGTTTCTAGTGTTGAAGACATCGGCATATGAAGATGCCACTGCCCAGAGGTGGTCCTGCAAGCTACCGAGCTCAAAGTCTGTGTGTCTGTATTCTTAGTGCTTTATCCAGATTGGCTGGTCTTGAGCAGGACTTCGAGCCGCTTGTACAGCCAGTGAAGCTTGAATGCCAAAGACAGTCCGGAGAATGGTCTAGTATAACGATCGCGGAAGCAAAATGTGTATCTCGCAGCGCTGGAGCTAGTCCCGAGAACGCGGGGATGCTCGCGTTCAAGCGACTCCAATAGGAAACGCGCCCTCTTGATGCGACACGACTCTTACGAGAAACATGATTCTCGCGTATCCTCCTATATTATGGATGGCTTTTCGGTCACCCCCCACTTTCTCTTTCCTTTCTTCTACCATTCCCTCTCCTGGCGTGTATCATCGCTCACACCTGTATACTGCCTATTACCGATTTCTCTCGATACCGCTGCACGAGGATGACGCCCTCTGGCGCGCAATTCGCTGTCGTTGCCAACCATGAAGCGACAGACACCAGTCGCCTCCCGGCTTATCGGGAGAATCGTTTCTGCAGGCATCACCCCTACCCCAGGCGTCATCGTCGTCAGACTCCCGACTATCTACAGGTGAGTTGCGAGGGCCACGTCATGTTCTGCCCTGGGTTGTCTACGTTGATTGCTGACGCTCGACGGTGTGATCCAGAGTTCGGTCGACTTTTGTTACTTGGGAAAAGAGATCTTTACCGTGCCGAGGGGCACGGAAAACAACGTGAGTCGTGGTTCTTGACTATCACTTATCATCATCGAGAACATGGTGCCAGGCCGTCAGCCAAGACGACCCCGAACGCGATCTCGCACACCTAGATGAGGCGCTGCATGGCCACGATACTCAAAATGCCCGTGTCCGCCGGCTCTCGACGTTGGTTCTTGTGCGTGTTCTGCTGTTTCATCTGAGTATCTTCACGCCTACGTTGGCTTCTTCTTTCAGGATCTTGCGTTTGCGGTTCGCCGCCATCGTCGCAGCATTGCAATTGTGAAGCCCACAAAAGAAACGGACGTATCTCAATATACTGCTGAGCGCTTTGCTGCATGGGCGAACGGTCGGGATGTTGTATTTTTCTGACCTGAACGCGCCTTTGCGTCGCTCAAAACGACTTTGGTGGATCACACATCCATTCTTGTCTATATGACGTCTCTTGGGTATTCTGAAACCATGGCGATCTGGTCCCCTTGTAGCAGCTGTCGCTTAATCTTGGAATAGCCGTGCCATGCAGTATGTCATAGGATTTAGTCGTGTTGAATACATTGCTCTCATTGCGTTTTCGTGTGATCTATTGCTCTTGAGAGGCGTGCTGTCAGAGTTCTAGAGCAAATCCTTCGAATTCTGCGAGACAAAATGTATTCCCTAAATCCCGGCCTTTCACCGCAAAAAAAATCCACATCCGTGTATTTGACACCTATACCTCCGAGCAATGTGTGAGGAACCTATTGATGCAATCTTACTCACCCTCCTTGTTCTTGTGTGGGGGCTGTGCGTACAAGAATTCTGCCATGTCGCGAGCGATCCAGTCGTGCATCTGACTTGTCGGGTGCAGGTGGTCGACCCATATCTGGCCATCTCTCTTGGACACATCTTCAAAGGAGAAGCCGTGTGAGATAGGATTGTGTAGAACACGCTTGAATGTATCCCAGGACGAGAATATGAAGATGGAGACTTCTGGATGAGAAGCAGAGAACTGCGCCACACTTTCTTGCAGCTGAGTGTTCCAAGCTCGGTATGTGAGGCCATCTGCTGAGACGGCACGACCTGCACCCCTCGCTCAATTCGCAAGGTTCAATATGAAAGTGGTATGCTTACCGACGGGTGAAAGATGGACGGGCGGAACATCAACTAAGAGAAAATTGCGCGCGCCTGCTTCGTAGATAAGCTCTTGTTCCTCGAAAAGCTGCTTCACAGCCTCTCTTGCTACATCCTCTTCCGGCCATCTGTATACGTTGAAAACGGATCGCAAGATATGTACCGCTCTGCACTCACCCACAATCGTTGATGCCCACCCATGTCACTGAGCATTGTCAGGACGAGACTGCACAGAATCAAGCAATCGGCGCACCAAATAAAGTATCTGTGGGGGACCATGGAGCCCATTCGGGTCTCTTGCCTACTTCCGGCAGGAATCCGATACGGATTTGGTCATGGACGCCAGCGACCGTATCGCCTCCTACGGCGTAGTCGTATACCAGCACAGGTCCGTGGGTGATATACTCTGTGATCAGAGATCCGACCCAATTAGAGGCATCAGGCCCAGACCAAGTCACGCCCGGAAATTCGACACCGAGGGGCTGATCTTCTGTAGGATGAGGGGAAGTTCGCGGTCGATAGCCTACATCTGAATACGAGTCACCGCTTCCCGCGCCACGTATGAGTTCGGAGGTGTTATACCAGACGCGCTACATACAATATTATCAAATTGTTTATGTTCGAGAGGCCCCGCCACGACGGCTTGAGGATGGAGAGGTTCGGCATAGCAGCTAATTGGCAATGGTGCACAAATGGCCATTCGGCGCGCGTCGCTTCTCGTGAATAAATGAGTCACGTGGGACCCTCCTAATGCTGCTTCTCGCAGCGGCTGCTCGCGCTCTCAACCGTGCTCCTGCTCCTGAGCTCGCTCAGCGGTAGTAGGATATTATTTCCCCTCCCATCTCTCCCCCTCCATTGTGCACGCATATTGGACTCATACTCACGACATAAGACGGTGTAACATTATCATCACGACATGTCTTGGTGGAGCTCATCTTGGCTGCCCTCACTTCCGTCTATCGACTTCTCGTTGCCAACGGGAATCCAACGGCGGTTTATTTCGTTTGCTTTAAGACGCACTCTTGGACGCTTTCTTAGACCTGGACAACTTGATATACCTCAGATCGACACCCAGATTGGGTCAGGGTATGTACAAGTCAGAGACCTGGAGCTGGACAATGATGTACGTCCAACATAACCGCGTAAGCCTCACATCCCTCACCTTGTGTCTAGGCGGTCAATGCTCTTCTCCATGGTCTACCGCTTCGACTCCACGATGGGTCCGTCGGGAAAGTTACAGCCCGCATCCCATGGCCGAATCCCCTCACCTCCACCATCGGCCTTTCTTTGGAATCACTTCATTTGACCTTCAGTCTCATAACTGAACCGTCAGATGCGCGAGAGCCTATTGATATCAATCTAGAGGACTCAGTAACATCTCTTGCGGAGTCATTCGTGAACGAGGAGCTTGCCTCTGGAGAAGAAGCCTCCCTCCGCGAGTCCCTCCATCCTGACCCGTCTGGATCTCATGTTGAGGACAATATCCCTGGAGGTCTTGATCCTTTTGTGTCTGACGAGGACATCAATTCTTTTGAAACGGAGCCGCAGGGCGTGTCGCTCTTTGCTACGCTCATTGAACGCTTGCTTGCACGCTTCGCATTCGATGCCACTGACATTAAGATCACCATAGTGCACTCCCAGCACGCCAGCATCACTCTAGTGGTTCCGAATATTCAATATGGTACTGATGCGAAGGTCGAGGCCCCTGCAGCTAGCGTCGGTAACACTGCAGGTGAAGTGCGAACTGTAACCATGTCTGGATTCCACGTTACTACACGCTGCCTGATCCCTTCCAGCCCAGCGGTACAAACACCTTCCGCTCCCACTCATACATCTCAGCCAACCCCCTCGTCACAGTGGATGACATCGTCGCAGTTGACTGCGTCACCACTTGATGATCGGTCCCCTCCCTCTCCCTACTCTGACTCCTCGGACCTTGATGAGGAAACGCAGATGCTAATGTCACAATCAATCGCTGTTCTCCCCCCTCCACGGCCTGCGTCTCCTACTAGCTCTGTTGCGAGCAGCATGTACCAGAGCGCAATATCTGGCAACTCGGCTTCGCGGTACGAGCAGCCGGTTCCTACAATCCTGGAAGTTATTTCAGACGCTCCCGCTACGTCCGCAGGAGATCAAGGAAACACCAGTGAGGTTAAGGCGACAGCCCAGATTCCGACAAGACTAGGGATATGCACGGACGATATCGAGGACGAGACAATCATCTCACATACTTCTGAGCCAATTGTGCTCCAGCTCTCAACGCCCTCACGTCAGAACAGTGGAATGCCAGGACAGGGCTCGTCTACATCGGCAACCATCAAAGTTCAGATGCAGGACAGGCCACGGGCTTCCCGTAGAACAACTGAAGGGCATGCCAATGAAGAGAAGCTGAGGATCAGCGTGCGTGTTGGTGTGATCGCATGCGCCTTGAGAGCTCGGCACATTCGAAGCATTCTGGATATTGCACAAATATGGAGTTCCCACCATCCGTCTGCGGCCTCGCAGCGCAGTCCGAGCACTTTGCAACAAGGACCTTCCTCTCTCTTTGACAGTCTCGAGGCGGATCTCCGCATACGTGGTGCAGTTTTGTTGCTGCTGCCGGCATCCTTACGGGAGAGAAGGCTTGCGGACGACAGGGCACGACTTGCAGAGTTCTTCAGTCATCCTGTGGTGCCACCCAAGCTGCCATACGGATTCGTACGCGTTCACATTGACGAACTGTCTGCATCTTTCTCAATGTCACCGGAGTCCAAGAGAGCAGCTAGCTCACCCACGGCTACTCGCAGGCGCATGTCCACTGCCTCTCACTCCTCAGGCGCGACGTCCGTGACAGTCACACTCTCCGAATTATCTGTTTTTGCATTCACAGCTTCTACTGAATCCGCCATCCCTGGAGGGGGTGCAGATGTCGTTGATCTACACGCATCTCCGATTCTCATTACGGACCCTCATTTACCCTCACAATATCCTTCACAACACATCCATCCGAGCACGGAACCGGCGACCACACACCACTCTTCTTTACCCACTTTCGATGTTATTGACTGGACAGTGCTGGCGCGGCAGAGTAATACTGCCAAGCTGTCGCTGTGGCGGACTCGAGCTCCGCAATACTCATCCCGGCATGTCTCGTCCTCCGTATCGCATACCAGTGGCCATTCACCGCCGGTGATGTCCCCCCTTCGTAGCCCGCGACGAGACGTGTCAGACCTTCCGGTCTCATCCAGCCCACCTTCTCTGCGTTCTCCGCCAATAATTGTGTCTTCGTCTCCGGGTAAATCACCACCTGCGCTCTCAAGCTCTCCTAGCCGGGCGGCGGAATTAAGTTTACGCCCACGAGGGTCAGCGGTGACAGTCAAGATCTATCTGTCGCAGCTTCCACAGTCCGATCATTCCAGACCTGCAGATGAAGGGAAAGCTACAGTGGAGATCGACTTCGCTCCGCTGCACGCCTTCGTGGACTCGGGCCTCATTCTTGCTCGGTATGCTCATAATGATCGCAGTGAAACTCTGGCCTTTATTGATGAGATCACGGAGTCATCGGGTGCTGGCCCAGAGACTCAGCCTCACAAAGAGGAATCGGAAGGGGGTGCGGATTCCGAAGAGGAGGACGATACGCCGCCTGGCACTCCTCGTGCTGCGGTGGCGGGTTTCGATGTCCGGGAGTTCCAGAAAGAGCAGGAACGAGAGCGGCGCAGGCTCGAACGGCTAGTCCTGGAAGATCTCGAGCTCGGCTTTGACTACCGCCAGGAGCAGAACGGAGAAGCCGCAACGAAGGTCCAGTCATGGCGGAAGGTATGTGGTGATGTTTCTCAATCCACTTGTTTACCGACTGTCTGCCAGAGACAGAAACGATCCAAGAGAAGGTCGAAAGTCAGCATCATGGTCAAATTCCCCATGGTTCGCGTACAGTTACGCTGTCCGCCACCCTCCTCTCAACTCCCACGATCTGGGGCCATGATCGTCGACGTGCACGACATTAGGCTTTCTCCGGGTGGATCTCTCGATCAAACTAGAGTACCCTCTGCCCGATTTGCCGGGGATAACTTTTACTCCGCTACTGGATATAGTGGAGGACGCGGCGTACAACAGACCCTGCTTTCAGCGGACTGGAGCCGTATTGTGCTTGCATACGCTCCCGTCGGAGAAGGCAAAGCTTCAGGAATTTTGTCCCTGGGACCTTACTTGACGGAAGAAAGAAAGGGAGAGTCGTTGCATTTTGGAGCAAGCTCGTCGTCAAACATACGGGATATGGAAGCGCCGTCGCGACCTCAATTGCTCATTATGAAGAAGGCCTCTGATGTTCCATCTTTGGTTCTAACCCTGGACATTCCTTCAGTCTACATAGAGCTCACCAAGCCGATCTTGGATGGCCTGCAGCTATGGGGTGACGACCTTGCACAATTAATGGCAGATGCTCTAAGCGACTCAGTGATATTAGACTCAGACACGGAGAGAATGGCCAGCAGGGATCCGAGCCTTATTGGTAGCCGTTACTTCGCGCGACGAGCGGGCAGTCAGGCAAGCGGGACCGAGAGCGCTGTTGAGAGTATATCAAGTAGTAAGCTGTCGAAGTCAAGCAACGAGACTGCTGTGAAGCTTGCGGTGACCAGAGGTATGGCCGTTCCCCAAGTCTTACTGTACTTGATCTGTGACATACTCCATGACAGTTGTGCTCAGACTTCTTCTGCCGCGACAAGCTGAAGGCCCTAAGGCCTTCCGACCATTTTACGTCTCGGCCTCTGACGTAGACGTGCTCGTCGAACTCAAACCAGAAGGAAGGGTATGTTCTGCCTTTCTCGTAGCCCCTGAAATGCAACTCAGATATAGCCATGACTAGGACGAAACGGTAGTAACGTTGGGCGTCATGGATGTCACTGTCAAGGAAGTAGCAACATCCGGAGCAACCACCATTCTACTCAGTCGTACACCGGTATTCAACTTAGTAAGGGTCAAGTAACTTACTTGATCCTGAGATGCTGACTAGGGTGCGGATCTAGCTATCTACATCCCGCGTGGCTTTGAAGCTACGGTTCACCTCTCTCATTGTCCCAGAGACCACGGCCAAGGAGTCCAGATTAAGGCTCACATTGTGTGGAATCACTCACAATCTCTATCCCGACTTGGAATGGACGGCTGACCTTGGCAGATTCGTGAAGGCACCTCCAGGCGTAGGTTATGTTAACTCTCTTTGATCTTTCTCAACCAGCATGTCTTATAGGCCTTCGAGTCCGTCGTGCCCAGCGAGCGAACCAAAGTCGCAGTCACCATCATCGACAGCTCCCTACGTTTACTATCACCTTCGCACCCTGGCGCTCTAGTTGCACACATAGGCGAAATGGATTTCTCGACAACGCTTGTAGGCAATTCTGCAGAAACCTCCTTTCATCTCGAAGTGCCCGCTCTCTCGATCTTCCTAGTCGATGATCTATCCGCTGTGTCCGAGCACCTGGATTCTACGCGAAAGGGTCAATCTCATACAACTCCGATTGGTATTGCGTATTGGAAGGTTCGTCCGATGGTCAACCAGAACCGCTTGAGGCTCATGGACGGTCACAGGGTGCAGGCTACGCCCTTCTCGCTGATATTGCAGATTTGGACCTAAAGTTTCTGCAAGTGGACGGCGGTCCTTTGCCGAACACCAGGGTATGTGATTTTTTTATTAGGTATAATCTGTGTGCAAATCCATATCAGGTCACTGTCAGCAGAGGTCGATTGCAAGTGCATTTCTGTGCGGACACGCTGACGGCCTTGACCGGGTTCATCAGCGATCTGACCACTGCATTCCGCCCTAAGCGAGAAGTCGAGTGAGTGATACGAATACATTTTTTGCATCCGAATCTTACGCATAACAGGCAACTTCTGCCGAGGACGAGGAACGAACCCACCAGACTTTCAGAGTCCTCCAGCGAAGGACGAGGCCTCCTAAGTGAATCCGATACTTCATATGTCCTCATTGCGGACCCTAACGAAAACCCTACAGCATCCCTCGATGAAGAGGCTTTCCGACAGCTGCCAGAGGTCGGCTCAGCACCCGATATGATACCTGATGACTTGCCTTCCAACCTAGACTATCTTGACGAGTCATTCGGTGCCGCTGCAGGTCTGCGCGAGTTGGACGACGAATTCGATGAATTCGCCGTTAATGACCCAGCGAGCTCCTCGAGTGCTCGCGCAGACCAGCCAGGCGTCATTTCATCCTATGGCGGAGAAACTATCAAGATGCTGAGTCCTGAAGGATTGCGCATTAATTATGCACATTTCCTGACGATAACTCCAGATTCCGTGGATGGCTCGTCAAGGTGAGCGCTGCCCTGTTAGTTCGTCACCTCCACCCATTGAATGGCGATTTCAGTTATGGCGACACCACATTACGCGTTAGGCTGCATGACTGCGATGTGACGCTCTTTCTGTACGACGGCTATGATTGGGCTCGTACGCGGAGAATCATACAAGACGAGCAGAAGGAGATGAGGAGGAAGCTGGCCAAGATACGCCAGTTGGTCGCTAGCGGCCAGACTCCGGACCCGAGCGTCGAAGAGACGAACACGCTTCTCTTCAACTCCGTGTACATCGGTCTAGAGCACAACGTCGATGAACTCGAGCCCAGCGCGCTCATAGCCGCCATTGACGAGGAGCTCAACGAGGACCAGGATACGGCTAGCCAGAGTTCATGGCAGTCTCTGAAACCGCAACCGCAGTTCACCAACTCTCCAGGAAAGTCACCCGCCCAATCGCATCGAACTCGTCGCAAGCGCCTGAGTCGCTCGAGAGGCCCCAGCATTGAGTTCCGTCTGTTGGGGCTGGACGTCGAGGTCGACAACTACAAGCCTGACGCAGAGCTGGTATCGCGCACACTAGCGACTGTGCGAGACGTGGAGATTTTGGATCATATCAAGACGTCAACATGGCGAAAGTTCTTAACGGCTTTGCGTGAAGACTCACGCGGAAATATCCGCGAAACAGACTCGAACATGGTTCGCGTGGAGCTTCGGTCTGTTCATCCAGTCCCTGGACATCCATCAGAAGAGGCGAGATTGCGTGTATGTAATATCGAGGCTGTCCATCCTCAGGATACTAATGTTTTCCAGGCCAAGATTCTGCCACTAAGGTTGCATGTAGATCAAGACGCACTAGATTTTTTGAAGAAGTTCTTCAGCTTCAGAGATCCGTATAGTGCACCTGCGCAAAGCTCAGAGCCGTCGGATGAGATTTACTTCCGTGAGTTGCTTCTATAAAATGAGCGACATGACATTCCTCATAGACCTTGACGCTCAGAACAAGCGGAAGTCTTTCCGGTCGATATTAAGCTTGACTATAAGCCTCGTCGTGTCGACTACAGAGCTCTGCGCGACGGCAAGACTATCGAGCTTATGAACTTCTTCCACTTCGATGGCGCTGAGATGACCCTTCGTCACATCACGCTGACTGGTGTATGTTCCTCACGTACAACCGCTTAGCAGCCTTGCTAATGACACCCGTGTAGATCACCGGATGGCCAAGGTTCTTCGACCTCTTGAACGATCTATGGACACCGGACGTGAAAGCCACTCAGCTGGTGGATGTCATCTCAGGGGTTTCACCCATCCGCTCGGTCGTCAACGTTGGCTCCGGGGTTGCCGATCTAGTATTGCTACCTATCGCGCAGTACAAGAAAGACGGCCGCGTCGTCCGAGGCCTGCAGAAGGGCGCCACCGCGTTCGTAAAGTCAACGGCAATCGAGGCGATCAAGCTGGGGGCAAAATTGGCGACCGGCACGCAGGTCATCCTGGAGCAGGCGGAGAATGTTATTGGCGGACAATTCAAGGATTCAATTACAGCAGAAGCTCTACAGGCCTCGCCGTTTGCCGAGGAGGCTGAGGAGCCACTGACGGACGACGAGGACATGGGTGACCTGATTAGCAGGTATGCGGAGCAGCCGATGAATGTGCAGGAGGGAATGCAGTCGGCGTACAGGAGCCTGAGGAGAAACTTCAATTCTGCCGCGCAGACAATCCTTGCGGTGCCGATGGAGGTGTATGACCGAGAGGGTAATGAGGTGAGCTGTCTAAGTCATCGTTGAAATGCGTTGCTGAGTTTTGTGCAGGGTCCTGTCCGCGCTGTGGTTCGCGCGGTCCCAATTGCTGTATTGAAACCGATGATTGGCGCGAGTGAGGCCGTCAGCAAGACCCTATTGGGATTGCACAACACACTGGACCCCAACGCTCGTCACGAGAACGAGGCGAAGTACAAGCAGAGATAATACCTGTATTCCATAGCGCAAGACTCGTGTACCCCTATTTCCGGGAGCATCTGTACCACTAACATTACACATATCTGCATCATCATACAATGTAACATGTACATTATATTCGTAGCATGCCAAACGTAGAGAAAAACAAGGGTTTACCCGCACTATATGAGGGAACTTGACCAGGCAGAATGGGGGAAACGAAGACGAGGAGGGTGCGAAGGCTCAGTCGATGTCCATGCCCATCGAACGGCCCTCGCCAGGAATAAGAGCACTCCGTGACTTTGCGGACACCTTGATCTTTTCCCGTACCTTCTCCCTCTCCGGTGACTCCACCGCCATGGGCTCGACCAGCCTGATAGACGTTGCCTTTGCCTCCTTTGCTTCCAGCTTCTTCCTCCGTGATGCCTTGAGCTTCTCCCTGCTGGCGGCCATCCTATATCGACAATAAGACAACATTTCGAACAGGGTTGTAACCGATGCGCACCTGTTTTTCCAGAAGGCATGCTCTCTCCGCTGCTTGATCTCCGAAATCCGCTTCATCGCCTTGACCGTCGTCTGCACCAGCTCGCGGTCGTAGCGTACAGGCACATTTCTACGCTTCTCAAACTCGATCGTCGAGTCCTGATGGAGATGTGAACTGGCGGGACAGGGCATAGACGATGAAAACGTACGATGGTCATCTCCTTCCCTGCGGCCTTACGGAATGCCTTCGTCCATCGTACTTTTCTCGGGTTCCGCTTCATTCTGTAGACCAACCATGTTAGGAGTGCACGAAGCACAATATCTTGCACACTTACTTGAAGTTTTTGTGACATCTTATAACAGGAGTTAGCACTCGCCCTGCCGGTCTACCACACGCTTACTCACTTTGATGTGCAGAAACGGAAGACTTTTGCGTCATTTCTCACAAAGGCAGTTCCTGTTGTGGTGTTAGTGCGTAAGAGTGCCGTCCCACCTTTGCGAGTAACGTACCATGTCCGGGGTATACGCTCTTCGAGCAGAAGTAGCACTTGTCGATACGCATGGTGCAGAAATGGATCAGAAGATTTTGGCGCCCATGTACCGTGCCGGTGCAGCAATTCTCGGAACGCCCATACGTCCAAACAGTGCCAAATAACATGTCTTGGACGCGTCACGCGCGGCTTGCTCTCTCGCAACCACCACCAATACACGTCCCTGAACGCACTTACTAGAGGGTATACACGGTGTGTCTGGCGTGATCGCAACACAACAAGACTGCAAGGACAATTGCCTCAAAAGCGACGTGCGACAAGTTGTACGATCGTCAAGTTGCCAGCAAAAATCACAAGCATCTAACGCAATGTTCGACATTAACAAGCTTTATGGTTATCAGAGTGACGACGTGTGACTATGCGTGTGTCGAGGGCTTAACTATTTCTACAGGAAGAATTATAGTGTGATACGAATTGCGGAAAGAGGGACGCGGAATGCAAGACATTACACAAGAGCAAGATTAGCAAAATAGAAGGACGAAAGTGCAAATAGCGAGAGCGACAACCAGCAACAGAGGAATAGGGTTTCACTTTAGCAAGTCAACAACTGGCGGCACCAGTTTCTTGACGATGTGAATTTGCTGGCAACGCAGACGCACCGCGAAAGCCAAGTCCTGTGTGAATGGTCAGATGAAGACCAAGACTGCGGACAACAAGCAACGCACGACAATTAGCGTCGAGAGCCTACGCCGACCTTGCACGGGCGACCCGCAATATCCATGTACCGCCAGCTCGAGATTCAACATGTCTGCATCGTGCCCACTAGGCTGCACAACATCATCATTTAGCACATATCAAGCGCGAAGTCGTATCACGCACCGCAAGGAGCACGGGCTCGTCCTCATAGTGATAGTCCACCGTTTGCTGCTCAATGACACGTGTGAGATACCACCTTTCCACGAAAATGCGTCTGTACCATCAGCGGATCGTACCAACGCTCGGGCGGGCGCGGATACGGATGGTACCGCCGCATGTAGCTCTCGCGGTATGCAGGCAAGCGCATCGTGTCGACCTCGTTGATCTGGGCGAGAACGGAGGAAATAGAGGGATAGGACGCCTGCGGCGTGATGAGTGTGCCGTTCATCGCACGCCTAGCAGAGAGAGGGAGAATGTTGAAGGCCAATGTGGGGCGAGGGTGATTGGGAGAGAAAATGAGGAAAACGGTCGCGAATTTCCGCAACACTGCGCATTCTTAAAGACGGCTTTGGAGAAGCGACGGGGTTTACAAAAAAGGGACGTGTCGCACCAGGCCGCCAGGTCTGGGTGTAACCCCATGCGCGGGCGCGTCGAGCCAATTTACACATACCCCGCAACGCGTGCGGCCTCAGTTTGCTTCCGCAAACACTACCTCTGGATCACCCCGGATTCGTGCATGTGGGGCTCAGCAATCGCTATCGCTCGACCAATGAACCGCATATAGAAGACAGCCTGCACTGCCGCATGCTGAGATAGAGCGCAATGGCCCTTGTTTATGTGGCAGTCCAATGACTTTCCTTTTTCCCTCCACAACTGGTCAAGATCAATTTCTTGTTGGGCCCGCACCCTACGTGCATCTCTCAGACTCTGAGACGGAACCCAAAAAACGCGTGGAGTGCAGACCATCAAACGACGCATTCTGTCTTGTCTCTCGTATCTGGATGGGAATCGCTCATCGTGAAGCCTGAAACCATACACACGGCTGCACCTAGTCGGAAATGCAGCATGGAACACAGAGCATCCAGAACGGACTAAACGAACCCCGTGTTGTATATTCACCAGACGACACCGATGGCGTATAGCACAACACCCTTCTTGAGCTGACAGCGTCCGTGTTCCCTTGACTGCTTTATCTCGTCGACTGACAGCCATATGACAGAGATAATGTGAGACGTTCACAGACCCCAGGCTACAAACTGGAGACTTCTCGTCGTCAGCCCCCTCTTCAACAGTGTCACATAAGCGTGACCCGCGGTCACACCGTCACTCGGCGAGCCGATACGAAAAGGTGAGCCCGAGACCAGGCAAGTTGCATGCGTCTTCGATGAGAGGGTTACATTGGATCATGACGGGCTGCTTGCATAGAGCAATACAAGACGGGGAGGCTATTTACCCAACCTCTCGTTGCATTCGCTTTGCACAGATCACGAGTACCACTGCTGGGGTGGCACAAAGGCACAACCCTCACTGGCGACGCAAGTGTCCCGCACCCCAGTGCATCAAGTACAGCATGCAGCATAACGTGGTATGAAAACCACGACTTCCGATAAGAAAGGGACGCAGCGTAAAACACGTACCCTGCGTGCCGAAGCAACGACCAGACATCCCTGCGCCCTGGGTTTCATGCCGTCCAAGCTCAATAACCCAGGCGGACGTCCAAAGATATCCCTTCATTAGGCCACTTCTGTCCTCTTGTCAAAAGCGTCATGATGAGAGCATTTGCAAGGCCGCGTCCGTGTCGTACTCGAATGGATTCGCCGTCTGAAGACTCCCGAAAGCCGAAACAGTAAGCAGCAGGACGGCCAGAAAACCACAGCATGTCCTCAGAGCTAGCAGGACGTTGACAGCTGTTAGCAGAGCTGGCCAGAATCGTCTGAAACAACGGAAGAAGTGTGTGGGGTTGGCCGTCCAAACAAGTCGCCGCAAAGGGAGGCCGCCGCCCCCACGCTAGTGTAGGGTAAATAATTCATCGGTGTGTAAATTACCGTTTTTTACAGACCCAGGTTTTGGGACCCCGTTTTTTACATGGTAAAAAATGTAAATTACAGTAAATCACGGGACTATTTGCGCTTCGGCACGTGACACCCTCCGGTATGTAAAATACAGTAAAAAATGGTAGAAGAAGGTAAAGATATGTTAAAAAAAGCTCTAGGGAACATTCATATCGCACGCAAGGGCAGAAAGAGTATCTAGCATATGCTACAGACTACCTACACATCCTAATTGAACTCCCATAACATCTTGCCAAGTTGCCGTCTTCTGCCTCATTTACATTTACTAGCTCCTCCTAAATATCCATGCAGCCGCTGTGGCTTCAAGTTCCCAGCCCTAGATGATGGGGGCGATTGTAATGGGCGAGATGAAGAGCGTGAGCCGTTATGATGAGAGAGGACCGAGAGGTTCGCGAACAACAGGGGCAGAGGCCCGAATACTGGTGTTGGCTCGACAAAGAGATACAAGAGGTGTTCGAACCATTCTAAGAGATTCTAAGTACCTACGGCTAGATCCGAGACAGCGCGGCTAAGTCCGAAAAGGTGAGTCAGAACTTGTACTACGTTCGAGCAGAGTCCGTTGATATCTACAGAGACTGTGTATAAGTACGTAGACTATAAAGATACAAAGAGTAGCGCACTGAAGCAGTGTTGACAAAATAATAGTCCGGGGTGCAAGGCATTGGCCCAATTGGCAGCTGAACGTGGGTACCCAACACGTGACAGACCCTTATTTACCTTATTTACACCTCTATTCAGATAGCCCTGTAAAAAAGTGTAAATTACTTGTAAATTACCTGTAAAAAAGTACGGTGTAATTTACACTGATTTATTTGCCTTACACTACCCCACGCCGACCGATCCTCGGCCAGCGATCGAGGCGTGACTGCCTAGTGATTCCGGATTTCAGCTGCAACTAAATACTCTCTCAGAAATCCTAAAATAGCAAGCTATCGAGCGAGGACAGCTGCAAGAAACACTCGATTCTAGACCTCATTTTCTCTGCAGTCGTCAGGGATTTGCAGCACACTGGCACTACTAGGCAATCACGATTACCAACCCATATCTACTCAAGCTCATATATAGAAACACTGATAACCGAACCTTGGGAACGTCTTTGGCAAAGTAGTTGGAAGGGGCGGAAGACTTGTGTGGTCGTACCTACGTTTCTTCCTTCTCAGTCGATGGTTTTCCGCTAATCACAAGTTTTTAGAACTTGATGGTGTACTGCTCACACACCCTAGCCATTAAATCGTCTCGATCGTGTTCCCTTTGCAATGACAGGATCCATGGATACGGCGCGGTCGGTATCCTTTCTGATCATCTTCGACTAACAAATTTGGGTTTGTGATAGATACAGTGACACAGCTGGTAGAAGCAGGCTGTCGTGTTACTCTCACGAACCTTTGCACGATGCTTCTGCAGTGCCATTAAATGACTTTCGTAACTTGCGTCGCTTAGAAAGTATTGTCTGGAGGACATCGACTCCTTACCCGAACATCGATCACCGTGCGTACCCAGTGGCGGGTTTTTATGCTCACGATAGACTGACAAATATCCATACTGAGGTTATGAACCAACTGTATCAGGTAAAGTATACGGTTTGAGCGGCCTTCCACAATCAGAGTCCGAAGTCGTGTTTAGTCATGTGTACGTCCTCAATCGCCGGTGAATGCACCCGACTGCTAGTATCCGATGGACAAGCTTACATACGCTGCACACAACATTACGATTCGACAACATAGTTCTCGATGCCTCATCTTGTCGGATTGTATTGAGCTTTCAGTCACATTAAACAGAGCACCGTGCCACACAAGCCGAACGAAGGCGTCAAGTGCTTCCAGGTCTCACTACCTCAACCATGTCGCACCCAAAGGCAGCAGCTCATCTGCCCCACTTTGCATCCGCCTACACGAATATGTGGTGGAGGGGCAGTGGTTGTCCTGAACTTGTCCTGGACGTACCGTCATTGTACACGGCTCGTCTTAAAAAGACACAAAGACGCTACGCGCGCTTGCTGTATACCACAGCTAATTGTCGAAGCGACCCGCTTCGCACAATGCCTCTACCACGAGTGCTATGAGACGAATCCAAGAGGTATCGCCGTAAGGCAAACACCAAAGGTTCTTCCTTGACCTCAGGGAACATATGACCACTAGGCGACAGCCCTGGGCATCGGGCTTGGTGCGCCCGGTCGACCCTGTCGCGAACAGCAGTAATTGCTTGTCCTTCGACAAGCATTTTGCTTCAAGAATGGGGGCTTATATCCTGGCTGAAACCCACTCGCCGACGATCAGACTGTTGTCCTTAGAGGCCGACGGTATGCGAGCGACCAAGAGTCATTGATTGTCATGCATGGCATGCCGCTTGAAGACGATGATGTGTGGCCTGGTGAAGCCATCGAGCATTGAGCACTTACGGCGAGGCACCTACCATTCCATCTGATTGCTATAGCGATGTAGTTGAGACACCATTCACAGTGCAGTCGCAATGACAGACGCATGGAGCAACGAATTAGTGGTCCATGTTTGGAACAAAACAAACTATGCTACAAATCCTACAGAACGAACATGTACACTAAAGTGAATGTGAGTTGCAGCCAGGCGCAGTAAATCCCGAAAAAAAGAAAACACTAAATGACACGTAAAGCGAGACACCGTTGAGTAAACCTGAAGAGATATACCCCTAAAAAGCACGACAATAGCTCAATCTTCTGTTGAGCCAACGCTCCGCCTGTTTTTGTTCGAGACCTGAGCTAAGTCGCTCGGCAGTGCAGCCAACAGAGACGCCCTGCTTTCATGTGTCCCCTTCCATCAATGAGGAAGGCTTGGAGGAGGCCCGAGCAGTCTGGAGGCGGCGGCGAACGGCTAACGCTAAATCCTGCGGAGGTATCAATTGTGACGATAGGCCCTAAGAAAATGCACAGGGCGTACGATGACTAAAGTGGTGAGACTACCACGACGCTTGACCGCAGGATTAGAGGAAGTGCCGTGCACAGCACACTCGAGGTTTGTGATGTCTTCATCCTCGTGAGTTGCCTCAAGAATGGCGGGCTGTTCAACGACGACAACGCCGGCAACGTGTGAGCAGTGTAGCGCAGCAGAAATATAGCGAGTGACTCACCAGGGGGATGTTGAAATCTACGATGGTGATTTCCTCCTCGTAACGTAAGTCAATAGTCTCCTACGAAAATAGGTGGTCACCACAACAGCTGGAAATGAATCTCGTGAATCCTACCATCAAGTCGGCTCGAGGAGCATACCGCCCTGTCATGGGATACGGGTGATGACGCCGCAGATGGCTCTCGCGGTAGGACGGCAACCGCAGATTAGTGCTCATATTTGATACTGGCGAGGCTGGTGTATGCCGTAGGGTAACCGAGAAAGAGAAATAACGTGTATTGGATGGGAGCGTCGATACAGGTGACAGGAGCTCGAAAATGAGGGCAGAAATTTGCGGATGCCAGCGGGGCGAAGGTGGTGGTGGGTGAAGGGAAAAAAGGAGGAATATTCTAACGACGAACCATTTATACGGTGAGATTGGGTGAGAAGCGGTGTTTTCCTCAAGAGGACGTAAAGGACGCGCCGCATCAAGCTGCGAGGCTGCCGAGTCTGATAGACGCGACCACAATGGATTGACCCCTCCCGTGCCTAGACCGCTCGCCTTTGCTTCCGCGAACGCTGCTTCGGCAAGCAGACACCTCGCACAGCGCACAGGGTGTTCCTCGTGCATAGGTAGAGCCTGAGTTGCACTCCTAGCATTCAATGCGATAGCTTGCAGGGTGTGATTGACCATTCGAAAGCATGCACTTCGGTCATAGTCTGAACCCTTTTCGAAAGGCCTAGCTATCAGGAGTGTGAAACATGTTCATGTGCAGCAGGCGACGGATAGCAAAAGGATGGCTGCGACGAAGGACTGGTGGCAAGAGCTATCGGAGAGCAGAATGCAGTCGCAATACCGCGAAGGTCAACACCGCGAGGGTCAACACAGCAATTATATCAGTCCTATCATAATGTGAGCACAACGTATTTCCACATATTATTTTGCACATAAATGATATCCCGTAGAGCTGCTCTATGTACCCAGATGCCCAGCGGCCGCCTTAAAAGTCTAGGCGAACGGCAGGCAGCCATCAGTGGCGTGACGTCGGCGTCACTATGTCACATGGGACGTGACGCGGGCGGGTGGCTTAATTAGGCGAGTGTCCGCCACATCGACCGCACCCGAACGGTCTGAATGATCATAACAGATGAACGTAGCTTCATACTAGCAAACATCGTAATGCATGATAGTACAAAGAACAATCGTCCCGCCGCGATTCGCTGTCGCGAGCACGTCAGCGGGCGAGTTGCCACAGTCGTCGCGGAAGGCAAAATCACCATCCAGCCCTCTGACATGAAAAATGGTCACAGGAAGCAAGTCTACGTCCCCATATTACTCCCACGTGAGGCGACAAGGTGTATACGTAAGTATTACAAGACGTACCGCAGATGTGTGCTCAGCAAATTTTGCTGCACACGAGCCGCAACGACCTGCATGCTGGTTGACCAATGCGATGATAGCGGTCAAAAAAACAGCCCCTCCCCACATAGCATGCCTCAAAAGTCTGCTGTGCCTATAGACCAAAGATGATTCAGCCCAGTAAGCCGTGCCCGCTGGTGACCACCATGGATCATCGCCTGGTCCTGGTCTCTTAATGGCTTGGTCCCACCGTAATGACACAAGGTGGTATCGTGGGGGGCTGGTTCAAGGAAAGTGTCTTTTTGAGACCAACTTTTGACATCGAGAACAGAATTGGTATCTGTGCGATCTTTGAGTTTACTATCAATTTGCGTCGAATCGCAGAAATACATTGTGACGAAGAGAAGCTCGCTTACGGTCTTGAACGTCAGCCTCAGCCACGTCGGCTCGTTGTCGACAGCAAGACAGCACAGCGTGGGCGATGAAGACGGCAGCGAGGACAAGCCAGTAGCCGACGCCGGTCTTCAGATATCATCCGCACAACTCCGAACTGGGAACTGAGTTTGTGGAAGTTTGTGGGCTGTGGCCGGCCACCTGGCTCGGCCTCTCGACTGCAAGCTACGAAGTCAACAATCCCTACATTGACCTGTCCTCGGATGTCGCAACCTTCTCTCCATCACTGCGAGATTAGAAGACAAATCATGGTGGACGGCCTACCTGCGGATTATCTTGAAATCAGTCTTCCTGTTCCGACTGGCACCCATCGTACCCTCCCTTATTTTTAACATCCGGCTCGATACTTGCTTCCGCCTACCTAAATTCTTTTAGCACTGTGCGCTCTATGGCGAGCCAAGGTGCAATGACAGCTGCAGCAATACGCTCCCAAGTCGACGGTCTTCTAGGGAACCACCTTCGTCCAACAACGTCAGCGCTGCTTTTGTCTGCTTATCTAGGTCATATTATGCTCGAAGGAACTACTCAAGCACAGCTAAATGCATCTCTCGGTCAATACAGCCCCATCCAGTTGTCGACGGTAGTATTGGTCGCTGTTGTCAATTGCAAACACCGATGCCACACCGCGACCCCTACCGATGCGGTGTCCAGTCCCTCACCTATTACATATGGTCCACATCGCAGTCTCGCAGTCTCGCCGAATTTACAGGGTCTGTCTACTCTAGTAGTTGACGACTACGATCACCATCACTTGCCGCCACCTATGGCCCCATCCGTCTGCAGAACGGCCGGCCATGTAACCCCTACGATCCGCGATGCCAGATAAGCACTTGAACCTGTACTTCTAACACGCATTTGATCAACAACCCAATACGTCGGATGTGATCTGTGGAACGGGATTGTGATTTCAGGAAAGCTGCTAGTCGTTCCATGGTGAGTTAATCACTGATCACTTCTGCGACCGAGACCAGAAGTCGAGTATCCAGCGTCTTGGGCTGGTATTGACGATCATACTAAAGCGCGCCCAAGCCATCCACAGTGGACTGATGCCTGCCGTCGGATTTGTCGCGGTATCACCGACCTCCGTTTGGCGGTGTCTTTGACTTGGGTATGCAGACGTGAGGTGCGCTTATCAATTGCTACGATGGTTATTCGACGACCGGTCTTTGAAGCTTGGACAAGGGCATGTGCGTATTTGAGTACTGTTCTCACGTCAGATCGGGGCGTGAGCTGTCTTGTGTGGGCCCTCATGCACTTCTACTCACTTCCCGAACAAATCGCCTATCTCCGCTCGCCGGTCTGCCGGTCTTCTTCGCCGTACAATGTCCATTTTGTAGGCTCATAGCTGCTATTTACGCAATGCATCTCTTGTTTAACATATGAAACTAGTGGCACCGTTAGCTGTGGGACTTTAAATCCAACGTATTGACTTGGACTCCTGAATTTCGTGAAGTCGAACTATGTGCATATCTGATGATGCCCTTTTGACAGCTGACAAGGCTTGAAGGATCTTGAAAGCATGAAACGCGCATGAGAGTCCGCCAGGTTAGGGTGGCTTCCTATTCGATGGTGGCCATCCGTCCCGATGCTCTCAAACAAGAAGATGGACCGCCTGATAATGTCTTCATTCCTTCCTTCAGGTTCTTGTCCATACGCACTATTCGTAACCCCAGAACATTTTCTGATTGCGGCGCCTCGCTTCCATCATTGCAGTCGCAGGAAATAACAGTAACTAGCTGTGCAGCTCAAATACGTTCATTATACAGTAGCGTCATGTCGCTTCACTTTGTGCGAAGGCCGAGGCGTATCACAATGGTAGCCCCACTTCCTTAGTCTCCACGCCGCCGTGCACAACACGATGAGAGACGCATCTGTAGGTATTCTAGTCTAAGGACATCGATGTGTGGTGTCTGAATACGTTTGAACTGGCTCACGTTCTGAGGACTAGTGGCCTCGTCGAGCCACTTCAAGACATTCGTTTTCGAGACCTTTTACCCAGATGACCTTGATTCCTGCGGTATTCAACCTCTGCGCGCCCTCACACTTTACGAAGTCATCCGGCTCGCCTACTCCAATGAAGCACCTGCATATGTTGGCAGCAATGATAGCGTTTGCGCAAGGAGACAATCCCGATGTGCGTACAGAGCACGGCTCCATGGTTGTATAAATGTCCGCATGGGTCAGAAGTTCGTCGACGCTGATCTCCGGAGGGGAGGAAGGGAAGAGCTGATGGAGTTTTTCTTGCGATAGTTGGCGTGCTTTGGTCAGGGCGTTTGCCTCAGCGTGGGTGTTCCCAGGAAGCTCGCGCGAATAACCGCGAGCAAGAATGACTGGTCGTTCAGACTCTATCAGATGGGCCGTGATGACACAACCAACGCAGAAGGCTGTTGGTGTCGGTTCACATTTCCGTGCTTCGGCCAAAGCTAGCCGTAGAAAGTCCAAGTGTATGTCAGAGTCCGGGAGCATCGTTGACGTTATGCAGTAAGAGATCGATCGAAATAAATGTTGGCGTTTAGCGGGATAGTCATGTTTGATTAATTTTGTCTTCCAACCTAGTGTATATTGAATGCCACTCGCAACAATATTGAATTTTGGCATTGAGTATTTCAAAGTCCGATTATAAGCTAGATTACAAGAGCCATTATACTTTCAAGTTGGATCTAGATTCCTCAGCGCGCTGAACCCCGACCACAACTTCGAGGGGCTCCTGGTTTCGTCTCGTTTCTTGCGCGTCCCTCACGATGTCGTCTCCAATTGGCGATCCGGCTACTGCCAACCATATCGAAGGTGACGATCCAATGCAGGGCTCTGGCCAGGAAAATGAAGGCAACGAGGTGGCTGGAGTCGTGTCTGACGATAGTTCGGAGGAGCCCGAGGAGGATGAGGAGGAGATGAGGCGGATTCGCGAGGGTTTCATCGTAGATGAAGATGAAGACGAGGATGATGCAGAGGACGAGGAAGAGGAGAGGCGAAGGCGACGGAAACGTCGGAAAAAGCACCACAGGAGGCGTACGTGCATTGCTTTCCAACTCCAAGTTAGTATCACTGACCCCAGCGCTCTTTCCACAGACCGTGAGGAGGAAGAGGCCCTCGAAGAGGACGACTTGGAACTTCTTGAAGAGAATACTGGTGCCTCTTTCTCTCGTAATCGTTTGACTCGTCTGCGCCGCGCCCGGGATTCCGACTCGCCTCCCGCTCCATCTTCCTCGAAACGTAAAGCCGTTGTCGAATCGTCAGATGACGACCTCGACAACGATGATTTGGACCTGCCCCAGGTGCAGGACATCCAAAACATTTGGGATGACGAGAGGAACGCAGGAGGTAGGGATGATGAGGACGACGGAGATGATGATATGGACAACTTCATCGAGTACGAGGATGAGGAGGAAACGGGTGGCGCGATGGACGAAGATGAGCGCGAGGAGCGCAGAAGGGAGAGGAGACGGCTGGAGAAGGCGCGACGCAAGGCAATGAGTCGGCCAGAGCTTGCCGGCATAGACGCGAAGTGAGTGACACACACATTGCACTTATATGGTTTCTGACATCTCGTAGTGCTTGGGAAGAGATTCACGAGGTATTCGGTGACGGCCATGACTTCGACTGGGCACTCGCGGACGATGAAGAGACAGGATTTGAGGAAGAGCAACAAAAGCCGGAGATGAAGTACCAGGATGTAGGTGCTCTTCCACTTAAACGAGATTCAGTGGACTCACGATCGCATTAGGTCTTCGAGCCTTCTGAGATCCGTGCACGCATGCTCACGGAGGACGACGATTTGATCCGCGCACAAGACATACCTGAGAGGATGCAGCTAGCGACCTCTGCATTGTCCACATCATCGTCGTTGTCTCTACACAAACCCTTGACAGAGAACAACCTGGATGATGCTTCTCAATGGGTCCTCATGCGTCTATCTTCTCGCAAGGAGCGCGATTTTTTCCGCGCGGACGGGGTTTATCACAGATACCTCCAAGACCTTGTTCAGGCGATATCCTACGCACTCCGCTTCCTATTTATCCAGGAGTTGGAGGTGCCGCATATCTGGACGCACAAACGTGATTACATTTCGTATTTCAACCCACAAGACTTGCGAACACGCGTGGAGCTGCTGACCCTGGACGAGCTCTGGCGCGTGTATTCGGTCGGACAGAAGTTTCGTTCGCTGCTCGAGCGGCGCGAGGCTTTGGACTCGCTATACACTCGGTTGGGCACGACAGATGAATATTTCGAGAACGAGGTCCGAAGACGCGTCGAAAGCGTTGAGATGGTTGCGGATGCCACAGAGTGGCTGAGTCTCAAGTACAGAGGAGACAGAGGAGACCAAAAGAAACAAGTCGCGCTTCAGTTCCACGACGACGAGGAGCATGTTGACGTCAAAAAGCACAAGATGCCCTCTAGGATATCTGCTTATGAACTGGCCAAAGGCAGTCCCGCAAAAGGCTTGGCAAAGGTCAGTACATCCTTTCCGATTGGTGCAAAGTCTTCATATCTGACTTTTACTCAGCGTTTCGGCATTGAACCTCACGAAATCGTTTTGAATTTTATTAACGGACAAAATTCGCATTTTGTCGAGGAAGCGGAGCTAAACCCACTCGCTCTTGCTGAGCAGTACCTCGATGACGGTATACCGTCAGCGCAGGATGCTCTCATACGAGCGCGAATGATTTTGGCAACAGAACTAGGCAAGGATCCTCTTCTGAGACACGAAATTCGCAACGTGTTCAAGTCCAACGCACTCGTTTCTGTCCTGCCGACAGAGCGTGGTATAAATAAGATTGACGAACACAACCCGTTCTTTGTACGTCAATCATATCAAAGTGTACGACAGAAGCTGACGTTCAAATACAGAACTTCAAGTACATGCTTAACAAACGGGCTTCAGACATGTTACACTCCGCTCAATTTTTGCATATCCTCCAAGCAGAGTCCCAGCATCTGATCACTGTCTCGATCATCCTGCCAGCAGAGGCAAAGGCCGCATTTGAGAGGAGATTGAATGATGCTTTCGCGTCGGATAGCTTCAGCGATTCAGCCCGAGCATGGAACGAAGAACGCGCCCGTGTAGTACAGGAGACGCTCGAACAACATCTGCTTCCGATAGGTGTTAAGTGGACGAGGGAGTGGATCAGGGAGGATGCCGAAGAGTTCCTCGCTGAGCTGTGTGCACAGACCCTGCGGGAGGTTAGCACTGCATCTGTCTTATTTTCGTGAACTCCTCGGACCTGATGTCATGTTTCACAGCGGATCGATGTTGCTCCATACACCTCACCCGATATGCAGCCCGGAGAAACACCTTCCGTGCTTGCCATGTCATGGGGTAAGGGCGAACCGCGCAAGGACACTATTAGCGTAGTGTTCATGGACGAAGCTGGCCGGCTGCGTGAGCATACGCGGTTGGATAATCTCGTCGACCAAGAGAACAAGGACGAATTTGTCGACATGGTCAAGCGGCGGCGACCTGATGTCATTGTCATTGGTGGCTTCAGCATCTCTACTACCCGGCTCTCTCAGCAGGTGAAGCAATTACTCAAGGCACCTAATGGCGACGATATTCGGCCAGAGGATGAGCTCACTATCCCGGTCACATATGTGTTTGATGAGGTTGCGCGGATATACCAACATAGCAAACGCGCGGACGAAGAGTTCAGTGCACTTACACCTCTTGCCAAATACTGTGTCGGTCTGGCGCGATACGCACAAAGCCCTCTGAACGAGTACGCCGCACTTGGAACCGACATCAAAGCGATCACTTTCGACGAAGACAACCAGAACCTCGTACGTCAACATCGTTTCTGTCAGTAGCTGCTTGTTCACGTGGTCACGTAGATTCCTGCAGAGAAGCTGCTGTCTGCCTTCGAACGGGTGTTGGTGGACATTACTAACAAGGTCGGGGTGGACATCAACCGCGCCGTCACCGATTCGTACTATCAGCATCTTCTCCCGTTAGTCTGCGGTCTGGGCCCCCGAAAGGCTCAGATGCTCGTCAGAAAGATCGCCTCTCTGGTTGGTCGTTTTTGGGACCTTCACTAAATATGGTCCTAATCTTTCTATAGGGTGGCAATCTCATCAACCGAGACCAATTCATCAAGAACGGGCTTCTTACGACGAAGATATTCCTTAATGCGGCCGGTTTCCTCCGCATTCTGCAGGATTCACAGTCGAAGGTTACCAAGAGCCGCCATAATGAAGATGCTGATGTGCCCGATCCTCTGGATAATACTCGCATTCACCCAGAGGACTATGAGTTGGGACGGAAGATGGCGACTGACGCGCTTGAGCTCGACGAGGAAGACATCCACGATGAGCACCCCTCGCATGTCGTCTCGCAGATCATGACAGACGATGAGAACGATAAGAAGCTGGACGAGCTCAATCTCGATGACTTCGCTGTCAACATGTATGAGACAAATCAGGACAAGAAGCGGCATACGCTTAACATAATCCGCGCCGAACTCCTGCGGCCATTTGGGGAGCAGCGCGTCTCGTTTACGACTCCAGGTCCATGGGAGGTGTTAACAATGCTGACGGGTGAAACACCCCGTACGCTGCGTGTCGGACTTATCATCTCCGTCCTCGTCGCTGCTGTCAAGAATAGCTTTGTCTCCGTGCGCCTCGATTCTGGAGTCGACGGTGTCATCAACGCGCCGTATCTCACGGACACACAAGCGTCCCCGAACCAGGTTGTGAAAAAGGGCCAGACACTCCAGGGTGTGATTATCGATGTCAAGCTTGACTTGCCGACAGATACGTTTTGGGTAGAGCTGTCCTCGCGGCCTGGAGATGTTGGTGCCGGCGACAGTCAGTTCCGCCGTGTAAAGCACGACGAGGCTTGGAATCACGCACAGTACGACCGCGACATGGAGATCCAGGCGCGGAAGAAGCGTGCGGAGGTGGACAAGACGCGTCGTGTCATCAAACATCCGAACTTCCACAATTTCAACGCGCAGCAGGCGGAGCAGTTCCTAGAGTCGCAGCAGCGCGGTGATGTAGTGATTCGGCCGTCGTCTAAAGGCGCGGATCATCTTGCGGTGACGTGGAAGGTCGACGACAAGCTTTACCAGCATCTCGGTATGTTAAAATCTCTACTTGCTTCATACTGAGGGCTAAGATTCAATTACAGACGTTGTTGAGCCGAATGCAGACCCCACTGGACAGACCGTCGGCGGCAAGCTTATCGTTGACAACACTCACCAGTACTCCGATCTTGATGAATTGATTGTCAACCACGTTCAGGCTATGGCCCGCAAAGTAGAAGAACTGATGGCGCACGAGAAATTTAAGCATGGGAAGGAGGATGATCTACGTATGAAGTTGATTTGCTGGCTATTCTCTGTTCTGACAGTACTTTATAGACATCTTTCTCAAGAACTTCGTGGCAGCAAACCCAGCTAAAAGCGCGTATGGCTTCACACTCCACCGGAAACGCCCGGGCCACTTCAACCTCTGCTTCTTAGCCAACAAAAATTCGACGGTGCAGACCTGGGTGAGTTAACTAGATGTAAACAAGTGTCGATGTGTCGATGTCCTGACTTCTCCTATAGCCAGTGAGGGTGACCCCTGAGGCATACTACCTCTTCGACACACCAGCCACCGGCGTGTCTGAGTTGTGTGATGCGTTCAAAGTCAGACACATGCACGAGTCAAAGAATCTCGGCGGTGGTCTTGGGGCCAAGACGCCTTTCGGAGCTCGCACGCCCGCGAGGACGCCAGCACCAGGGCACGTAACTCCCGGGCAAATGTCGGTACGACAAGTCGGCCGGACACCAAACCCGTACAGCGGGCAGGGCAGCGTACCTCCCGCGACAGGCTTTGGTGGCGCAACGCCAGCACCTCCGTCTTTCGCAACGCCAGCGATGCCTTACGGTACATCATCGTACGGTAGTGCACCTCCACCAAACCTCGGAGGCTGGCAGACACCTGGCTTCGGGGTACAACCACAACCTCCTGCTGGGCCGCCCGGCGTTCATCCTGCTCGCGCTGCAATGATCCAGCAGTCGGAGGGAGGATGGACCTCACAAAGCGGATGGTAGCGAGAATAGATCTGTCTGGGATTGTTTCGCATTGCTTTCCATGTATTGATCGATCGACGGCATTACTCTGTCATTTGCATGCTATTGTAGCCCATATGTACACCACACCATAATTTACTCGCATATACCTTCTCAGCGTACTATTGCTTATGTGAGTGACGTCACTCTGGCTGCGCCTAAGCCCACAGCCACAGCCCAGCCACTAGTCGGCAGATCGCATAGGCTTGCAACATATCACAACACGCACCCTCAGCACCGTACACTCACTGGCTTGACTCTGCAATGGACGAGATTGAACTAAATGACCTCTCGACGGACCGTCAGAGCCAACACTCAATAGCCCCTTCAGCACCTGGGCCAGCCTCAGAGAGCGTGTCATCCTGGGCCTGGTCAGCGGCTGCAGTGTGCGTAGAAACATGAGTATTGCACCAGCTACGATAATACTCACGACACCACATAGATTGGTGATTGCATCAACACCATTGCTGCTATTCCCTCGATTCCTTTTATTCCTAGCAGAAAGCAATGGAGCTGAGCGACGAACGACTCTCACCGCGCTTGAGTCGTTCCTCGCACTGCACACAGGCATTCTCTTGGTCGCAATGGCGATTGCCCTCGTTCTTAACGTAAGTGTTCGCTAAAGCTCCTAGACTTTTGCCTTCGTTCAGCCAGGCAAATTATCTACAGATTCCCTCTACTTCAGATCTTCCGGTCGACATGAAGCAGCCTCGGGCACCTGGACATCCTCTCCTGTGGCCCCTTTCTGGAGCCTGCGCCATCATTGCACTCATCTCATATAATACGGCATCAGTCGGACCGCTATCGCTGCTCTTGTCTACCGGCGCAGGCGTCATAGCGCTGTGGGGCTTCTGGGCGGTGAGGACGCATTTATTCCCATTAAAACCTAATTATGACGAGCGGGCACACCTCCCAGATCATGTTCGAGAGCTCCTCCTCCATCTCAAAGAAGACTGGGGCAGACAAGCATACATCGCGGTTTCTATTTTGGAACAAAGCCGCAGCATCCGCACAGAAGAAACAATGGAAGAAGGCACAAGCAGAGCGCAAGCAGCAATAGCCTCATAAAAGCATTTAAGCAGGCTAGTGCTTCATCGCAGTGTTATTTATGTAAAATATGGTGCCCCTCTGGGATTGATTTCCTGGCATGGTGCCCCAGGTCGTTGGGCTGTTAGAAAGATTACAATGTAAACAAGGATAGCAATGGTTGACTGCAGTTACAATAAATGTGAGGGCAAGATGTGCGTAACCTCACTCTAGATGGGGGTATCATCTCAAATGCTTGACTTCATGTACAAATATTGTCCGTGTGGATTCACCGTGCCACCCTCGGTTACTGCTTGCAGTGACCAGAAACCTTGCGGCAGGGTCGACGACTGTAGCTGCAGTATAAACGACGACACCCATCCACATAAAGGCACCACTTACGCATTTGGGATATAAATCCTCCATGGTGCCCAGGGATGATCTTGAACTGGACCCCGCTCTTGATTCTACCCGACACTTCCGGTTCGCCCGCTTCCGCGACGTTCCACAACCGGATATTGTCGTGTGAAGCGCTTTACCACCATTAGCATCCACCCCATCCTTCCATGACAAGCACGACACGTACCACGCAAGATGCCGCCCATCGGGGAACGCGACGACACACGAGACGACGCCCGAGCTGACAGGATTCCGCAGTGTCTTAAGGATCTTCGGCGTCCCAGACGCCGCACGCCCCGTCTGCCGCACGTCGTAGATCTCGACTGTGCCGTTACGGCGACCCGCGTAGATCTGCGCGCCGTCCGCAGACCAGCACGCCTGGTCACAGAAAAGGGCAAGCATCAGCTCCTTGTTGAACTCTGGTTGAGACCGGAGGGAAGTTGCGTAAACGTACCGACATGCACCACGGCGGCGTCTTTTCGCTCATCCACAGGCGGCCAACGCCCGTGCCTTGCGCGTGCACACGCACATCCCAGAGGATGATCTGCCCGTCGATGGACGCTGTCATGATCACGTCCGGCGAGAATGTCATGTATGTTAGAGGGTCCAGGACCGGCGGCGCGCCCTTTGGAGCGACGGCACTCCGTGCAGTGGACTGCGCAGTAGGAAAGGACACCGAGGGGTGTGAGCTCTGCAGCGGAGGTGGCGCGGGTTGGGAGAGATTGGACTGATGCAGAATGGTAGGCGGCGGGTTATCGTCGGCGTCCGGCTCACCGTCAGCGTCTGGCTCGTCGAAAAGCGGGTCGTAAGATGTTTCAGACTTAATATCGTCGTCCTGTGCATTTGGCATGGGATAGAGCTGTGGCTGGACATGCTGGGCGTTTGGGGCCTGCTGGGCCTGATACTCAGGAGGATTAGCATATGCAAAATTAGAGTCTGATTGAGGCATTCCGGGGTCATGTGGATAGAGGTTCGCGGTCGTTCGCGGTGGTGAGCTCCAGTGACCTTCATGATGAGAGACGAGCGGTCGTACGCCAATCGAGGTGAGCTGCGACCCATGCGCTGTGAACTTCCTCACCATCTGACCGGTGTTGAGATCCCATTGCTACAGGAGACGAGAATGAGCACTGGAGGGCGACTATGCCTATACCAACGACCGACATACTATAGCATCGCCATCCCAGCCAGCGCTGAAGTAGCCCATCTCGTCGTGCTGCAAGGCAAGGCCTGACACGGAACCACGGTGACCCTTCATGATGTGGATCAACCTGCCGGGGTCATGCCGGACAGTATATAGGTTGACATTCCCTTGCTAGCCAGTGGATGTCAGCACATAAAGGTGTATGGACTGATAGGAACGTACGTCAGAGCCGGCAAGGGCCCAGAGGGCATCCGAGTGCATTGCCAGGCTATAGACCGGAGACAAAGAGACGTCCTCCGCCCCAGGGATGGGTACTTCAAGCGGGTTCTCCCACCAGCACCTGATTTGCCCTCCCTTCATGAGGCCCTCCATCACACCACAATGGTGGCGCTGTGGCGCTGTGAGGAAAACCTTGCCGTTAACGGCGGCAAAGATATCGTAGTCGCGAACATATCCGTCCTGAGACCCGGTCAGCAGGTGGGTCATGCAAGCGGAGGCTGCGAGACAGTGAGTGGGGACTGGGTGAGGAATAGCGCATATAGCCTCTACAGTGTAAGAGCGCGGCCACCGAATGTCAGAAAACAGCTTCGCACGGCGGGCTTGGGCGGGGGAGAGGGAGCGGTGGCGCGCTGGGACAGGACTGGATGCTATTCAGGGTCAGAGACGATATTAATTTGTGCCAGGAAGGAACGCGCACTGTGTGATGGAGGAGAAACGATTGGTGACTGCTGCTTAGCAGGAGGAGAGACAGCTGGGAGAGCCTCTGGTTGTGTGGCTGTATGCAGCAACTCTGTATGTGGCTGGTGTGGAGGTTGGCTCATATAGTACGCGTCGTCATCGTCAGAACCTCCATCTGAATCATCTGAGTACGAGTCCTTCTCACAGCTCAGCCGACAGCCAAACGTCCACGGGGGACACTGACCTCGTCTGCCTCGGTGCCTTCTTCCGCGGCTGCAGCAGCTGCGAGATCCCCCTCGAGCGCATCGAGGATGTCCTCATCGATCTCGTCGTCGCCATCCGACGACCTATCAAAGTCAGCGTCGTCAATTGCATCGTCCTCAGAGTCGGTATTCATGGTTGATGCTGAGGGGAGAGCTGATTATGAGGACCAACGACGCGGAGATCAAAGTGATCGAGGTACTCGATCAAGTGACCCGTGTCTTTGGGCCGCGCAGAGCATTCTGAGCTCGTTGCTTGTCGCCGCCATAGCCCACCATGGTCCTCGCAGACTTGGGTCGAAAACTCAATGCAGCCTTCTCCTCTCTCAATAGGGCACCTGTCGTCGACGACAAGGTTCGTAGCACGGATCGCTCGAGTTGACCGTTCTCGTCCTAAGCCCTGGAACATAGGTGCTTGAGGCACTACTTAAGGAAGTCTGTGCTGCATTGCTCGAGTCCGACGTGAACGTCAAACTTGTTGCCTCGCTACGTCAAAAAGTCAAGGCAAAAGTTAAGGCATCCATCGAGGGCGGTGCGGACAAAGGAAAGGAAGCAAATCGCAAGAATGTCGTGCAGAAGGTGGGTACAGAGCACTGCCGGTCAGTCTCTAGCTCATAGCTCTCAATCTGGCCAGGCGATCTTCGACGAGCTTGTACAACTAGTCGACCCTGGAGTTGAGCCATACAAACCAAAGAAGGGGCAGTCAAATATCATCATGGCCGTCGGGTTACAGGTACAATTGCATGTTCATATCTCACCGTATAGGCTGATTGAGCCGGTGACAGGGTAATGGTAAAACCACCACATGTACAAAACTTGCTGTCTACTACCAGAAGCGTGGCTTCAAGTCATGTATAGTCTGTGCAGACACTTTCCGTGCAGGAGCCTTCGATCAGACCCGCCAATCCGCCACTAAAGCCAAGGTTGCCTACTTCGGTTCATACACCGAGACAGACCCCGTCGCCATCGCTGCACAGGGTGTCGCCAAGTTTAAGAAGGAACGATTCGATGTCATTATCGTCGATACCTCCGGTCGGCACAAGCAGGAGTCGGAGCTGTTCGAGGAGATGGTCCAGATTGGCGAGGCTGTCAAGCCCAACATGACCGTTCTTATCCTGGACGCGAGCATCGGTCAGTCGAGCCGACTTCTATCTGCATTGGGCGGGACTCATTATACGCTAGGCCAGGCGGCCGAGGCTCAGAGTCGCGCTTTCAAGGAGAGCGCCGACTTCGGAGCGATCATTGTCACTAAGATGGATGGTCATGCAAAGGGTGGAGGCGCTATTTCTGCGTGAGTTACACTGTCTGCTATATCTTTCCTCGACTTGAACGGGTTTTGCAGTGTCGCAGCGACCAAGACACCCATCATCTTCCTTGGTGTCGGCGAACACCTCCAAGATCTGGAGAGGTTCTCGCCCCAACCCTTTATTTCGAAATTGCTTGGACTTGGCGATGTCCAAGGGCTCATGGAGCATATGCAAGACATTGCAGCACAAAACCCAGACAAGCAGAAAGAGATGGCGAAGAAACTCGAAGAAGGTAAGCTCAGCATCCGGGATTGGCGCGAGCAAATCCAGAATGTCATGAACATGTCCGTCCTCTTATCTCCGCATTGCTTGCGCATCCTTATTTTCTCCACAGGGGCCCTATATCCAAGATCGCATCTATGATTCCTGGCCTGCCGCAGGACCTTCTGCAGGGCACAGACGAGGAGGGCTCCATGCGCATGAAGCGTATGATCTACATCACCGACAGTATGACCTCCGCGGAGCTTGACTCGGACGGCAGCCCTTTCATGGAGCTCGGCAAGGATGGCAAGCCCGTCGGACTCACCTGGCGTGTTACCCGCGTCGCACGGGGTTCTGGCACATCCGTGCGCGAGGTCGAGGAGCTTCTCTGCCAATACCGCATGATGGCGAATATGGCGAAGCAGGCAGGTGGCAAGAACGGCTGGCTCCAAGCGATTCAGAAGATGCAGACTGCAGCGGGCGGACGTGGGCGTGGCGCAAATGGCATGCCGACGCCTGCGCAAATACAGGCTATGCAGGTACGTGTAGTGCTTATGTATTACGTCTTGTCGCGAACCGTCGTGGTTTTGCATTTGCATAGCGCGCTATGCCTCCTGGTATGCTCCAACAGCTGCAGCGTCAGATGCGTGGAGGTGGTGGTATGCAGGAGATGATGAAGGCCATGATGCAAGGCCAAGGCGGCGATCAGTTCGACATGGAAGAGATGCAGCGTACGTCCCCGTCGTCTTATAACCCTTTCCCTAGCCTAGGTCTCATTCCCTGTTTAGGAATGATGTCGCAAATGGGGAACGGCCTGGGAGGCTTAGGTGGGCTGAGTGGTTTGGGAGGTGGAGGTGGAGGGATGCCGAACATGGCCGACATGTTCAAGATGATGGGAATGGGTCGTTGATCTCGCGAAAGGAGTGCTGGTCTTGCATAGAAACTGTTGTATCGTATTCACCCTTCGCCTCCCGGATACGTTATTACCTTATCCTTCACTCACTCACACATCACACGCAAGATCATGCAGCAAGTCGACTCCTGTTCCTGAGATAAAGTACACACAAAGGAACCACCACCATGAACCCCGTAAGCTCAAAGATACAGCAAACAGAGCAAGTAGGAAAAGCGGGTGAGCCACACGGGGGGAGACAGCGATAACAAATATAGGGACGAAGAAAGCACCAACACGATCACCTCGTAAGCACAAGTCTACTTGCTCTCCGCAGCCTCCTTCTGGGAGAACTCGTGCAAGACGGCGAGAGCCTCGCTGACCTTGTTGTTCATGGCATCAGGGGACTCCAGGAGCATAATCAACTCATTGTTGTCCATCTCGAGAAGCATACCGGTAATCTTGCCGGCCAACTCGGGTTGGGATCTGAAACGCAAACTTGTCAGTCACATGGTATGGTGCTACAATGTTTGGAAGACTTACGCGGCGATGTTCATGTAAATGGCTTCGCCAAGCATCTGCTTCTGCTCTACGAGAGAGGCACCTCCGAGAGCCACGGACGAGAGGGCTACGGCGTCAGCAGCCGTGAGAGCGGGTGCACCTGAAGCCTGAGGGGCACCTTGACCAGGCGTCGGGGGCGCATTGCGAGTCTGAGGGTTGAGCTTGTAGCTCTGAGGCCGACCAGCAGCCGGAGGGGCACCGGTGACAGGGCGGTTAGCAGGAGCGCCCTGAGGTCCAGCGGGACGAGGGGCTCCGCCAGCAACGGCGGGAGCGTTGGGGTCAGCGGTAGGAGGAGCACGGCCACCCGGAGGACGAGGAGCGCCACGAGGGTAGCCCGCCATACCAGGGTAAGCCTGGGGAGGAGCCTGACCGTATGAACCAGGCATGGGCATCCCAGGAACCTGACCGTTTGGCGCGTAGCGCGGGCGAGGGGGCATCATACCAGGCTGACCGTAGCCCATCATGCCACGGCCGCCCTGCGGCGGGAAACCACCAGGGCCCGGAGGGTAGTAGAGAGGACCGCCCATGTAGCCACCCGGCATACCGCTTGCAGCTGCTTGCTGCATGCGAATTTGATTGCGCTGAGCAATCTGGCTCTCCAGTTGCTGTCTCCTAACTTCACGACGCTGGGCCAGAGAGACATAGAGCGGCTTGGAGCCAATCATCTTGTTGTTCATCTCCGCAACAGCTTTGGTAGCCTCATCAGGAGAAGAAAAGCAGACGAAACCGAAGCCCTTGGAGGTACCCTTCTCGTCGCGCATCACCTTGGCACTGGTGATGGTACCGTACGGCTCGAACTCTGCGCGGAGTCGCTCATCGTCAATATCGTCCTCGAGGTTCTTGATGTAAAGATTGACGCCTTGATACTTGCTGAGCTTTTCCATCTTAGCCTGCTCATAAGACTTCCTGAGCTCTTCCTCACGCTCAGCCTTCTTTTGTGCACGAGTGACGAAGAGCTTCTTGCCCTTGAGATCGAAGTCATGCAGGGATTCGACAGCCCTCTGAGCCTCTTCGTGGGTCTCAAAGTTGACGAATCCGAAGCCCCGGCTCCTGCCTTCGTCATCCCTCTGGACAACAGCAGAAGTTACATTGCCGAATTGCGCGAACAGGTCCCTAAATTCTTCTTCAGTGACCTCGGCGTCGATGTTCTTGACGTAGATGTTGGTGAACTGGGCTTTCATCTCCTCGATCTTCGACTGACGCTCCTACATGACCAAACAATCAGGACGATCAATATTTTCATAGACGACTGAAAGGACAAACCTTGCGAGAAATGTGGTGGCCGACATAGACCTTCTTGTCGTTCAACAACATGCCATTGACAGCCTTGATGGCAATCTCAGCTGCCTCAGCAGTCTCGTAATGAACAAATCCATAGCCCTTGGAGCGACCGTGCTCATCGGTAGCAACCTTGCACGACAACACGTTGCCGAACGCGGCAAAAGTGTCGTGGAGAGCCTGTACAAAATTTCAGCCGCACAGCCACACCCACAGGTGACAAAACACACCTTGTTGTCGATGCCGTCATCCAGGTTCTTGATGAAAATGTTACCCTGACCGGTCTTGCGCAGAGCAGGGTCACGCTGAGACCACATAATACGGCTATAAAGTAGAACTCAATGAGGATACACAAATGTCAACTGTGGGGCCACATACCAAGCGCGACCCTTGACCAAGGAGTAGTTCAACTGCTCCAGAGCACGCTCGCCATCGTTCGCGTTGAGGTAATTGACGTAGGCATAGCCAAGAGAACGACGCGTAACAGCGTCGCGGCACACGCGGATGCTAGCATCTTAATAAGTCCACGCAGCCCACAAGCAGCACCAAATCTGACGCACCTTGCCACAGGACCAACCATGTTGAACATCTCGAACAACATCGCCTCAGTGACGGTCGGGTCAAGTTCACCGACGTAGAGGGAGGCCGACGGAGACGGCATCTGCGGAGGGGGAGGGTTGTACGCCGGGACCGGAGCCGCGGCGGGAGGGGGAGGTACAACCTCAGGGACGTGGCCCTGCGGAATGGCCTCTTGAGGAGTGATGACGGAAGGGGAAGCAGACATTGTTTTTTTGAAGATAATGTGGTGGGGTCGTTACTGCTTTGTGGACTTTTCTGCGACTGTGAAAACGCCACGATGTCAGTTGGATCAAACTGATCAAGACGCGTAAAGGTACGAACAGAGGAGGCGACAAGGCAACTAGTTTTTGGGGTTTTGTGAATGTTTTTTTGTAAAGCTTTTGACCTGGGGGGAAAGAATCGTCAGGAGAGACAGCGAGAACGACAAGATGGGAGAACATACCTAGATGATGGTTAAGGAAAAGTGAAGACGGCGCCTGCTATTTGTAGAAATTCAAGTTTCAAACCCCGATTCAGTTGACGCTCATGTGGCAACAAGCTACCAATACAAAGTGCATTGTTCATCGACCAATTGTACTGCTTGTCTTATTGATCTCACCCACTGCTCGCATTGCAAGATAAGATGCCGGCGCGTCCGCAGAGCGCGCATCCATACATAGGAATAGCAGTATTGTAGCAGCAATTACACGAAGCACATAAATCGCTGACGTCCTAACCCCGTGTGAAGTACGCCTTCGCCCCGTGTGCGGCCAACTCTGTCTTCGCCTAGCGCACAATAGGTATCAGGACGTGTTATGATGAAACAGGTGTCAGACTACCAACCTTCTCCATTGAGTGGCCGGCCGACTTATGGTGCGCCCAAATCTGAAGCGGCAGTGTCAATAGGATAGCGAGGGTCTTGTGAGTGATGCCATCTCACCTGCCGGTAGTACAACGCGTTCCCGACCCCTTGCAGCACCCACCCCACGGATGCTACAGTACCCACGATAGCCGCAGCGATGTGGCCTTTGACGTACATCTGGATGGTTTGGATCAGTCCGGCAGATCCAGTACTGTAAAGCCTTGCGGTTAACATGCGCTCGCTTCATTCGAGCGCTGAATCTACCTCGGAATACCAATAATCCTGCGAACGTGCCGTCAGTATTACACGCGCAATTACGCAACAGTGAGGCCTCACATATAGAGTGAATAAGCGAGGTGGAAGCCGCAGAAGACAAAGTAAAAGTCTACGCGCAGGGTTGCATCAGCAGGTGCATCATCTAGTTTGGGACTTCGACAAACAGTAATAGAGTGCTTGTTCCTTCGCAAGGATCGGTCAGCGGGTAGGAGTGTAGTCAAGGTCATACATCTTACTTTCATATAGCCATTATAGATGGGCCTGGCAAGAACATAATCAGGATATCGATAGAAGGGGGTTCAGGAAGCACATCACCTGTACCATAGCAGGAATGAAAGAGGCGGGATCACTATCAAGTACCTAAATGGTGAATGCGTCAGACCAGGAAGTGGCGAACATGCCGTTTCAGACCCACCCAATACTTGACCCTAGGTCGCTCGCCCCATTGCTTGACCCAGAAGCAAGGATGATGATACACGCCACCATGTTCACGACGAGTGTGCCTACGAGGACGAACCATAGCTGGTACAGACGGGTCATGAGTGGACGGTGATGTTCAGGTATCTCTTCCGGGATAGAGTGGAAGATGAGCGGATAGACTGTTTATCTTTAGATGACAATGTAGCTTTCAAGAGCTGGTCCACGTACACGGCGGCCAGTTGTTTCGCCCGAACCTCCGTATGTGCTCGGCCTTTTGTGTCAGTTCCTGTTCTCTCCGTTCGAGATCCCTCTCTCTCTCGTTCAACTCTTCTAGCCGCACGGCATGTTGCGGGCTAGGGTAACTCGGTTGTGGCGACGTATGTCCTGACAGTGGAACTGGGTCCTCAAAAGGGTTCGCGTCAAGGGAATGCGTGGACGCGAACGGGTTTTCTGTTAGTGCGCCTGCTCGATGCTAGGTAAGCAGGACATCCCAATGATGATATTGAAACACACTCATGGTCGTGCAGGTCTGCGGTGCGTCTGAGGGAATGAAATCGAGGAGTCGTTAAAGCGGTCAACGCATGCTCAAGCGCTGATTAGTGGTGCACAGCGGACGTTGTCTGCGCAGCGATTACCTCATTTGGGCCGCGGGCGGTGCCCCGGTTGTTGCCGAAGGTCGAGCTCGTTTCGTTTCACCGCATCAATGGACCTGGTCCCATCAGAGATCGCATCTGACTACAGTTGCATTGGAACGACCTCACGGCCTCACATCCCAAGTCGATTTGCTAAAAACACATCAGGACAACCCACCTCCGAGACGTCATTATGTGGAACCAGGGTCTCGACTCTCATCCTTCGGCTGCACCTTTCTGGAGAAATAGTAATTGTTTTCACCTCCGAATCCCAAGCGCCAGCTTCAAGCGGCAGTCTGTAGCTTGCCCTTCTGGATCACATAGCTCAGCTCTACATGTCTTCATATCATGAGTGCAAGTAAATAAGTTCTCCTCCTGAGCTGACGGCGTGGATGCCATGTTCCCGTATTATCCGGGTGTGCCAGAGGAGGGCGGGCTAAGATGAGTCGTACCGTGCACGATCGCACTCCTCACCCCTATATGTCGCCCGGCTTGAATAATTGTCTACCCCCAAAATAGGGCTGAGGCAAGTTCCAGGGCAGTTAAAAAGAATGTCCACGCACCTGTTGCCCTTCTTTCCCCCCCATCTTGAGTTCTTTAGGCTCTCGACGCTGTCTTTACGTCTGTTGACCGGTGAGCACCTTCCCTGCCCAGGATACTGTGAGTACCTCTGTGCTAACTATACTTGCTAGCTGTCGCTCCCTTCAGCCCCATCTCACTCTCTATTCACTCTCCTTGAGCCTCAAAATTTCCAACACCATGTCTCGCTTCCTGTCCGTTGTCTCACTTGCCTGCGTGGCTGCCTCCGCCGTCTCCGGCGTGGTTGTGTTCCCCCGTGCCGATGTGCCCTCCACATACGACGAAGGTTATCTCGAAGTTCGTACCGTTTGGTAATTTCTTAACCGTCAATCGATAATCCCCCTAATCGCAATGATGAATTATACGTTACGTCTTGTAGCCATATGCCCAGTACCACTCGCGGTACTTAGCTCTTGATTGCGAAGATCAGCACGACACCGACCTCTTTGCGACTTGCTGCCACCCGATGCTGGTACGTCTGTGCTTGATTTCTTTGCGCGGACTGCCCGTTCAACAACGAATTTGCGTAGGCGTCTCAGAGTCTGTCAGACCGCCCTGCCGAATGCAATCCGTGGTCCTCGTCGAGTTCCAGCTCGACTACTTCCTCCACGAGCTCTGAGGAGCAGTCGAGCAGTCAAGTGTACTCGGGTGGATAGTAAGCGAGACTTTCCTGTCCAACATGATACCTCTGCTTACCGCGAACTTCCAGTGCGACGTACTTCTACCAGAACGGCGTCGCAGGCGCCTGCGGTACCGTTCACGGTGACTACGACATGATCGCTGCTATTGGTACGTGCGCACATCTCACCGTATTTTGCCGTGTCTAAACCCCCACGCGAAAACAGACCAGGACCGCTACGGCAACTCCGGCGCCGTGTCGTCTCTGTGCGGCAAGCAGGTGAAGATCACCAACACCGAAAACCAAAAGACCGTGACGGTCACCATTGCGGATGACTGCCCCACCTGCGATAACAGTAACTCGATCGACCTTTCGGTCGGTGCCTTCGAAGCAATCGCCGATCTGTCTCAGGGCATCGTCTCGAGTACGTTCTTTCCCTCAGTGCCATTTATTTTGTGCTGACTCAGCCTACCAGTTGATTGGGAGTACGTGAACTAAATGCACCGTCCTGATCGCTCTCTGAGTCTTTGAGAGACTCAGCTTTTATGTGGTGCAACATCTGCAGTCCATTCATGGCTCTGGTAGTATTTTTTGTTGCAATGCTGTGCATCGTATGTCATAACGGTCGCGAGGTGCTGGCCACCTCTGTCCCGTTTCATGTGTGTTCTTATTTCTGTACAGCCCGCCATCAAAGACGGCGTTGGCTGTCCGACGTCATTGCTTGCAATCCAGTCGTTTTGTTCTTTTGAAGTGTGAGGCGCGATGACCCACGTGCGCTACCTTGAGGAGTGATCTCGACCATTACTACTGCTCCACACGCATTGAGACTCTCCATCGCTTGTCGCAGCAGAGGCCAGATCCGCCGGCACCACGCTGTCGACATGCTCATTACTACACTTGTCATATATAGCAAGATCCAGGCACCGACCACTGTTCTCAACGGATCTCCGCCACACCCAGAAAACGGGAGACTTTGTTCCGTTGGTATCTAATCTCGTCCAGAGCCTAGGACGTTCTCATGAGCAATGCATATGGGATACATATGGCACCGCCATCTGCCTTATCTGACCCATCCATGGTGGTATAAGCAGGGATAACAGGATGCGCCATCTTCCCAATTGCTCGTACTGCCCCCATATTCGCCATGACTATCCGCCCGCGCGTCACCAGCCCGATTGAATACGGCGACGCAGCCTCGTTCTGGGTCGAGTATCCCTCCGGTCTCGTCGACCTGACACGGCATGCGCATCTGCCACTGGGCGCGCAAGACACGGGAGAGGTACAGATACCTCCGCTTCAAACCAGCACACAGCTGGAGATCCCCGTCGATGGCGAGCGAGTCGTGCGCATATCGAAAGAGCGCAGCGCCATTGTGATCATAGATATGCAGAAGTGCGTTCGCATTCAATCGGCTCCGCATTTGCTGTTTCAATTGCTCAGCGAATGTCGGCAGCTTCTTCTTACATTCCGATCTTCGGGATCATCCAACCGGACTGGACTGCGTCGTCCCCTTGATGAACGTCATTCCACCACTTCGATCTCAAGGCGTGAAGGTCGTCTGGGTGTACGTATGCCACTCCCTTCACATGTACCAGAGACCGAACGTCGCTGCACAGGAACTGGGGACTTACGGAGCATGAACTCCATACCATACCGCCAGCGTTAGTCCGGAGTTTCATGAAGAACGGTCGCGGGGGCTTCGGCTCACAGCTTCCGGGCACCTTTGGACGTCTTCTGATGCGAGGAGAGTACAACTCGGACCTATACGGTCCTTTGCAAGGGCTGTACGAGGAAGGGAAGAAAGAAGGCACTGATGTCTGGGTACATAAGAATAGGTAAGATTAACGCGGAAAAACGAAAAGTCGGACTCACGAAGACGAGCCAGAATGAGCGGTATCTGGGGTTATCAAACAGCGCTTGACCTGTACCTTCAAGAGAACGGCATCACCACCCTGTTCTTCGCTGGCGTCAACGCAGACCAGGCAAGCACCGTCTAACTGACCGGATATCCGTGAGGGCTGACAGCTCTTGTACATGGTAGTGCGTGCTCGGGACGCTCGTAGATGCATATTTCCGGGGCTACGACTGCATCACCCTCGAAGATGGTGTCGCAACGACCTCGCCTACTGGCGGCCTAGAAAATGTGCTATACAATGCCACGAATGTACGAGATCGCTTTATGATACCTAGCAATTTGCTGATCCGTCCTTCACCAGAGCTACGGATTCGTGACAGATACAAAGAGAGTGGAGGAAGCCATTGCGAAGGCCGCTAGGTCCTGATGTGTTTCCTGTGTCAATTGCATATGTGATGTCGCGGAGTAAAATGTCACCTTGGACACCATAGTAGACATACATTCGCACGGAAAGGTCGAGGCGAGATGTGCTCTTGAGAGTATGAACGCGTACGGTGTATCATGCTGGCCCCAACGCGTGAACCGTCCTCACGGGACCGTGATGAACTTACGCGTTAGTTCCTCCTGACTTCAAGTTGCTTCCCAGGTCTTGCGCAGGCCAAGGCTGTACACCGGACATCATTGCATCCGGATCCATCGAGGGTAATGACGTTGGTACATACTCGAGACAATGCCCTGGAGGAGACCGCCTTACCTTGCGTAGCCATGGCCGAAAAGGGCATAGACCACTAACGCAGGCGGAGGACGTGCCACCATATAATGGTCCACTGCAGATATATGAATAAACCAAGAGAAGAACACAAACTCAGACAACCTGTGTATGAGAGAGATAGGGGACAAGTAACCTTAAGTAGATTGAAAGTACTCCATGACATGACCATAAGGTCATTCTAATGAATGCCTTTCCTATCAAGAGAGAGTGCAAGTGCAGCCAGAAGCATCCTCGCCTTCCTCTCCGCGAGGTTTCGTGACAAAGGGCTCCGTCTTAGGAGAGCTGCTATCAGTATGGGCTGGTACTTTGGCAAGGAAATCCTTGAGATCACGGGCGATTACGTCGTGCATCTTGGAGGTCGGGTGCAAGCGATCATGCCAGATTCCGCCACCAGCTTTGCTGATGTCCTTTTGCTTAAAACCAAATGCAGAGGGACGGTCCAAGACACTCCTGAAAGTGTCCCACGCTGAAAACATGAGGACGGTTGCTGACTCGTGTGACTTGGCAAATCGAGCTGTCGCTTTTACAAGAGAGGCATTCCACACCTGGTGAGGCGCCACCCAACGCAACCGCGCCCCTTTCAACCGTTTGATTTGTACCAACATGAGTCTCTGCGATTCAAGAGAGGAAAATGACCACACCTGCAGGCGATCTTTCTAGGGGCGGAAGATCGATAAGAAGAAAGTTGCGAGCTCCTGCTGCATAGAGGCTGTCCTGTAACTCAAATAGGGTGTCTACTAGCTCCGGGGCCGATTCGTTGTTTGTAAATCTGTATATGCAAGAGGTGTCGTTATCATTATATCCGTAATCCGTACTGCTTCATGCACATACGCGCAGTCATTGATCCCGACCCACGTTACTAGGCGAATAGTCAAAACATGACCAGACAGTATCAGAGACATCAACACACCGAAGAGAGAGTCTGCCTCCGACCACGGTGCCCACTCGGGCTTCGTGGCTAAATGCGGCGTAAATTCCCGATCAATTTGTGTTCGGACGCCTTTCAGAGTATGTCCGCCCTGGGCATAGTCGTATACCAGCAGCCGCTGGGACACGTACTTCGTGATGAGATGGCCGACCCAATTAGGCTGTCCGCGTTCATTATAGGTGGAACCGGGGAATTCTATGCCTAAAGGATTGTCGTGGGTAGGATGGGGAGCCGTGGAATTGTAGCCGACTTGGCTGTAGGAGTCTCCACTGCACCGATGAGATCAGAGAAAGGTCAACCTAATTGTGTCTCGTCTTCGTACAAGATGACCAGGTGTCGCATTCCCTCAAGCCCAGGCCAATGCTGCCTTATCTGCACTGCGACCGACATCGACATGCGAGGCGTTAGATTGAGAGTAGATTCGGACAATTTGTGCCCAGTGTTGTCGTTCCGAATTTCCTCTGACGATGTCCTTCGCGAAGAATGCGCCCAGCGGATAGGCACTAGACTACTGGACCCGTCGTGACGGGATGTGGCGTATCTGTGCAAGCCAGGCTGTGAGACTTGAAGAAGATAATGTGCGCTCGTTGAGCAGGAATGGCCTGTAGAGTATTTGTGTCAGACGAGACTACACTTACAGGAAGCACAACAGTTTGAGAACAGGCCGCAGAGGGTGAGAACTGAACGCAGTTCAACTTCCACCGGGCGCCTTAGAACATTTCGGATAGACTTCGGGCTCGAATGAACTTGAACTCGCATTCTATCATCCAGAAATAAAAGTTCACATAACTAGGTGCGAGGACTCCTGCAGAGGGAGATGAAGTGCTTGCGAGGGCTGCCAGATATATTTGGAAATTCAAACCATGCCATGCAAGGGTAAACGCGTGCAGAACGCTGGCCCCGACATCACCCGACGCGTAAATGGCGTCACGAGACCGCGATTGAGCCTGCGCGTCATTGCCCAAGCTTCGACTTACTTCACTTGACTTCAAAGAAGACTCTGCAGTACACACCGAACGCTAGCCGAATATCTGTTGATAGTCTGGCCGTGTTGTGACAAGGAGTTAGCATGCAGGCCTCACTTCAGAAGATCCTCGTGGTAGGCGGGAATGGCTTCGTAGGTATGGACTTTGCCTTTTTACTGCATATGCGCTGTTTTTTTTAACACATTCGACAGGTTCCGCGGTATGCAAGGCTGCACTTGCGCGAGGAATACAAGTGACTAGCATTAGGTTGGTGCCCCAGCCAAAACCGATACACTGCAATATAGACTGACCCGCATGCAGCCAGTCAGGCACGCCGTATAGGACGCAGAAGGGACATTCGCCTGCTTGGACATCCAAAGTGTTGCCCCTCTCTTACTGCAGTCCTTCGCGCACGACTCACATATGATCTCCACTAGGTTGACTGGCAAGCTGGAGACGCACTGCAGCCGGAGACCTACACCTACCTTCTCCCCGGTGTGACCGCAGTCGTCCACACGCTTGGGACACTCCTGGAGAACACCCGATACAAGGCTGCGCTGAAGGAGGGGGACCTTCCCTCTCTTCTGAAGCTCGCCGCGTCGAATGCGTTTGGGACGGGTTCGGCCAGCGACCCGCTCGCTGAGCCCGAAGCAAAGCCAGGAAGCTATGAGACGCTCAACCGGGACGCGGGTACGTTTTGGACTGATTGCTGAAAAGAAGAGCCGCTGCAGGAGCTGACGCTGTCTCCACACAGCGCTACGGGTGTGCGAGGCTTTCGTGACGAGTCAGCCTACTGTCTCGACTGAGAAACCCCGTCCATTTGTATTCGTCTCAGCGGAAGACATCTTCCGTCCGTTTATTCCCGCTCGTTACATTGAGACGAAACGCGAGGCGGAGATTGAGATCGGTCAGATGATATCAGACAAGGCAGACTACCGAGCAGTGTATATGAGACCCAGTACGTGCGCATGTGATCTTCGGCGGCGTTATGCTGACAATTTTGAAGGCTTGATCTACCATCCTCACTTCCGTCCACTCACATCGCCGGTGGCTGCACTGCTCGATCTATCTGCGACACTCCATTCAAAGGTGCCCTACGGCATCCCCACACCGTCGGGAGTTTTGCGTACTCTTGCGTCGACGATGACCTCAGGGCAACTGTACAGTTCATTCGTGGCACCATCGCCATTAGCTTCAGTTGCGAACGCCTTGACAATTCCTCCTATTCATGTGGACCATGTCGCGGAAGCGATTTGCATTGCAGTAGATAGTGAGCGTACTGATGTTAGGGGTGTTTATGGGGTTAGAGAGATGAGGGAGCTAATCGGGTGGTCGCAGAAGGGTCAACAGCCATCCGAGTTGACTGTGCATGCCTGATTGAATTCATATTGATGTTCGCGGCGTATCCAATCCAGTCGAACTCTACAAGTGGTCAGGCCTATTCCTTTGTAACGCTTGTATGAAAGTGGGTGGGACGCACCGAGCGTGCCGCGTCGAGACTCGTCCCCCAAGCCGTGATGACGCGGGGCACGAGACACGGCGAGGAACGCTCTGGAGTCTGGCTAGCCCAAAGCTAGCCTGGGTGCGAGCGCCGTACGACCTGTCCGTGCCCATCGCTTGGTCTTCAACGTCGAGCACGCAGTCCTCGTAGACGGCAAGCCAAGGTAAACGCCTCACAAACTCCCAAAGGTGGACTCTGAGTGGACTGACGAGAAGCAGAGACAGGCGCGCAGCCCCGGTCACACGATCCGCCCGCAGACAAAGTGGGTCGAGCCGGACAAGTCCGCTCCGCAGAGTCAGAAAAGAAAAGCACGCAGCCAGCGTCGTCGCACGCGCATCTCGCTCCGGAGTCCTTTATACCCGCCTCCAGTGTGCATGTCGGTCAGTCCATTGCCGGGCCTTCTCAGCACCCTCGCTCGGCCGAAACAGGTGTGGGCATGCAGGCGGCCATTCCAATCAGCCGCTGCAGCCAATAAGGCCCTGCCGTTCTCCCTCCATAACGTTCGTGCGGGAGCGGTCACTATCGACACGCCTGGCGGTGGTGGCAGCAATGTGTTGCGCATGCTCATGTTCGGGAAGCCGGGGGCGGGCAAGGGAACGCTGTCGGCGAGGCTGGTGAAGAAATACGATCTATTATCGCTGTCGACCGGGGACATGCTTCGTCAACACATCGCAGAGCGGTATGTTGCGGCGTCCAAGCCTCATGGATTAATTAAGTTAAGATGCATTTACTTCTAGAACGGACGTCGGGCGCATTGCTGAAGAGATTGTCGCTTCCGGCGGCCTGTTGCCTGATGACATCATGCTCAAAGTGGTGACAAGTCAACTCGACACGCTGCATGACAAGGTGCGCTTGACATCCCATCATTTCACACAAACCACTACTTACGTATATCTATACCGGCAGCACTGGATTCTGGATGGATTCCCGCGAACGTTGGGCCAGGGACAGCTCCTGGATGACCATTTGAGGTAAGTTCAATACCTAGCCATTCTCCGATGCAGCGCTGTAACGTCCTTCTGTTCAGTAAGCAGGGAACTCCCCTCACCCTCATCGTCAATCTCGACGTTGCCGATGAGGTAATCCTCAGCCGGATCTCCGACCGCTGGGTGCACCTACCTTCAGGCCGAGTATACAATCTGGAGTACAACCCGCCCAAGGTGCCCGGCCGCGACGATGAGACCGGTGAGCCCCTCACAAAGCGACCAGACGACAATCCGGTACGTCCGCGCTCTTAGTCGAGTATATCAGCAGCAAGCCTGAGCTGTGTTTCACAGGAAACATTCGCGCGCCGTCTAGAGAAATTCTATGCATCTACGTCTCCTCTCTTGGATTACTACCGAACACAGGAACCTCCTGGTGCCAGACTCGTGACACTTACGGGCGCTACGTCCGATGAAATCTGGCCTCAGCTAGAGAGCGTCATTAGCACATACTTCCCCGCTGTCAAGGAGCACGCGGGAAGCAAGGCGCAAAAGAGGCGCACCAGTTTGAGCGAAGCTGCCCTCGTTACTGATGACAGGCAGCAGACCCAGTTGTCTGGCACGATACTACCAGAGCCGTAGAGGTTATGACCTTTTCTTCTCACATCTATGTTGTATAGTCAGTCAACGCTCTTCCGTCATGGTGATTTCTCGTCTGCTCTCTTCCTCCTGTTAGCTATGTTTGCTTCTTATATAGTCACTCGCTATCTGTGATTGTATTACTAGCCGCTTTACCTGGAGATATATGCTCACGATCAGCCGATGGACAGTGTCATGAAATGAGTGAAGGCGACTATAGATAGGGTTCTCCCTGATCTCGGACATTTCGTTCAGGAAGGTTCACGCCGTGTCACCAAGTTAATTGGGCTAGTGGTTGCTACGACCCCGGTACATCTAGGTATTTCGTCGCAAAGGTATTATCCATTTTCGAGTTGTTCTCCCAGCCTTATCTTAGAGCATACCTGTAGAGCACATCGTGAGCACACGGGAAAGGAGACATGGTTCAAGTATTTCCCACATTTTGACAGTGTACAGACCCGAGGGAAAGCCACGCTGGACTTGTTCATGTACCACCCGTAGGCCTGCTTCACTAAATACATTTTTCCACGCGAGGTCCGACCTATGGAGACATGGTCATCAGTTTGCATATTGCAATGAGATTCAAAACGGACCTCGTCAGACTGGAGTCAGTTTCATCGTATACGGTGCTTGGACCACCATCATCCGCATCTGTGCAGCAATTCTCTTTCACGATGATGAGACCCTTTGCCGGATCTCGCAGTGCAGCCTGACTGTGCTTTAGGAAGGAAACGAGATCTGCGTCGCTCAGCGATCCCAAGCACCACTGACACCAAACGACATCAAAGGAAGCGTCCAGGTCGTCCTCCTGCGGGATATAGCCGACGCGACCGAGCACCTTATCAGATTTTGAGGGTCGAAGAGGGTCCATACCCTGTAAGGTATCTTGGATGAAAGTAACACTTTTGCTTTTGCCAGCGATCCCTTTCCACTCGATGGAAGTGCCATTTGTCTTCGACGCAGCCATTTCGCTCGCCCGTCCTCGCTTGAGGGCTTCTTGGACAAGGCTCTCCACAGGCTCCACGAGCACAATGTCCGAAGCGAGGTGTAATAGCACATCTGCAGTCACTCGTCCAATGCCAGCGCCAACTTCGAGTACACGTGTTCTTCGCGGCAAGGTTTCCGTTGCGTCCAGAGGGCGAATCGCAGAAGGAACGGTGCATAGCTCAGGCATTAGGTAGAGAAGAAATTGGCGCGATCCGAGAGCATCAACTCGGGGCAAAGACTAGAGGCCGTGTGTCAGGATATCTGGCATACATCAAAGAATGAATACTCGCCCCCTCCCCAAAGCCACCTATGCGCAGTGTCACAAAGCCGGGACACAGAGGTAGTCGGAATGGTTAGCGCACCGAGGACACCATCATAGCTGGCCGGTTGGCTCGCCCAATAGTCAATTCCAGTCTGTACATCTGGTTCCGGGATCATTTCGTCGGTGGACGCCATCGTCGGTCTCACGTATTGGTCGGGTGCGGTCAACTGGCAGGTGGGTGGCTGAAAGAAAGTCGATCGTGCGTGACAGTATGTGATGTGACAGACGCGCTCTAGACGCGTTACACGACGCGTCGACGCGTCCAAGACGTATTTGCCACTACGACCATGGCCTCGATTGCTCTCGAAGACATCTGGGACGCTCCTGCAGAGCCCTCTTACCCTCATGCTTCTGTCAAGACATCTCGCACAGAAGAGGATGATGATACCACAACTTTACCCCCTAGCAAGCGGCCAAAATCGACCCTTTTCCTTGACTCTGATGACTCTGATGATGTCTCGCGCCCGGCCACGCGCAAAGTCATCCCTCCTGCGACGAATCGCTCTGAGATAGATGCAATGTTTGACGCTCTAGAGGAGGAGCCGGACGAGGCGTTTCAGGACCTCCCGCCTTCGCTCAACCTGGATGCGCTCCGCAAGGAGGCGGACGCTAAGAATGCGAAGGCGCATGCCAAGGCAAATCCCCTTGACCTGACTGGAGAATCCTCACAAAACGCATCAGGCGCGGCGCGAGGCAACAGTAAGGACGACAAGGATACCACGGAGAAGAAAAGAAAGCCATTGCCTAAGCTGGACGAGGCCAGGTTGCTTGGCCCGGACGGGTTCCCTGCACTGGTCAAGCAAACGAAGAACTTTAAACCTAAAGGAAAAGGACATGAGGTCCGCTATTCAGAATCAATCTCCTTCTAAGTCTCATAAGCACCAAGGCGGCAGATTTGAACAGACTACTACAAGTATACCAGTTCTGGACGCACAGAATGTATCCCAAGACACAATTCCGGGATACTGTTCAACGAGTAGAGAAGCTCTGTCATTCAAAACGAATGCATGTGCGTATATCTACTATGTGCGTTCTCCGTTTGATTTGACGTTATAGCGTTAGGTCGCTTTGAGCGTCTGGCGAGATGAGTCCAAAGGGCTTATCAATGGTCGCAAGGTAGATGCAGCGCTCTCGGACAGCGACAACAGCAGCGACGACGATAATGGGGGTATGCCAAGGAACTCAAACGCAGCCTCCATCGCTCAAGACATAGTGACTGCCCCGACGGCATCATCGTCGCGCGCACCATCGCGACCTCCGTCATCTTCGGAACCTCCTTCATCTGACGGTTTTGACGACTTCGACATAGACGCTATCATTCGCGAGGAGGAAGAGCAACAGCGAGTTGCCTCGGAAATGTCTCGACAGGTGTCTTCTCCCGACACGAACCCTCAGTATCGTTCCAAACCAACCGTGGCTCCCAGCCCCAATGTCGACGACGAAGCCATGTGGGAGCAGCTCATAGACGAGCTGCCTGACGCCGCATTGCCTCCTGTAAGCCCGCCAAGCATTGCGCCAGCTTCGTCAGGGAATTTTAACAACGATATGGATGAGGACGAAGACATGTGGGACGCGGTGCGGGAGATAGAGGCAGCAAGGGACAGTATCAGCACATCGTCTATTCATATGCAAGACGCAAGCCTTGTCCAGAATCTCGACCCACCCACCAACGAAGAAGGATGGGACGAGATGTATGCATGACATGTACCTTTAGGCATTGTCTCAGATGTTTTCCTTCACTCATACGGACCGTCATGAAACCATTCCCGCTATCTGATTAAAAGAATAGCTGCCCCAGTGAGGCTCGAACTCACGACCTTCCGATCCCGTCAAGTAACAGTCGGACGCTGTAACCAACTCAGCCATGGGGCATATATTTCAGGGTCTTTTTGGGTGCACCCCAACCAATGGACCACGGCTGTAGGGAGTTATAGGTGATTAAGGTTCAAATGGCATGTCACATGATATGCACATGATTGGATGGCACATGACCTATAGCAAGACTTCTATTTTCAGATACACAAGATAAAGCATTGAGTACACTATTTGGCCCCCTGGGGTAGGGCTTGCCAATGGTGAGCCCGGCATCGACCTCTTTGTGGTCCAGGGGGATTAGTACCCACTGAGGGGAAGCTAACAGACATGGAGACGATCCTGTGGTGTCAGTTGGTCAGTGAGTGTTTCTACAATCCGTCCTTCTCGTGCTACCTCTCGACCTCTCCAAATGATATCCAACCTGTCCATGCGCCCAACCCACTCTCCATCTCTAGGAGTCCAGCCATGATTTGGAAATAAAGTGCTCATTGAGATATCTGCTGCTCTGGTGTCCCCGCAACCCTCTTTATCTCAGTCGAGTGGTCAGCAGTGGAACACCCTTGCCTCTCATAGGTGCTGGGGCTTGTATTCTCATTGCCTCAGAGGCAATCTACCTACCAAGATCCCTACCTGGATCTCGCTCACTACCTGAGCTATGGATCACATAGCAATCCCAATGATTCCATTGTCAAATGACCATCTTCAAGCCTCAGAACTATCAGCTATCTCCCCTTTTGTATTTGGACACGTGCCTACTGCCACACATGATCATACCTTATTCATTCTTCCCTGACAGCAACTACAAGCCATTTGCAACCTAAGATCCTGCCTGAGATACGCAACTAGGCAATACATCAGTGTATCCTTGCAACTGCCACATTGATCCAGTTTGCAGAGGTCGAGACCCACAAGAATGCACCTGAATCAGTTAACAAATGGCTAGATGCTTGCCTGATCTCCCCCCATTGGACATAGTGTGTTGACAGATGCTCTGCATGTTCTTAAAGACAACTCACTTTGCTGGCCATGTTACTGCTCACTACTCTCTTCAGTTCTGACCTGGATGATGGCCACATTCACGGCCATACACATTGACACTGTCATCGAACAATGCTGATCCATTGATTCTTCACCTCCAGGCACCCCATGACCTCTGGTGTCCTCAGGTTCCCTTGAGCGTTTTCGTGATTTGTTCTACCCTTCCTCTTCTCCTTGGTCGTTCCCTGCCTATGACTTCAATTTGACACTCAAAGCCCCTCCTCCCTCTCGAGCATCCTCCTATGCTTCCCCTGCACAATCAGTAGTACCCTTAGCTGGAATCTACCCATCATTGCACCTTGATGATACAAAGTCCATCCCTGCGGGTGTCCTTCCTTTTGATTCTGATGTGATTGCAGCAATTGACCCCCTTCCTTTGTCACTGTCACGAGTTGACACGGCGTCTAGCCGTTTTTTGATTTTTTCCTTTTTGCGGGCTCGAACCCGCGACCTCTGTACTACATGCCTGATATGGACGCATCACTATCTACTGTACAATTAGATTAGATGGGGCGGTAGTGCATGGCACAGCTCAGGCTCCGCTGACACAGCCTCTTTGACTCACTGGCCCCTGGGGCCGCGTCAGCATGCTGTGCACGGACCAGCTGTGCACGGACCAGAGCGCACAGCCTGCCCTCCCCCTGTATATAAGCCGGCCTCTGCTGCCCTAGGGACCTCAGTTTTGACCTCTTGTCCCTAGGTCAGTAAGCCCTCTTTTGTATCCCTTTCTTACCTTACTAACTAATGCATTTACTTGTCCCTAGTCTTAGATTTGAGCGTGAGCTCACCATTGCTTTGGTAAGACCTAGTCGAACGCCCCCAGCATCCTCTGTTTGTGTTTCCCCAGTCACTCGACCCTAACTTGCGACATTAGGTCGAAACTCCTCACTGCTGCCGGTGTTCTCTCGGGACCCAAAAACCTCACTTTCCTTTCCTACAGGTCGGGTGGTGCGCACCCCTATGGTACCTTACGATATGTAGATAGCATATGATACATCGTCAACACTCGAGAGACAAACTCTTCAGTACCTGCGCTTCAGTGAGCGGTACTTGTCCTCACAAACGCGTAGCCTTGGTTCCTGCTGCATCATAGTCAAAAGCAGTATTGGGCCCTACATGAACTGCAAATCTCAGTGTCATCTCAGGCACCATAGGTGTAAGCTAGATTAGCATGGCCTTTCGTAGTACGCTGATACGACCTACGAAACCCTAACCCCTAACCTGGGTGCGACCTAAAGGGACTAGAGAGACGGCTTATAGTCTAATGAGAGGGGAGTTAGCAGCAAGGTGTCCCGCGGTTCGAGTGAACACGAGAAACACCTTCGAAAAAGGTTACGAACGCTAGGGAAGGTACGAGGTGGCTTCGACACGTCGTCGAAGCTACTCGGAGGCTGTGTAAAGTTAGCGACGATCGAAGCTCGGTAGAGCTCTTCGACGTATCGTAGAGAGAAGGGACACGATTCGATAGGGGGGGACTTAACTAGGACGCGGTTCGAGGTGCAACGCAGTTTCTTCGACAGTAGTCGAAGTCGAAAGGTTCGTCGAGACGGTATCGACGAGTGAACGCAGTGGACGAGGTTTCGAGGTTACGCAGTGAGGAACGAAGTGACGCAGTTGAGGACGTAGACGCAGGGCGAACTCGACTTATGAGCTCTGAACTCGAGGGGGGGAACGGATCTTGTATTTTTGGAGAGAACTACGACAGATTTTATACTACACAGGATGCTACGACTATTCGAGAGTGGCATACGGGTACAAGGGGCTTTGCATTGTTCCTCAAGAAGCTGCCTCACCGAGGGGCACATACCAAGTCCATCAGTAGATTGACGTCATGCCGAATGCGGAGATGAAGGGCAACATATGGCCACTTCGGACCGGTAGCCGTCGTGAAGGCATGCCGCGAGGTTCGATACCTAATCGGGAAAGACCGGCTACTTCGGTGTGGCTTGGAGCGAAGTGCGCGCTTGGCCGAGCGGCGTCGAGTGGCCCTATTGTTCGCCGAATGCGGAAGACGTTCCGAGATCTACGCACGAGGCATCGGGAAGACCGTGCCGAGCTTCGAGTAAGCGTCGCGCACCGCCGAAGGTGTCGAAGAGCGTCGAAGGCGAAATCGACCTGTTGGGAGACTGGGTCGAAGTGCCGGGCGGGATGCGAGTGCCGAAAAGAGGTGTATCGGGGCCCAGCGGGGCTCGGCGCCTATCATCTCCTCCCTATTGAAATTTGGACCGCCCTCGGTCCTCCACGTGATGCGAGAAGCGCGATGGTCGTGAACGGATCGAAGCGGCTTGACAACCCGCGGCGGTTTCGAACGCCACGTGGCCGGCGCTAAACGCTGGTCGGAAAGGGGGTTATAAGCAGGGTAGACTTAGCCTCATTTTCCCCATCCCATCGTTCCTTCGTCGCTCTCTCGTCGCCCTCTCTCGCATACTCACTGCTTCCACGATGTCTGCTCGCTCCGCCACCCCTGCCTCTACGCCTTCGCTCGTCAACCGCCGCCTCGCTTCGCTGCTCATGGTCCTCGAAGCTCCGCCGACCGCCGATGCCGCGCTCGACGTGGTCGAAGAGTGGGCGCAGGATTTGTCGCCGCTGGTCGTAAGTCGCTTCGTAATCTGCATAACCCAACTAACCGTTTGTTTTCGAACAGCTCGCCTATCGCAAGGCCTTGGGCGCCATCCGCGACGAGGAGACGGAGCTGCGCGTTGCCGCCGCCGTCAAGCAACTCGCCGAGCGGGCATCGGAATCGTGGGTCGAGTGGGCGCGCGGGGACTGGCCCGAGCTCGCGACCGCCATCGACGCCGAGGTCGAACGACGCTTCGAAGAGCAGAAGCGCCTCGCCGAAGAGGAAGCACGACGCATCGAAGAGGCCGCGAAGCGTGCGAAGGCCGCCGAGGAACGGCGCCTCGAAGACGAACGTCGCGCGCAAGAGGCCGCTGATGAGGAGTTGGCAAGGATCGCGGCCGCCGAAGGACTTCTCGACAAGGGGAAAGGGCGCGCAATAGTCGACGAGGAGGTCGCCGAGTTGTCGGACGACCCTTCGATCGTAAGTGTTCTCTTCTACCGTCCTTCGATTACTAATCTTTCTTTCGTAGAAGACTCCTCGGACGGTTGAACGTCCGTTCGCGATGACAGAGGTCGACATGGCCGCCGCGGCGATTGAGAAGCGCCAGGCCGGACAGAAGGTAAGCTCGACACTTCGTCGAAGCTGTTCGATGCTAACTCCTCGATAGTGTGATCGTTGCGCCGGCTACCGCTCGGCCCCTGTGGAGTGCGTGTGGGCCGAGAACGCTACGACCTGCGATAGGTGCGCGCAGTTCCAACAGGGCTGCTATTTCGACAAGGTGTCTGTCCTAGGCAAGACAAAGAAGACGCGCGGCGGGGGATCAACCACGAAAAAGCGCAGTAAGTCGTTTCTTCTTGTCCTAGGCCTTCGTTGACGACTTCGTAGTTCGGCCGGCCTCTCCGGGGCCTTCGGTTGCAGATGCAAGTGGTTCGAAAAAGCGTCGAGTCGACGAGCCCCCGCGCCCCCTTCTACGACTGCCTCTCGATGGGGCCAGCCGCCTTGGGCTCGAGCAGGACGACCTCGATGCGCTCGACCTCGACGACGAATCTCGGGGGATCATCCGCGTCATCCGCGAGGAGCGTGCTCACATCGCGCGCCGTCGAGCGCTCCTCCACGACATGGACCTCGACCTCCAGAAGATGGAGAAGGCCGCGCTTGCGAAGGGAGGGATCGGTTTCGTGCGCGGGGCTGTCGACAATGAGTAGGCGATGGTGTGGGTCGTTTTGTATCGTAGTTGTCCTTATGTCGTAGAATATTGTGTCCATAGTCGAATCAAAAATGTGGCCCTTGGCCTAGACAAAACCTAGTGGGAACTAAGAAAAGGAAATGCAAATAAGTGTGTTCGAAGTAAGTCGTAATCTGATCGAAGGGCATAGAAGGTGAAATCGAAATGTTCGTAGTGAGGGAAAATGGACTTAATGAAAATATAGGCTCAGTTTGTCATCACAGCCTAGGAGGA